GGGGGGTATACATGAACGGGAAAGACTCGGCGTTCAGGAAACAATACAGCACAGCATGGCCATAGCCGATCAGATTGCAAACAATAGATTCAATGAAGTTTATTGACAACAAAACCAATGGATGGCTCGTTGCAGTGAATGCTGACTGGCTATGCATGGGGATGATGGCAGTGCACAAGTCAGGAAACCCAGGTGACTTGGTGATGTTGGACAAGATAAGGCAACGCCGTGATTTGGTCTTTCTAACCTAACCATTCATCCATATCAGATCTCGGAAAAGAAGAAGACAGCACAGCATGACAGGGTAACATGTATCACACCATAGGTAGGTAAGTATGAGTGTGGCACAATTGCAATACGACTATTCCGTACATAGTACTAATGATGCGATGTCAAGGATGAGTGAATACGATCCTTTGAACACTACACACAATCTCGCCAACAAGAAATTATGTCGACAGATAAACTGAGATAGCTTCGTCGCAGCTATTTTAATTATAATGTCAGAGCTCTCTCAGGTAGTTGAGGCCCTAAGACCTACTGCCGCGCTTAGTGTTCCGGGGAGAAAGCTTGGCAAGGCTAGGGTTTGTTCGGTTACCGGTTGTATGAGCTGCAAGTTGCAACCTTGGAAAGTTTACGATGCGGGTTCGACCACAAACCCGCCGCTTTTTGCCGTTACTGTTCATAATACGATGCTTACTGATGATGCGAAGTATGCATGCGTGATATGATAAGGGAGAGGCGGTCTAGATCAGGGTGTTCCTCATATACCATCCTGCATGACTTTTTGCATAAGCTCCCTGGATACATCGGCATGATGGTCATTGGCCTTTCGTGTAAGTTGCTGAGGCAGTTGTGTTATTTGCATAGGCTTGTTCCTATCTATTGTCGTGCAACACCCTCGTACATGCAAGCAAATGATTTTGTCTCAGCCATTCGGGATTAGACAACATGCACTTGGGTGTGGTGTTACGCTATGGTGTGTGACATCACACTATCCGTCGGATGCTCTGTTATTTTGTAGCGGAAGGACGGAGGGGTGATCACGGGAATCCGGTGATCAGGACGGAGTCGAGGGCTGCTTTGGCTCGGAATAGAAAGAAAGATTTCGCTCGTCTCTGCTCTGTTGTATCGAACGAACGAAGGATCGCGATCGATACAAGGTACTGTATTTTCGCCTATTGCCTTCTTGGAAAACGGCCCTAATATTTTGGAGACTGGCCAGAGCTTCAGTCAAGGGTGATAGTTGCCCGTCTAAACGAGCCCCTTTTGAACTGGACAATGTCCGCCCAAAGCTGTGTTTCTGTTCCTGGGCCGTGTAAGTCGTCTCGACCTTGACCGACTTTGTTTCTATTCTGCGCGACTCGAGTTGTCCCTTTGTTTGACTCGAGCAAGCACGTGTTAGCGGTTTCACTCAAGATCTCCAAAATTGCTTGGCAATTTGATTTGGAGATTGCTTTAATGGGAATGTCATTGGTCCGATAGTAACAATGTAGCACACAGACGACAGACATGGACAGGGCTTTTTCGCCGCATGCAGGGAAAAGGATAGGAAGCTTCAGATTTCGAAGCTTGGGCGACAGACCTCCGTTATGACGTTGTCCTACAGTGCTGTAAGTAATGTTAGGGACTATCAGGGTTAAGAAAATAGATTTGGAAATGATAGTCACCAACAGCCGGCGTAGAAGTAAAGATGAACAGCGATCTCATCTGGAACGAAAATACCTGGCGTCATTACTGCCCGATCAGATTAGCTTTGCCCTTTAACTGTACAAAAGGGTTGCCAATCAACGGATACTGTGTCAGGGTCAGCGGGCGTTTCAACGGTCTCTGCCACCACTTAAACGCAGTAGCCCTCTGTCTGTTCGCGTGCATGCAGATCCAACGCAACAAAGCAAACGATTTCATACATACTTTTGCAGTCTGCTCCGCCCCGTCCCTCCCTCCTTCCATCGTCCTCTCCCTTCCGCTGTTCATGAGCAACAAAATAAGTGCCGGAGGAGAGGAACGATTAACAAGGCAAACTCGGGATTCCAATGGAGCCGCTAGGCTAATGGGCGGAAGTCTGCCAGAGCCGGGGAACGTATCCCGCGCATTGGCGGCGGTGGATGCTTTACTTTGTCGTAAAAAAGAAGCCAATGAAGTCTCAGCTCAATTTTTCCTCTCCGTCTCTCTGTTTCCCGCCGCCCGTCGGGTCCCCATCTGCAAGCATCTGGGCCCTGAAGAATCCCTGCTCTTGGCCCTGTCAATGCCGCGTGTGTGTGCACCGCTAGGGGGGCGTGTGCCTGGATCGTAAATGGACCCGGTAGCTCGGTCCCATCTTGGCGTTCCCTCCCATCCAAGTTTGTTGACTCGAGCAGGAGCTGTTCTCTGAGGTGAGCTCCTAGGCTCCCTTACTTCTGTCTGTCTGTGTCTTTTCTTTTTCGGAGCAATAGAATAGCCAAGAGACGGGAGCATGCACAGTGTGATATAGTATGACATTGCATGGCATGGTTATTGTATGGCCGCCGCTGATCAGGCAGTCAGGTTATCATGAATGACATGGATTCTTGGACCCTTTGAAATTATCAGCAGCTCCCTCGTGGGCTGGCTCGCGAACTCCGAGTCGTCGCCGTCGCCTTTGTTCGAGTCGGTCAGTGCTTCATGTTGTCTCTCGGTTGGATGTACTGTAATAAATGCATGTCTGTCCGTGGGTGTTTCTATTGAAGGCAGGAGGTATCTTTGACCAGGGCTCCTTCCATGGTTTTCGATAATTACCCTGCCTCTTTCCGTAACTCTAGGTACCGCTTACACTACGGTACTTACCTCTAGTACTTGCCTCGGGCACCTTATCTGCCTATAGAAAATTTCTCTGTTACCACTTTGTTTTGCTGTTCAGCCATTATCTATATCCAAGTGTCCTCCTTCAGCTCTGTCCCCGTCTCTCTACCTCTTTATCTTCTGTTGCTTAAACACCACTTTCAATTGAGACGCTTTCAACCTTTCAACATGCTCCTTTACTCGCAGATCAATCAACCTTTGTCTTCAATTAGAACGCTTTTCAGTTAGTCAAGCATTTTGACTACCTACGTTACAGCAAAGTACTGGCGGGTATAATAGCTTGCGCCCTTTTTTATCGTCCGCCACCCATTACAACTGCAGTATTCAGTTAGGTTGGCCACTAGAAGTGCCCCAGAGACTCACTTCGCACCCCATCGGTCGCCAGTCGTCGGTCCATTCCTGTTCCTTCGACGTTCAAACTTCCTGTACCCGCACTCCCTCCGAATGAAAACCCTGTTCTAGGCGCAGCAAAATCGTCTACCCGCAGTTCGTTCTTCAGTCTCCGCCTTAAGTTACGCCATAGCCATTACAGTAACCATGGTCATGGTCTAGTCTGCATCAAGCTTGGCGACTAACACCAACCCAAATAGCTGCGAGGCCCTCGCTGCCCCTGCTTTATTCTTTTCATCTTCATTATAGTTACAAAAGATTCCAGCCGTCTTCCCTCTATCTCGAAGATATGGTAGCCGAAGCGCGCGCCTCTATATGGGCGCGGCTTAAAGCTGTGAAGCCGCCCTTCGTCTCCAAGAAACCCCATTTCAACTTTATTTCCATCCACTGTAAGTCAAGTCGCATGCATTCGTCTCATGTTACCCCCCATACTACCTCCTAGGTTCAACCCCCACGCAGATGTGTACTTTTTGCTTTTTACAGCATCAACCTTCAATGACAAGTTTCAATCTAACTGCTGTTCATAGATACATGGATTATTGGCGCAACCTTGTTGGCTTCGGTCATTATTTACGGTTCTGGTCGTGGTCAAACGTCCTATGTCGATTGCCTCATGTTCGCAAGTGGAGCCAATACGCAGGCTGGCCTTAATCCCATTGACGTCAATCTTCTCAATACCTTTCAGCAGGTGGTTGTTTACTTCTTCACCATAACATCGAACCCCATTACTTTACACACTTCGGTTGTCTTCCTACGTCTTTATTGGTTCGAAAAGAGGTTTCAGGGCTGGGTAACAGATGCCCGACAGCGCCGTGCTACTATTTCCAAAGCAAAGACTCGTCCGCGAAACTTGGACCGACAGAACGAAGAAGGAGTCAATGGTCGACATATCACCATTGTTCCTGACCAGGGCCGACGACCACGTATCACCAACGACGGTATCTTATTAGACGGAAGCGAGGCCTATCAATCTCAAGCGATTGTCGACGACGATGACGACAACGACCATCAACCGCGTAGACCACCGCCTGCGAGCAGCGATGAGAGTGACACGGTTTCAGCTGGACGGTCCAATAGCATAGAGCTGAGTCCACTCGAAAAGCCTGATCAGGCTCATCATGATGGCCGGGATGGGTGGAGAGAGGAAACTGGCAAAACACAGAATACACCATCTGGGATCAAATTCGCCGAGACAGTTAAGAGAAGTGACGGCGTTGATGACGATTTGACCAAGTTTCCTCAACGAAGGACCCATGCAGAGCACATTGCCATCTTGGAACGCCAGCGAAACCAAGACAACGAAGTGTTGAGAATTCCAGGCCCACGAGAAACTGAGAGAGGAATGGGACCGCGACGGCTGGAAGATGATGATGGGGATGATGATAACAACACCATTGCCATGACGAGAACGGTAGAATCAAGACCGGATCATGCGACCATTGACTCCAGAAGGCCGGCTGGACGTAGGCCAACGATCGTCATCGCGGAGCCCAAGCGTCCTATAAAGCACGAACTGACTGACGATGCCAGAGCTGTTGGCGGCACTCTTGATGCTCTTAGAATGCGAAAGCCTCGTATGTTCAACCGTGGCCAAAAGGAGACACACGAGGACGACGGGGACAGTACAATGAATCGTGCTTTCCGAACGCGCACAATAGATACCATCAAGTCAGCTTTAACGAGCGATCACACCAAGGATATGCCTTATCTCAGTTACACCCCGACTATGGGTCGAAATTCTAACTTCGTGGGGCTGACTCTTGAGCAACGAGAGGAATTGGGTGGTATTGAATATCGGTCACTACGTACTCTGGCCGTTATATTACTTTCCTACTTTTGGGGCTTCCAGCTGATTGCCGTAACCTTCCTCCTACCTTTCATTCTTCACAACGAAAAGTATGGTAGTGTTGTTGACGGCGACGCCGTTTCCAGAACTTGGTGGGGATTCTGGACAGCTAACTCGGCTTTCAACGACTTGGGTCTGACCTTGACCCCGGACAGCATGAATTCCTTCAATACTTCGGAGTATGTCATGATGATCATGTGGTTTTTCATTATCATTGGAAACACTGGCTTTCCCGTCATGCTGCGTTTTGTCATTTGGGTATTGTCGAAGCTTGTACCAACGAACACCGGCCTCTGGGAGGAACTGAGGTTTCTTCTCGACCACCCACGTCGATGCTTTACCCTTCTCTTTCCCTCTAGTGCTAATTGGTGGTTGTTTTGGATTCTTGTCGCCTTGAACGCTATCGACTTGCTATTCTTCGTTGTACTCGATGTACGCAGCTCTTCTATTTCCCCTTCCCGGTTATCACACAGGCTAACATTTCATAGCTGAATTCGGGCCCAGTCGCTCAGTTGCCGGTCCATACTCGCATCGCTGATGGTCTCTTTCAAGCCGCTTCAACTCGAACTGCAGGATTCTCCTGTTTCAGTTTGGGTGACCTCCACCCCGCTATTCCAGTGCTGTATATGATTATGATGTACATTTCCATCTTTCCCATTGCCATTTCCATCCGCCGAACCAACGTCTACGAAGAAAAGTCCCTTGGAGTGTACAGCAGCAAGAAGGAAGAAGACGACGAGGAAGACGCCGGTGCTCTCAACTACGTCGGCACTCATTTGCGGCGCCAACTCTCCTTCGATTTATGGTATGTCTTCGTGGGATTCTTTCTCCTCGCTATTACCGAGGGCAGCAGTCTCAAAGCAAAAGACTTTAACTTGTTCGACGTTCTCTTCGAGGTTATCAGCGCGTACGGAACTGTCGGCCTGAGTATGGGTGTATCCAATGTCAATGCATCTCTTTGCTCGCAGTTTACTGTGGTCGGCAAACTGATCATTGTTGCCATGCAAATTCGTGGGCGACATCGTGGCTTGCCATATGGCCTGGATCGGGCTGTGCTTCTGCCAAGTGAAGCACGTTTCCAGAAAGAAGCCGAAGAAAATCAGCCAATTCTTATTCGCACGCGCACAAATGCATCCTTAGGAGCGACTTCTGGCATGGAACCTCCGACAAGTCCAACATTCCCTGGTCGAAGAGGAAGTATGAACCGTTTCCGCGAGCGAGCAAACAGTCGAATCATTTCTCAGTTCCTCTATCCTGGGCCTGTTATCCCGAGTGACGAGATCCACGGTCACAAGCGCGCGACCTCAAATAATTCTAATAACATGCGAGACTTCGCACGATCGAACACTGAGCCGGTGTTTGACGAGGAAAAGGATGAGGTTCCGCCCCTGCGGCCTATCGAATCCCACCAATATACCCCTCGTCGAGCAGAAACTAGCTGAGTTTATTTCGATCTCACATATCCGGCACACGTTGCACACAATACGTCACTGCCCTTTGACAAGAGCCGTTTTGGTTCTGTTATACTACATTCACGAACTCAATAATTTCCAAAGAAAAAGCGATATCAATTTTCTGAAAAAGGTTTCTGGGCGTTCAGCATCAAAATAATGACAACATAGACGGAGATATGAATCGAACTGTTGGAGCGCAAGCTTAAGCTCCATGTTGGTTTCGATGTTACCAAGGTTGCAAGCTCTCAAGCTCAGTTTCCTGGACTCATGGTGGCGTTATGGTTATGGCAGGGTATCGTTCTGTAAACGGGTTCTTTCTCGTTCTTGAGTTCATATCCTCCATTGTGGACAGTGGTATAGATCTGTAGTTCACTTTCAATAGAAGGCAATAAATAGCCTTAGGTGTAAGCCGATATTAATGCCCTACCGTTCGTTCCAGCTTGTCTAGTGTGTGTGTAATGTTAGTTAGATTCGCAATTCTACTGCGTCACGATTAAGTACATATGTCGGCTATCCCGGATGTTGTATCCTGATGTATTAATTCTAATGGATTAATTTATGTGTATTTGAAGCATCCTCTTTACTTTGTCTCGAAAGCACCGATATCCTTCAATACAGTGGCTAAGCGGCGGTAGTCTCGTAAGAGGTCAAGGACTTCGCCAAGTTTTAGTTCACCAGGTGTCTGTATCTCCATGAACCGCTTGTTGGGCGGCGCAATCTTGGGTATCTCTTTAGGTGGGAGGGCTATAGCAATGTCAGGGAAAGCCTACAAAAGTCAGTATCAAGCACATTGTATCATCCGACAGTGGTCATCAGCTTACTGTTCCTAGATCCCCACCGTCTGCAGGCTTGGCTGTCTCTTTGGCTGCTGGTACTGGCGGTGCTGTGGGTGTATTACGCCCAAATCCGCGGATCATGCTGATACTAGGGAGCCGAGCCATGGGGTTGAACGAGTTACCCAAATTACGCATCTGGTCCAAAACAGCTGGGTTCTGTCCAGGGTTTTGGCTGGCTGCCTTCGGTTCATCAGAGGCAAACAAAACTTTCTTCGACGAACTTGCGCTACGACCGCTTCGAGTGCTATCCGTACTACGTTCGCGACGACCCCCGATAAGGCTCAGAACTTTGTCCTCCCGCGAAATTGGACGTTTCAGTGGGTCGGCATCATCCAGGACAAGCAGCCTGTCAAGTCCGCTGGTATCCTCCTCATCGGGCGATGGCGTGCTGACCAGCTTGCGGGCATCGTCCAATGTTCTCGGCACAGTGATAGATTCTCGGGGACTATCCTGATGCTCCCTTAGTTTTCCAATAAGGAATTTGTAGCTGCCTTCCAAGCTGTTGGATATGTTCTTCAAGCTTTGGTCAGCTGTGTTGAAGACGGCATCGCTTGCGGCTCCGAATGCTTGCGCGGGCCCGTTTACAAGATCACTTAGCCGGCGATTACGCAACACCTGTGAAGCTTTGACATCAGGGGCAGACATCTTAGTTGCTTCGGCGTTGACCTTGCTTTCTTCGGGGCCACTAGGCGACGAAGAGGCTTCTCCTTGTTGGTATGCAGGAGGGAATGTCTCGGTCCTCGGACTCGTGCTCTTTGCCGGCCCAGAGAGCTGTTCGTCGGCTCGCAATGTTGCAAGATCCACGGTCTGTAGAAAGCTAATGGCAGCTTCGAGGTTTGTCAGACAGTATGCGGCCTCACCCGTAAGTTTTGGTTCCCAACGGAAGTACTGTATAAAATGAACATCGCTTATGACATGCAGGTTCTCAGGTGGAAGTGTAATGAGAGTATAGATAAGCATAGGCATGATTTCATCAGCAGATGCAGAAGGATGGAAGTGAGCAAGAGTGTCGACAATGCTCCGATGGGCAGCTTTAAGGTGGTTAAGCTTGCCCAGAGGATATCGTTTCTGTGTCATCATGATGATGTCCCGCCTGGCGGGTTCCAATTTCTCCTTGATCTCGTCTTCTGTTGGGCCAGTCTTTTCGCCTGACTCGTCAGCTTCGCCTGTCAAATCGATACCCAGGTCGGAGGGTCCAATGCCAACTAAGGCCAAGGCTGCTGTCTTTGAGCGCAATTTATCGTCCTGCGCCTCATCCTGGGTGCTTCGGTGTCGGTAAATCTTATCGTAGATGCCTTCACATAATCTGCGCTCAACAGCCTCTTCGAGGAGCGACCTCTTAGCTTCGAGGGCCTTTCTATTTCGCTTGCGGTTCGCTAGCTCTTCTGCAGTAATCATTTGTTGTTCAGGCTCCGTCTTAGTTATGCTGAGCGCACTGGCTTTGGATCGCAATCGGCTGGCGGCGGATGAGAGAGAAGAAACAGATGGTGTAGGGGATGCATCACGGCTTTGCCTCGAAGCCAGGGCGTTGATGTGAGTGTTGATGTTGGATGAAGCTTGGGTGTAAAAGTCCTGGAACTTTTGCGACAGCTTCTCGATACTGGGAGGGGTGGGGTGGACTTTGGCATTCAGAGACTCAATGAAGCTATGAATAGGAGAGGGGTTCAGCAACGGGGATTCAAGCGATGCGCGGCATTCCTCGGCGTACCTGTCTGTTAACGTGATGAGCTCGATGGGAAGGATATCGAGCTCGATGGAAGCTCTGGTAACCTCGATTCCATCGTCGGAGTCACTATGTTCACCAGTTTCGAAGGCATCGGGAGATGTAGCGCTATCGTCCACAGATGGGGTTGCATTTGCGAATGTATGGGCTCTTCTGGGAACTGCCAAGCGATCGCCGCTGCTGGAAGTTGTTGTTTTGGCAGTATGGGTGTGAGAGGCCGTACGTGTGGCGGATGGACGAGCCGGGGAGCTCTCGGAGGGGTTTTGGGACGCCATGGGCCTTTGTTTCGAGCTATGTATGATCACGATGAGCTTCCAGAACGTTGTGGGATTGATGTAGAAAGACGGAAAGTAAGAAAGCAGTTGCTCTCGTCGCCTGGGGTGTTGAAGTACATACCGCCGGGACCAGCAGCTCGAGTGGAAGGTTTAGACTGTCTGAACCTAAAAGTAGATGATGCGATGCAACAGCCAGCTTGTCTCAGAATAGTGCCGTCAATGCGAGCTGTCTGAGACGTAACAGCGTACAGTCGAGTGACTCCTCTTGCACGTGCTACACAGGAAGAGTTTGAAACAGGTGACTTAGCAGAAAGAAGAACAAATAAGAAAAAATACTGCAATCACGAAGCGAATGCGAAGTAGAGTGGATAGCAAGTGAGGATAAAGTTGATGGATACGAAGCGATAAGCCAAATTGAATCATATGAAAGACCCCCATTTGAGTTACGTAGTGGGCAAGTTAGATTGACTTCACTTGCAGGGAGGAGTGGAGACCTTACGTTTACGGCTGCACAGCCATATATCAGCCACATGACGCCACATCTCAGATCGAACCTCCCGTCGATTGCTAGGTGTCGATACTATAGTACAGCTCCGTACCTCGTGTGTCCAAGATGATCATAGTTATAGTCTATATCTATAATTCAAGGGTCCCTTGTTGCTTGTGAGCTTATTGATGCTTCTGTAGCTAATACCTCCATGTTGTAGAGTCTGATCTAAACTGCGATAAAGTTCATTAGGTTTATGAAGCTGTGTTTGACACTGGCTCTTATCACAGTCCATAGTTGAACTTCTATGCCCTGGGTTCACTTACACCCTGTCAACACTCAACAATTCCCCACTGGAAGCTACCCCACAAACCCTTGATTCACTTTCATGCTCCAGCGGTCTAGGCATGTGCTGTGTAAACTGTTCGAAGGTTGTTCCCTAAATTATAGGCGGTCAGGTCTCTACTGACATGACCTGGAATAATCAATGAGCCAATGGATATGCTACGATTTGATCCTTTTCCCCGTCTTCAAGATATTCCCTGCTCTCCTCCACAACCAATTATGCGGGGTCCCCGCCTTCACAAAGACACTAAAGACGATAAACAAGCATGGATCTATAATCTCCAAAGTCTTGATTGGTTCGTTACTCGACTAAACTGCTTCGAGTAATCATCGTCTTTGACTGCTAATGGCCGGGCAATTGAACGGTTGGAGAAACCGAGCAGGAACCGTGTTTGCCGGGCTGAACCGAGACATAGCTACTTAGGTAGGGAGATGCTGTATGAACTGAATTGAAGTCATCCAATCTCATCTCAACTTGTCTACCTATTCGTCCATCGTCACATACTTCTAATCTCCTCTCTCTCACCCTAACTCAACGCACCTCAACATGTCGGATCCTCCTTCTCGTCTCCGTTCTATCCTCAATCATCTCCGCCCTCACCCAGCAGCGCCTGTCAACTTCCACACTCTATCACCTACAACATTTCTTGAGCGCGCCGCTTCCATTGAGCCTGATGCTGAAGCCATATTTCATATCACTGTGAACGGGGCTGTACTGCGTCGCTCATATGCTGAGTTCGCTGACCGCGCCCGAGGTCTGGCTTACTATTTCCTTAAGCATGGCTATCGGCGCGTAGGCATCCTTGCTCCCAACACACCTGCTTTCCTCGAGTCCATCTATGGCATTGTCGCTGCGGGAGCTGCTATTGTCCCGGCCAACTACCGTCTGAAACCAGAAGACATTGCTTATATATTTGACTTTGCTGAAGTGGACTGCATTATTGTTGACAATGAGTTTGTTGGCTTGCTTGATGCGTACAAGGAGAAACATGACAATGTTCCTCTGATTATTGATATGGTTGATTTTCTCCCTCGCGAGCAGGTTCATGCTTGTCTTAAGGCTGTTGCTAACCTTGTTCATCAGGATACGGATGCTACTGAAGGCCAATTATCTGGTCCCTTTGATGATGCTGTTCTCGAGGGCTTGAAGCATGATATTAGCCAAGGAAACCACGGTTGGGCAGGTCTTCATGCTCAGGCACGGAGTGAGGATGATATGCTTGCTATTCCATTCACTTCCGGGACAACATCAAAGCCTAAAGGTGTCGTTTACACACATCGAGGTTCTTACTTGGCTGCCATGGCCAATATTATTGAGTCAGGTTTGAATATTGGCCGATGCAAATACTTGTGGACACTACCAATGTCAGTATTAGAAGACCACGGAGAATATTTGATAACTGACAGTCTATAGGTTTCATGCAGTGGGGTGGACATTTCCCTGGTCTGTCGTTGCGGTACGAGGTACGAATGTCTGCTTGAGAAAGATTGATTACCCTCTTATCTGGAAGTTACTGAAGGAGGAGGGCATCACACATTTCAACGCTGCTCCAACAGTCAACACATTGTTGGTGGCAGCTAAGGAAGCCGAAAAGCTACCACAAGAAGTCAAGGTTACTGTAGCAGCCAGCCCACCAACAGGATATCTTTTTGAACAAATGGTGCGTACTATAGAACACTACCAGAAGGAAATTTCTAACCAACGTTTAGACAAAACTGAATCTCATCCCCGTCCACGTATACGGAATGACAGGTAAGCTTGTTCCAGCTTTACAAAGAATGCGACTAACAGCCGTTAGAAACATACGGTCCCATCACCAAATGCTATACTCTACCGGAGTGGGATCACCTACCTCCCACAGAAAAATACGCAAAAATGTCTCGGCAAGGTCACGGATTCATTACTAGTCAACCTATCCGTGTCATCAAGCAAGATCAGCCACAGGGGGTCCTTATTGATGTCGCAAAAGACGGCAAAGAAATCGGTGAAATCGTCTTCATGGGTAACATCTGCGCCAAGGAGTATTACAAAGACCCTGCGGCTACTCGAGAATTGTTTGCCGGGGGCGTTCTCCATTCTGGTGACCTTGCGGTGTGGCATCCAGATGGCAGTGCTCAGATTCAAGACCGTGCCAAGGATATCATCATCTCTGGTGGCGAGAACATCTCATCTGTTGCTCTTGAGAGCATGTTAGCGCAGCACCCCGACATTCTCGAGGCTGGTGCAGTCGCCGTGCCAGATTCTCACTGGGGCGAGCGGCCCAAGGTTTATGTCACCGTCAAGGAGGGCAAGAGTGTGACTGGAGACGAAATCATTTCGTGGGCCAGGCATCAGAGTGATATCAGCAGATTTATGGTCCCTAGAGAGGTTGAGATCGTGGACGAGTTGCCAAAGACCAGTACGGGAAAGATCAAGAAGAACGATCTTAGAGAGTGGGCTAAGCGTGGAAGGACAAAGGCATGAGTCCTGTGTCTACATTGACACTGTTATATATCTCTCGAGATTTCCTGTATCCAGCGTTGCAATCCAAATGGAGTCACCATGTTTCTATAACGGACCGAGCCTTCTCTTCAAAGAGATCTATTTCTCGGAATTTAATTCACATTCATCTTAAATATTGCACCTGATGACCCTTCATCCAACTTATCCAGGGCATCCATGTCTTCTTGATCCAGGACAAAGTCGAAGACATTGATGTTCTCGCATATCCGATCTGGCTTCGAGCTCTTGGGTAGCGGCACCCAGCCTTTTTGTAGTGAATAACGGATGAGTACCTGAGCATGTGATTTATCATGCTTTTTCGAGATGATCGCAACTACCGGATCATCCAGTCGAGCACCAGTAGCAAGCGGGCTGTATGCCTCGATAATGATGCCACTTTCTTGACAGTATGCTACGACCTCTTTCTGATGACACCAAGGGTGAAGCTAGGCCGACCATCAGATCTACCGTCAAGTACATCAGTATGTTGCGACTCACCTCGATTTGGTTTACACTTGGAGGCCACTCCGTAGCATACTCTTGCAGTTCCTCAAGATGTCGTACTCGAAAATTACTAACGCCGATGTTCTTTGCTCTTCCTTCTCTTTTCGCCCTCTCCATGGCGTGCCATAAGCCCTGTCTATACTCTCGGGATGGTCCAGGGACATGCATCAGTAACAGGTCAACGTACCCATCCTTTCCAGCAATACGCTCCACTGTTTCGAGAACATCTTCATACACCTCGATCTGACTCGTCTTCCTTCTTGGGCTTCCTACTTTTGTGGTAATAAATAGGTCTTTGCGAGCCACGCCGGATTGTTCAATTGCTTCACGAACGCGTACTTCGTTCCGGTACAGGGCAGCTGAGTCGATGTGTGTGTATCCTGCTGAAAGTGCTGCAAGAACGGCATCTGCGCATGCTTGGCCGCGGATCTTGTAACTGCCAAATCCGATACAGGGGATACTAGCTGTCGAATTTCGTATAGGGATACGGTAGGCGGTCGGCATGGTGGAGACTGTGTTGATGAGAGGTGTTGATGAGAGGTGATGAGAGGTGATGCTTGCATACGCTAAACAAGATGATTCATCTCAGTCCAGTGAATCTCATTCACCACCCTCGGTCAAGGTACTGATTGACCAAAAAAGAACCGCAGCAATGATACACGGACATTCAGGGCAGGCTGATGATTTAAGATATGAGATATCACAAATTTGCATATATAAATCGAGTTATAGATACTACTCAGAAGTATATGAGAAGGCTAGGGAGGTACGTAGGTACTTAGGTAGGTATACATAGTACCTATGGATCTCCGCTGGTGGCTTTTTTGCCCAGGAGCAAGTGATACATCGAGAAAAATGCACCTCGTAAGCTACTATTCTCGAATCCCAGCAATAGATGAACAAAGATCTTCGTATAATTTCAGCACGAAGTGGACGGTTATCCTGACGCAACCTTTGTCGTTGAGTTCATAAAGCTGGCGTCAGGGTGTCAGAAGAATTGGCCGCTAAGAGCATAAGAGATGAAATATTTTGGTCACCTTATGCTAACTTAGACCGGGGTTTAGGCTGCTTTATTTCTATACCCTAAGGCTTAGAGGACAATTCTTCTGACACCCACCTGGCTGGTAACAATACCGCGATAGTCGAGGAATGTTTGCTCGGTACATTATCTGGTAGGAGGGTCATGACTTCCATGATCATAGGACGAGAGTTGATTGGAAGGAGACCTAGCTCTAGGCAAAGTCAGGGATTGTGCATGCATGGTGTGAATGTTGCTGGAACTTTCTGTAAGTGACAGAGTCTCAGACGAGCCAGCGAATACATCAAAACATGCCAGCGCACAGAAGACTGCATAGCCCAGAGATAATACTGGATCATCCAATTCATCGAACTCGAGATATATCATCAAAGAGGATTTTAATTGAGAAGGAATACAATATTTCATTCGCAAAACATGGGATGTTTGCCTTGAACCTTAGGGTAGATCCATCGACCGGGCCTTCAGCTTCTATCATGGTGGGGTTCGTCCGTCGGCTAGCGGCATACATAATTCTAGAAGCCCCCACGAAGCGCTAGAGTATCGTGGAAACTTAAGCTCTAGCGGAAACTCACTGAAAGAATGTCGTCACTGCCAGCCCACCTGCTGGGTCCTGCCTGGGATCATAACCAAAGCTACCTCAGCGTGAGAGATCCAGACGCCAGGGAAGGAGCCCAGTAGGTGGGCGCAACTGCTGATCACCAAACAATTTCATTACCTCCGGTCCCGTCAGTCCACAGCTGTCACTACACCTCTTTTCTCTCCTAAATTCTTTCCCTCCCTCACCTTTTCATACTCCTCCTCGATCTTCACGCTCTCAGACCGACCGATCGACATACACTTACTCAATAAGCCAGCCTCTTCAACAAATTGTCTACTTTCGCCATTTGAATTCTTTTCCTTAGCCATGAGCACACTCAGACCATTGCGCGGCGGCTGCCAGTGCGGCCGAAACCGGTATATCATTGCTGTCCCGCAGAACGGCATCAACGAGGCACAGGTCCTCTTCAACACCGATTCTGTTCATCGTAGGTCTAAACCCACCCCGAGATTTCCAGGCTGGAAGCTTTCGAGTACCGAGCATGTGATCTGACAACAGCTTACAGAGACCTCTCTCGCAACCCCCCTGGCAGCCTACATCCGAGTTCCCTTGTCGTGGTACCATAGCACAACCTACTCTTTCTTTCCAGACGAGACACATGCTTTAATCCGACGTGTCTACACACACCCTAGCCAACAACACTCGAAACGTCACTTTTGCGGTTATTGTGGCACGCCTTTGTCGTACTGGTCCGAAAACCCACATACCGAAGCCGACTTTATCAACCTTACGCTCGGAAGCTTGCTGAGGGAAGATCTGCGTGACCTTGAGGACATGGGCTTGATTCCCGAAGAGGAAGACAACAATGATCTAGTACGACAGCCATCAGAAGTGGTGGGCAGGAACACGGCACTGCGCCAATCGTACGGAGTTCCTTGGTTTGACGGTATGGTTGAAGGAACACGTCTAGGAAACATGCGCCGAAGCCAAGGCGTCAAGCAATCGCAAGATGGCCGAGTCAAGGTGGAGTGGGAGATCGTTGAATATTCAGGTAACGGCGACGAGTCCGCCGGACCTCCACATGAAGATGTCGATATGGAAATGTCAGTCCCCGGAAAGCGGAAGATGAAGGATAGGGAAGAATCAGAAGCGGCCGCCGGAGGAAACTAAAAGACGCAGCGTCGAGGAGATTTGGCAAGTAGTGGAGTGTCGTTATTTCGAGGAAGCTGGCGACTGGTGATAAATACATGGGGAAGGGGGTTAACGACGAGGACTTTTGCTAAAATCCTGGCAGCAAGATCCTCTTTTGTCGATAGGCGCATAGGCGAGGCACTTTGAGTTTCCAAGTCGCTCTTTATAGACTGTTGGCGCAATCTCGCCAGTCATGTTAAGTTAGTAATTTCTCAAATTGTACGTACTCAGCAATGGTAATTTGAACCTCTGGTATCTTTGTATGGATGTATTGTTGATCTTTCTTGTAGCTTACGGCGCTCAACGGGTTCCATACGAAGATTCATAGATTATAGTCGATGGAACATTCAGAGATTGACAGAAGGCAGATACGAATGAGAAGATGCAATCTGGCATGAGATCGACAATCCCACCTGAAGAATGGTGTTTCGGCCCTAGCAGCCATGACAGGCCGGGAATTTCGGGGCAATACAGTCCGCGCCGTTTGACAGGAACCGGTCTTGGTGGAAGTCAGACTTACAGCATCCGAAACACAATGCAACCCAGAGCGTAGGCGCAACAACGGTACAGAGACCCTTGGATCTTCAAGCCGAGACACCACGTGCAGAATGTGAGATCTCGGGAATCATTGAGTTACTCCTGCAGGCGTGCATTCGTTTAATTCATCCGGCGAAGCGAAGCTAGGCGAGGGCTGCAGGCTGGGCTGCGTATAGGCAGCTTCCACAGTGACGGAAGGTACCGAAGTTTTGGCGGTAGCGGGCTGTCGTGGCGCCGGAGAGGCGGGCCGAAGGCTCGCGGAGGCACAGATGAGCGGGAATCGTCTGACGAACACGGGGAGGTCCCTGTACGACTAAAAGAGTAAAGTGCGAAAAGAGTTTGTGATTTCCTCAGCTCGACCGTCGTGAATTGAATAACAGTGAGTTTGTAAAAAGTGACAATGGAATGAAGAAAAAGGTGAAGAAGAAGAGGTAAAAACGGTGAGCGGCGCAGTACAAAAGTAACGAAAGAGCCTAGATCCTACCCAAGTTAGAATGATTCTGAAACGAATCCCCATGGGGCAATGGCATTGGCTGGGGTTAATTGCCTTTAAGAGAATGGAAGGAGACATCCCGTCAGCAGAATGCAGGTGGTAGCCTGGGCAGGTGCCGCCATGGCCCATAGTCTACCTACCTTAATCCACCAATTCAACTCCGGAAGGTACGTCGACCACCAACCATAACCATGCTCTCGCAACATTATCAACCCCACCCTAGCTTTTGTGGCAGATGATCCGGCCACGGCTGTGACGGTCCGAAGAAACATACACGATCTTTGAGGCATATCCCTCTATTCAGTCGTCCAGTCCAGTTTCACCATGGAGCTGACATGAGTGCGCCTAAGCTACGAGTGGAACGAAGGTTGCAGAGCCGAGGGCGAAGGAGGGATGGATAGACGGGCAACCCATGCTCTAGCTTGGGTATATAAGAGAGTGTTCTGATGCTCAAGAGACAAGACCTTTCCCTCTCCTCCTCTTCTGCATCCAGCATCTCTCTCTATCTCTCTTCTATACCCCCTTTCTTTGTCTATTTCGACGGGCTGTCTCTAAGGACACCTTTACTCCTGTCGAACATATCTTAGTATAGTTGGAACCTGAAGAGCCAAAAGCCACCCTTCAACCCATCATGTCGCTTCCCGCAGACTTCCTATGGGGCTTTGCCACCGCTTCGTAGGTTACTTCTCACATCAATTATCATGTGCGGTAATAATTGACCTCCGGAACAGCTATCAGATTGAGGGCGCCATCGACAAGGATGGCCGAGGCCCCGCCAACTGGGATACTTTCTGTGCCAAGCCTGGCAAGATCGCAGATGGCAGTTCTGGTGTCACCGCCTGTGACTCTTACAACCGAACTGCTGAGGACATCGCTCTTCTCAAGTCGCTGGGCTCCAAAGCCTACCGATTCTCCATCTGCTGGTCTCGAATCATTCCTCTCGGTGGTCGTAACGACCCCGTCAATCAGGCCGGAATTGATCACTACCGCAAGTTTGTCGACGACCTGCTTGACGCCGGCATTACTCCGTTTATCACCCTGTTCCACTGGGATGTTCCCGATGAGCTGGACCGCCGATATGGTGGTCTCCTGAACCGCGAGGAGTTCCCTCTCGACTATGAGCGTTATGCCCGTGTCATGTTCGAGGCGATCCCCCGTTGCAAGAACTGGATCACCCACAATGAGCCTTGGTGCTCAGCCATTCTTGGTTACAGCACTGGTTCCAACGCTCCCGGTCGCTGCTCTAATCGCGAGAAGTCTGACGTTGGTGACTCTTCCACCGAGCCTTGGATTGTTGGTCACAACCTTCTTGTTGCCCATGGCCGCGCTGTGAAGATTTACCGTGAGGAGTTCAAGCCCAAGAATGGTGGTGAGATCGGAATCACCCTCAACGGTGACGCCACATACCCCTGGGACCCCAAAGACCCTAAGGATATCGAGGCCGCCAACCGCAAGATCGAGTTTGCTATCTCCTGGTTTGCCGACCCTATCTACTTTGGAGATTACCCGGCCTCGATGCGTGCCCAACTTGGTGATCGCCTCCCTACATTCACACCCGAGGAGAAGGCCTTTGTTTTGGGCTCCAACGATTTCTATGGCATGAACCACTACACTGCCAACTATGTTAAGCACCGCGAGGGAGAGGCTGCCCCCGAGGACTTTGTCGGTAACCTTGAGCTGCATTTCTGGAACCACCGAGGTGACTGCATCGGTGAAGAGACCCAGTCTACTTGGCTTCGACCATGCGCTCAAGGTTTCCGTGACCTGCTTGTCTGGTTGTCTAAGCGTTATGGTTTCCCCAGAATGTACGTCACTGAGAACGGCACCAGCATCAAGGGTGAGAACGATATGCCACGGGAAAAGATCTTGGAAGACGACTTCCGTGTCCAGTACTACGACGACTACGTGAGAGCCATGGCCGATGCCTCGCGACTTGACGGTGTGGATATCCATGGCTACTTTGCCTGGTCTCTGCTAGACAACTTCGAGTGGGCCGAGGGCTATGAGACTCGATTCGGTGTGACTTATGTCGACTATGAAAACGACCAGAAGCGTTACCCCAAGAAGAGCGCCAAGCACTTGAAGCCTCTATTTGACAGTCTCATCAAGAAGGAGGAGAACGGTGTGAGCAACGTGGGCAAAGTCAAGGCAGGACAAACTTAAGATTGGATGAAAGTAGATGATTATGACAACCCTAAGATTTCTCGCGTATGAATATGAAAGATTATCAACATTTTGCTGCTACAATTAAAAACGCCACGTATAAACCATACCAAACAGTTCAGTTGGTGGGTATCTATCTAGCTTGAATTAAAGAGAGAACGCTTATAATGCATATACGTATGAAAGACCAAGAGCTTGACCTTGTCCAAAGTCTCATGACGTGTGCTGAATTTTTCCTTCTGTATCTGTATTGACAATTTCTCTGGAAATCCCAGCGGTTTCCGTCTGCGTTGCCATGGACTGCTGTTCTCCCGAGATATCCTGCTCTGTTTCTTCGTCGACATCCCTCTTTGCATCGCGACGCATATACCATCGGAAGACGTATACTAGCCCCTGTGCCATAAAAACCTGTTCAATGGTATACAGTAAGACTGGTATCTGGATATACGCTCGTGTGAGATCATCGGCACGAGCCCACATGGAGCTGGCCAGCGGGATACCCAAACTTGTGGTTTTGGCCGCACCGCAGAAACATACCGCAATAGTCTGCTCTTTGGTCATGCGCTTAAACAGGACCCTCAACCAAGACGAAGAGGCCATTCTGGTAAGTCTTTCCGGAGGCCTTGCGAGAAGGAAGCAGATAACGGTAAAGAGGGCATACAATGCAATATTCATGAAGACGAGGAAGAGGACATTGCTGGTCGATAGATCATTCAGCGCGCCGGTACCAAAAGCCCCAGAGAATGTGGTCCAGACAAGTAGAACAAGGCATATCGTTGATACCTTGGCCAGTTTGAGAGTGGTGAGAACCTTGACTGTGCGCTCTTCCCATTTCCATCTGATAGCCTGGCCGACAATGAGAGGCAAGACAACACTGAGGCACAGTTGCTTAGCGACATCTGCATACATGTGTCCCAGGGTAGACGGATCAGCAGGGCGCCAATCATCAAAAACTTCGGGGTGGCCAGTTGGAAAGAAGCCGTAGATGAGCAACGGGGAAAGAAACGACCCGGCGACATTGCCGATCACAACCGAGATGATAGCTGCGGCCTCGTCTCCGCCTGAAGACCGCGTCATGACAACATTGGAGGCAATCGTAGTTGGGAGACAGGCTGTCGTGAGAAGACCGATGAGAATTGGCGGCGAAGGGGTTTGAGACTTGAGGGCTCCAGCAGCGATGGAGATGTGAACAATGGCTGTCAATGTTAGTCATCCGCTGGGTTTCGTCATGTCTCTATTGAAAACTGCTTTATAGTGAACTCACAAAGTACAATAGCTGGTATAACTGCAAAACTAATTCCATGAACCAAAATATGAAGTCTCCAATTCGTCACATTCTTGCGAAGCTTCTCAGGCGAAAGTTGCAGACCGCTGACAAGAAAGATGAATGCGACGGCGCCATAAAGAACGCTGTACTCTGAGCGGATGACGCCTCCATGTCGTGCAACCGCTGTGATCAACCATCAGCAACTTGCACTTGAACCAGATAAGAGACACTTACACGGAAAGAAATACCCTAATACGCAGGCAATTGCAAATCCAATGACAAGATACTGAGCAAGTATGATATTGGTCGCTTTTTTGACCCAACCGATGAATCCTCTTTTAGGCTTGGGTTCCTTTTCTTGACTTGACATTTTCAAGTCTTGGAGGCGTAATTGCCATATACTTTGAAGAATAACTTAGAAGTGAGAAGATGGAATCATACTTAAATAGGAGATAGTGCCAGTGATCACCCATGGCTATAATCCGGGCTTGGTATCTTGGCAGGGATGAATTGAAGCTCATCCGGCCTATTACCGCATTCAAGGGCGGACTTTGAAATGTCCTTGAATAGATCCGGATATCGGAGGCTTATACAAGGGCTTATAGCAACTCTGGAAGTCTGTCAAGAGAGAAATGATTGGTGTCATATAGTATTGAGCGAATATGTCATATCAGAAATTACAGGATGGTACAATTAAGCAAATTAAAAGCAACTTCCTCCCAAGCAGGCACCGCTCCCAGTTTCATCTCCAGAGCGTGTCGCAAGTCGAGAAGCACTGGATATGATCCATGATAGTTTGACGGATCCCACGCCGCCACAACTTTTCTTTTCTACCCGTCGTCTCTCCATCATACAAAAAAAAGAAAAAGTCAAAAAGCTGGTGTGATGTGCAAGGTATGCTGAATCCAATAAAAAAACGCCATGCGATGTGTAGTGGTATCAAGATGGGCAAAAGGAATAATCTCTCCCAAGTCTGAGGGTATAGACAGGCTTGGTGTAACTCGTTAAGAGACGTCCTGTTCATCAAAGGAGCCGCCTCATTCGTCGTCAGGGAATTAAAGAAAGTAAAGGTAAAAAGAAATTGATGATCCATTAGTCGATCAATCAGGTGAAAGAATTTATAACTTGCGAAGGTGGCATTCAAGCAACAACGGCGGACGCGGGTGTCATCGGTAAGGCTGTCCTCGACTCGTTGGGGTTGGTAGTGCTGGGTGCTGGCGCAATCTCAGGGTCGGGAATTTGAATGTCGAGCTATGTTGAGTCAGTAATTGCACTCATTTTGGTGCATATAAAAGAAGGAAACTTACCGTCATATAACCTGTTTGTCGTAGGGGTAGGATTTTGGGCGGTAAGACACCATCCTCAGCACCAATGGTCTTTTCCATCTCAAGATTCCATTGTTCAATCCACTTCTCAAGGTTATTGAGTCGAGACTTGACGCCAGTCAGGCCTAAATCATCCCAGACCCAACCTGTGACAAGTCCCAATAGGCTATCCATGATATTTCTCGCGCTGTATGGGTCGAAGGCGGGTACCAGTTCGCCATTAAGCTTCTCGATAATGCGGCGAAATTCTTGTTCAGACAAGCCAGCAGGATCCAGGATTTCGGGATAGAGGTTAGAAAAAGTGGGTGCCAGATCGCCTTTGATCAGCCAGTCGCGGCGAATTCGGATAATGCGAGTGTTGACATATTCAGGCGAATCCACAGGTACATGAGGATTCAGGTGAGGATAACAAGGATGCTGAGGTCCCCATTCACCAGCTGCGTCAGGCTCAACCTCTTCGCCCATGATAGAAGAGTTCGTTGTTGACATAGCAGATCCAATTCCATCACCAGCCGAGACATTGGACATGCGCGGGTCCATGATATCCGGTCCACGCTCCAAGTCCTGGCTATACGACGGCATGGCGTCGTCGTTCTCAGGCATCATTACGGCTTTCCCTTTGCCCTTGTCAATTTTGATGCCTGCACCTTGTGAAACAGAATCTTGGGCCAAAATATCCCGACTGAGGCGATACTCTTCAGCCGACACTGCGCCTCGTCGAGATCCCTTCTCGTCGTAGGATGCGCGCACCGAGTTTGGTAGACTTATCCGTCGGTCGCTGCTTCCTGCCCTATCTATCTGAAGACTTGCGCGCGGTGTTAAAGAATGCCTGATTTGCCGTTGCTCCGGAAGTGTAAGGAGAGGGTAGTCGCTGGGCCCGGCACCTAGGGAATCGGGGGGTGCTCGCGGGTCGAAAGTAGGATGCAGAAGCGGGATGGATGGCGGTGGTGGAGTCGATGGACGGCGTCTGCGCGACGGTTCGGGTTTGGTATGCGGTCGAGGAGTCGAATTCGTAGGGTTCCAGAGACGAGCGGCTGATAGACGACGAGCGCGATGCGCAGCTCCAGCAGCCTTTTGAGGTCGAAATGGCGAAGGGTGAAACGTGGATGGTTGATGGCCGTCGACGGTTCGACTCTGCAGATATTGTTGGTTCAAAGCGACGGCTGGACCAGAAGATGATCCGGTTCTGGGATAGGCTGACGGTGGAGGATCGAGGCTCAGGATTATAGATTTGCCCGGGGCATCTACGGTGGCCGGTACTTGATCGGAGGGAGGAGGTCGGGAGAGTAGAGAATCCGTCGGAAACAGGTTGTCGGCACGGTCGCCAAGACGACCGCGCTCGAGAGATATGGCGAGGTTTCTCTCACGTAAACGTGAGTAGAAGCGTGATTGATGAGACCGAAGCCGTAATCGACTTGTTGAATCAGTCTTTGAAGCCAAAGTTGAGGCTCAAACTGGGCGCTAACAGACAGTGCACGGGGCCGGTACTGGCGGAAGATAGAGCCCGAGACAGAAAATGAAAGAATGCGACGAGTGCGGGATGTCGCTAAGCTCTTCTCGGTAGTGTCAAGAGAATGTGATGAATCGGAGACGGCGATGTCTTTGGAGCCGTCGTCGGTTTCGGCCTCGTCGTAGGGGATGATCGAGCGGCAGCGGGCAAAGGAATTGCTCGAGTCGTTGATGGTCAAAGGAGAAGAGAAAGAAAAGAAGCGACGAAGGGACCAAACGTCAAGGGGAAATTCGCTGACGGTGGGCCAATTAAAGTCGCGGGAGGAGGCTGGGGAGAGGGTTACCGGGGTTCTAGTGGATGACGGGCTGCTGGATGCCCTGAAAACCAGCATGTTCAGTGCCCTGCTGAAGGCGGGCTTGGCTGATGTGATCCGGGCGGGCTTCTCTTTCTCAGCTCGCCTTGTCTTTCATAGGTTGTTTTTGTTCGTCAAGAGAATGCAATAGGGAGAATATTGCAGTAGAGGCCAAAGAGACTGCCTTAAGGGAGTTATAGTAATAATGCCGAGGTTTTGCGACTAGTTGTCGCGATATTATTGGATGTTAAACTCCCTCCAGCAGCTGGAAGATGCCGTTAGTCAAACCAGCAGACAGACAGGCCAACCAAGGAGAAGCGAAGTCAAAGAGACTGGCTTTGCAACCCCCTTTAAACCTTTATATATTTTGTCTGTGGATTGACTTTGTTGCTTTTTTGTTGCGCTTCGTTTTGTCTATTCGTGCCCCCGGAATGTTCCAGGGCTCCAGCTCACAATGTTGGCTGACTGGCGGAGATTTGCGCTCGCTTGAAGCCTTCGATAAACTAGCTTCATATAACAAACGGTGGTTATAATCTTAGCCTTTTGTGTATCCGTATGCAGATTGGAAAAAAGAGACTCTTTTGTTTCGAGAGTTGAACAAAGAATCGTGAAGCAAGACAGACATGGACAGTCCAGTTACTTTAATACAGCCCAAGTCTCATCATTCAAAACCCAACGTAACCCGGGCCATGGTTCCGAGGGGACAGTTTACAGTAGTCTTGGTCTTGTCATGCAATTAATAGGAGCCTGGGCCTCTCTCAGTCCCTCTTCCTTCCTTACCTTTCCTATCCGGGCTGTCCCTGACGTCTAATCCATCACGTTCTTGTTTACGTATCCAGGTAGGTGAGATCAAATCTCCATCTTCAATCTCCAAAACCAGGGGGTTCCCAAGTCTCTGGGCTCTAAGGGCAGCCGCCATCCCCTGAATGGATTTTTGACAGGCGACGGCTCTTGACAAGGGGTTTCCGCAGTCCTATCAAGGGAGGTCTTGTTGTCTCCAGTGACGCCATGGCAGGCTTCAATTTTTTTTAAAGGTGCGGGCGTTGAATCTAGGTTAGTCTAGACTCTGAGGGGACGGACGTTGCGGCATCTTGGAGTTCCGGGCTGTTAATTATAATTCTTCATGCAACGTGAGTAAGTGATAGATGAAACTACATCACGAGGCTACTTCAGTATTCGTTGTAACTTGATGATGACGGGAGAAGACACATATTTGAACAGATTCTCAAAGTAAAGGGAATGCGTGATGTTCTTCATGTTGTCATAGTCACTCCACCTGAGCAAAGCCCCTGTCTCAAGTTGGGACGAACGTCTCGGATTTAGGTTCGTCTTGATTATCTCCCTTGTAAGTGTTCAAAGAGGGATTGAACGATGGGTGTAGTTCATTTGAGCATTCGAATCCATAGAGATTCATTATCGTGAAGCAGTTGTAAGTCTTGATGATGAGGCTACAGACTTACTATGCCTTGCGTTGTGTAGCATTCATCAGCGGAACGTTGACGTCACATTATTGCCAAATTAAGAGGCTCGAGCTCTCATCTTTTCTTTGTTCTTACCTATTAATAAACCTGAGTCCCGAGCTGAGATGCAATAGATATGTAACAACCCACACGGGACGGAGACGGCTTGAAATTGTGCATAAAGTTGTAAGAACTGGTTCGCTCAGCTACTGGCATCAGTCATAATAGGGTCATTATATCTGATCTACATCTAATGACAAGATCTCTCTTCATCTTCTTCTAATTTCTTAGTGACTCTCATCTCACCTGTATCTTGATTCAAAGATATATGGTCTCCCTCTTATGCGTATGAATGTTCTGATTAACACATCTCCCTTTATCTTAAGCATACCAACCATGTCTCTTCTAAGCAAATGCCATCCCGATCTACCCTTTTTTGCTTGCATGTCGATCATCTCGGCTTGGACCCAATTCAAGACATGCACGTCGCAAGTCGTCAAATCACAGAGCCATATCCCGCTCTAGCACTCCCGTCTTTCTACTGTGATGCATGCTACAAAGAATTGGCTGTTTTCCTCAGCTGAACTAGTGAAAGTTAGTTGAGAAACCTCCGCATTTTACGCCTCGTTGTTGCAATTGACCTGCCTGCCAACTCAGCAGTTTGAGCTCCAGCTTCAGAAGACGGTGTTAGCGCTAGAGGTAGGTACCTACCTAAGCTTCATGCTTCACCAGCCAAGAGCTCCCAGCGTCAGTCTCACCTTCCATACCTACGCAAGTGACGTCGTTTATTAGGCAACTTATCATCATCATCACTTGCCGTTGTCTTGTCCGTCTGTCTTTTATTTTTTGTTTGACGAAACCATCGCCACCACATTCCAATTCTTTATCCGTGTCGCACAAAGTTCAATCGCATATTCCTTTTTACAAACATCCCGACTCCTTCACCTCCAGTCTCTTCTTCCCTCCCTTGTTCTTCGGACCTTCCCCCTCATTCTCCGCGTCGTCGTAGACTAAACTCTGTCGCGTGACTTGATCGAATGCGCCGCCTTTTGCTTAATTTGTCTACCTGGGGTTCTTTCTAGTCTGCGTTTTTGTCTTCATCACAGAAAAGCGCATCGATTGAACATCGGTCATGGTGGACGAGAATACCACCGCACCTCCTTCCGGGAGACCCGCTGCCGGTGTAAGCTCCGGCTTCAGCGCCCCGCCCTCCGGTCATGGGCTCCGACGTGCCATGACCGTATCAGTCGCCGAGGACGCAGCATCTGCATCTCGACGTCCGCAAGTCTCATCACCTGGTTTTGATACGATACCTCCGCGTCGCAGCTCAAATTTCTCAGAGTACAGCTTCAATGAAGCTCGAGATTTCCTGAATCCTCAACCACGAGATCCTAGCAATGCCGGGTCTTCTTCAGCAGAGGAATCGTCATCTTTGCCGTCTCTGTCTCTAGCGTTTGCTTTTCTTCCAGCCATATCAGGTCTTCTTTTCAAGAACGGGAGTGCTGTTGTGACGGACTTCATGCTTCTGGGTCTGGCTGGTGTTTTCCTCAACTGGTCCGTAACACAGCCATGGTAAGTTTCTAGGGTGGCGCCCCTGCCAACATTTTGGAGCCTTTTAGAGTGTATGCTCACTTCACAAACAGGGCATGGTATCACTCAGCGCAGCAAGTACGGATACAACACGAAGTGCTAGCAGATAGTGTTATCGACGACGACAGCGATCTTGACTCCAGTACTCATGGACCAGGGCCTAACTCACCCCTGGACCACGTCCCAGAGGATGAAGAAGTGCACGCCGAGCGGACGGAGGAGATACAGGAAAGAGAACCGACTAAACAGCAGCGAGATGCGCTCTCAGAATTATACTTTTACGAAATCACAGCACTTGCCTCATGCTTTCTCCTCCCACTTTTAGGAGCATACCTCTTACATGCCATACGATCTCAGCTAAGCCGGCCTTCAGAAGGGCTGGTCTCTAACTACAACTTGACAATTTTCCTCTTGATGGCCGAGTTTCGTGTTCTGTCGCATATGATAAAACTGGTCCAGTCGCGAACGCTTCACCTACAGCGGGTGGTACAAGGAGGGCCTTCCAAATTCCAGCAAGTCAACAAGAACACGGAGCAACTAGAGGGCGTCCTTTCGCGCCTAGAACAATTGGAGTCTCGCATTACCACTGAGGAAACGAATTCTGTTCAAGAGATAAAACAGGAGATCAACAAAACGAAGCAGAAGGACAGTGTCGTGGCACGCGACGTGCGTAACGCCATTCAACCCGAGCTCGACGCACTCAACAGGGCTGTGCGTCGTTACGAGAAGAAGGCAACGCTTCTCCAGATCCAGACGGAGTCGCGATTCTCCGGGTTGGAAGCAAGACTGGATGATGCTATTGCCCTTGCTGCAAGTGCTGCAAAGAATAGTGCATCACACAAGAATGTGTTCGTATGGGCGATTGAATATCTCACCGCCGGACTACTACTTCCATTCAGAGCCCTTCTACGAATAATGTTGCTTCCTCTAAGCACACTACTAGCATTGATGAGCAAGGGGAAAAAGAGAACCCCCCCAGCTAAGTCGTCACGAAGCAGCCGCAATGGCAAGACAGTTGCACAACCTAGATACAATGGTGACCGCGTGCCTTCCAGAGTGGCCAAGCGATGATTGAGGATGGAAGAGGGATATCTGCTCAATAGGCCATAATAATATTCCTTATGTAAAGACGATGAAGAATTGGACAGCGGATTGCAATAATCAGTGGGATGCTTGTTATTTAAGAGAGGAAGATAGGGTGTTGTGTCCATCTGAGTGACAGACAGCTACATTCATGTTCAATCGAACGTACTTACATTGTCTATGTCTGCCATCTCCAACTTGGAATCAGCCTACCGAGCCACAATGGTTTCACTTAATGGGAATTTGGGGTCTGCTGCATAAAGTAGCACAGTAGGGAAAATACACAACTTCTCCATTATTTGCCTCTAGGTAGTTTGTCCAGTGTATTATTAAATCACCGAAACATATCAAATTTACTGAAACAGTATATGAAAGCCGTAAGCACCTTTTACTGAAGGAAAGGGACCTCGGTTCGTAGCGACTGCTCATGCAAGGGAAGATAGAAATATTTCAGGTTCCAGGTTTCAGCTTTCAAGTAAGGTTAATGGCGGCGCCTGTGCGGATCTAGCTGCAATCGATGTCAACTTAAATCGTCCTTGTCTCAGGTTGAAATCTAATTAATCCTAACGCCACGCTCGCTTAAGCTGCGAACCAAGCTCTGGTACCGATTAAAGGCGTTTATCTGCTGAGAAAACCTTTAGGTATACATACAATGCACCTAATGCTGGTATATCCTCGCGGAGCTGTTGCAGAGCGATAGCCAAGTGGACTTCTGCTTTGGCCTCAATAGTTGTAGCCTGATAATCTGATCAGCTTGGCCTCACTTACATACAGCTCAACGAGTGCGGCGAGCTCAAAGACTGCAGTCATGTAAGGGAGGTAAGAACTAGGGATTGAGTTTACCGCGTCTCACGTCCGAGTGCAACATTGAGGTTACTATATGCATGTGCTGCCACGCTGTTTTCTGCAAACCAGCATTAGCATCAACATCAACAACACGCTAATATTGGCAAGGATTCGAAGAAACCAAATGCACACAAAACCGCTCGATCATCGATCGTGCCAATCCTTGTTTGTTTAAGTCGAGCGTAGGCTGCGTAGCACGTGGCTGAGAGAGCTGTTTTCCAGCTAGTATTGCGAGCAACCCGAAGGGGGTTGGCGTAAAGGACTTACATCCAGATCGAGGGTTACCAAGGAACCTATAATTAAGCAGACAATAGTTCCCTGTACAATTGTGTTGGCTCTGTGAGATGACGCTGGTATGACAGTCGCATTATTTCGTACGTGTGCAACCGGAGGCGGAAGAGGCCTCGAAGTTTTATTATGTTCTTCGCCTTCATGGATAAAAGTCGCACTCTCACAAGAGCTTGAAGATCGACAGTTTTTATCCAAGGCACCAGGCTCGTCAGCTGTTGGGACAACAAACGAGAAATGCGAGGGTGTTATTCACTCAATGCACACCTGGGTTGCAAAAGCTGCACGATTGGGATCAGCTAGGCTTGTGTTAGTGATGGTGAGGTGCGACTCCACATGATTCGGGGCGTTGGTATTCATATTCGAGGCGAAGTCAAGCTGCAGCCCGCTGTTGATTATCTCGGCTTCATGGAGGGAAGCAAGGTTGGCAGGGGGTGCGCGTCTCCTCCAGGGCTACTGATCTTCCCGCACCAAGATAGGCGAGAGGAGCACGAACTGACATGATGGCATTCAGAAAGAAAGCCGGCGAGAAAACCCATATTGTGGGCATATACCTTGTCGTTAAGTCGAAATGCAAACAAAAGACTGGGTCCAATTAATCTCTTTAATCTCCAGACGCGCCGGTGAGGCGTCCGGGTAAAGTAGCGCGTGCTCCCAATATGGCAAAAGGGACAAGGAATCTCCAATGTATCGACTGGTACCTTCAGAAGTTCAGGCACAGAAACTCCCGCTGGGTGGGGGTGCTCAGAAATGATGATGATATGTAATTAAGTGACTGCAGCGTCCATCAGCGATGACGGGTGATCGACGGACTCGAGTTTTGAACAAGAGTCTGGGACAATCGCGGAAACATAACAAAGCAGCTTAGATCTGCCTCGTAAGTACACGACTTTAACGTCTTGGACAGAGATGATTTGTAAGTACCATGCGTCTGGCGTACAGAGGAGGGCGTGCTTTGCTGTGTCCCCAATACTCTATTGGTGCATGAAGTTGTGAAGTCTTAATTGCAAGACTTCGTACCTAAAATTGCCAGATAAACAGACATCAAACAAAGTTTCACAGGCATCAATGTCGCCAATCGCATTCCCATGTGGTAGGCAAACGACCAGTAAACGGTTGTTTATATCATCTCGTCTTCGAATAAAAAGAGTGAAATGCTCCATGATACGCCACCAAAAACGGAGCTAATCTGAACTAGAAGTAGCTTCGTGATAGGTACATCAAGTCCCTACCTAGGTCAAGCTGAGAAGATGTGAAAGGTCAATGCTTACACAACGGTTATAACCGCGTATTAAGGGCCTCCCTTCATATTTGTTGGGTGAATCATCGACTGCTGGCTGGTCGTTGCTTTGATTTGCATATGCCGCCAGACGCCGACTCATAACGCCTCAATCGCAAAAACAAATGAGGCATGTAGTTTCAAGTAAAAATATTCCAGAACAATAAAAGAGAGCGCTCTGACATCGAAGTCATCAACCGTGCTCTTTCAAGAGATGGACCCTGAATAAGTGTAAATTTAGAACCTCAGATGAGAACTTCCGAGAGGGTTTATTGTGTTGGGTGGTAGTCAGTTTTCCCTTGTGATTCAACGTGACTCGGGTACTATCTGCTAACAATACGATCCCTGTGAAATGTCGAGGCTGGTAAAACCTAAAGTAGGGAGCATTGTTGTCTCCTGAGACAAGGCAGTGCTGATGGGCAAGCCACGTATGATTTGTCTGTAACATCACCGCCAATATGTTGTGCTCACCATGATTGCATTAAAAATGGCGGTCGAAAGACGGCTGAACAAGTATGCAATCCTTGCCACCTCAAAAGAAAAACCCATACCCAGATAGTATACATTGCTGTATGTAAGTCAGACTGGCGTAAGAGAAAACACAGATTGGCCTATCGGTGAGGTCAATGGGGAAAGGGCTTGTTGATGATGCAGCATGGGCGCACAAAGGCTGGACTACGTGTGACAATGGCACCGGCTGAGAAGAGAGCAGCCTGCAGCATCGGTGCAGTGGCTGTTGTAGCGAGTCTGCAGGGCGGATACTTCGCTTCATCACCCCAGCCATCCTGTCACGGGCTTCTATGGTGAGGATGAAGACTCGAGTCTGAACGCTCATTGACCAGTCGAAGCAGGGATCTTTCATCGGATCATTCCGGCCGGGGTTCTTTCGACGCACGCTCTATTCACGCCTGCCTGGGTCGTCGATGGAGTCGTTCCTGTTGTATTGTGAGAGAATTGAATGTCACAGTATTTCTAGGTATGGTCAATAACCCGACTCAAAGACCTCTTCACAAGAATTGAATACGTACAGCTGTTGCGCCGGAGCTGGATAAAAATCTTGATGCTCTCTCACAATGCCCACTGTCTTTCAGCCGCTGAGCATAATCCCTGTCCCATGCAATCTGACCAAAAAGCATGTTTAGGTGGAGATGATGGGCGGACTACCCGCACATATCCTTAATGGCAGGGCGCGGTTCTTATGCGTTCCGTCTCAGACAACACCCTTGAGACTTTGTGAAGCAACTAGATGATTCAGATATTTTTGTATCCATTTGCGATGATAACGAAAGAGAGAAAGAGTGTTCCTGATGAACAGGCAGGCAGGTACCTAAATAGTTGATGTCAGTGGATGAATGTTTTGATCAACATACCGTGCCAATGATAATATTAATCGTGCCACTACTGCCTCGCGCTACCACTGGCTCTGTCCTAAATGGGCTGAATTTGTACCTGGATGTACTTGAAACAGGTACATCACCGCCGCGATTGGCTGCCGTTTGAGTGGAAGAGGGGTGGGCCGGCAAGTGCTCCCAGCTTCAGGCGCTGTCTAAACCAGGAAAGAGCAAGCCGCTGCAAGCCAAGAACCGGGAATACGGTACGTACCACCATGTGAGCCCCACGCTCCACCTACCAGCGGGAGTGGACCGTGGTTTTCCTTAGCTTTAGGTGTAAGTCGGCCATTCACCCGCTACCATCACGATAGACCGGCGTCACAGGAGGCCATTGGGAAATTGGCCCAAGAAAGTCTCTTCTCAACGGCCGCGCCATGGTCTTCCTTTTCGTCCAGTCACTGCTAATCTTGGACATGGATCCCTTTATTGACCAGGATACTCCCGGTCTGCCTCCGCGTCTCCCTCGAAGTCGAGTCCATCCGTCCATGATCCATCCATCCCACCATCCATCAGATCTTTGTCTCTGCACGCCGAGACAATAACTACGCTAAGATGCCACATCCTTCCCGATTCCCGGTCCTGCATCTTCTTCGCTTCACCTCTTTGTCACTCTTTATACCTGCGCTCGTTTCCTCTGGAGGTGTTGGATCTTAATCCTGGGGTTGCCTGGCATTCACTACTGCTGCTACTAGTACTCCTACTGCAACTACTGCACATCGACTGCATGCACAGCGCACCCTGTTCGTTCATTCATTCGTTCATTCTTGTTCTATCTGCTTTTCTCATAATCCCATAATACGTCTCGTCTCGTCTTACCTCTAGACGGACCTCGATCAACAAGCTTGAAGCTTTGTCCAATATCCTTTTCTACAGTATCCTTGTTCCTTTATTACCCAAGGATACATCTTGTCTTTTATCATTTCTTAACTCATCTAGTCAGCTTGGAACATAAGAACCGTGTTTCATAGGATGCTCGAAGAGTTTTAAGATATAACCATAACTCGATAATTTGTACTGTCAAACGTCAGCACATCACATTTCCGCACCCACATCAACACAATGCTCGCACGTTGGTCTCGGTTATGGATGATCTTTTGTCTCCTGCTGGCGTTTCAACATGTTAGTGGAGAGGCTTTCGAGATAGCCCCAAGAGCGGGCGACGACGATGCGCAAAAGACAACAGCCGTTGAGTCCGGCTCAACCTCGACACAGGCACACAACAGTATCACAAAAACTACCGAGGCTTTGGGAAAAAAGACAGAATCTTCTGAGCCCACGAATTCACAGTCAGAGAGTGAAGCCATCTCTGTAACCGCTACCGAGTTGGAGAAGTCGGAAAGTTCAGATCCTACATCGACAAGCACAGGTGGTCCATTCGAAAGTGGACTTGATGAATCTTCCTACTACAATGGTAATATGACGCGTGGGGTTTGTTTCTGAGTCCTTGCTAACACGCTTATTAGCCACAATACCTGCCGGCCAACTTCCTATCGAGCCAAAGCTCACACCAGGCTGGGGTGTCGCAGGAACCATCATGCTTCTTACTGGTGCCGGGTACACTCTCATTGGAATCAAGAATCGAATGATCCATACCTTCTTCTCGACTGCTTTCGCCGCAGCTCTATGCGTTGCTGTACTGATCGTCTATGTCATGAAGTCTGAAGTCAGCGACGCTTTGCAAGGAGGTTACGTCGTTGCTGCCGTGATCTCTGGGTGTATCCTCGGTGGAGCTTCTATGTTTTTCAGGGAGATAACAGAGGGTTTAGGCTGTGCTTTGGGTGGCTTCTGCGTAAGTATGTGGCTTCTCTGCTTAGTTCCTGGAGGGCTGCTTGGTCCCGTCGTGGCCAAAGCTATTTTTATTGCTTGCTTTACTGTGGGTGGTTTTGCCTTTTACTTCAGCCATTACACCAGAGATTGGGCACTCATCCTCATGATTTCCTTCTCCGGTGCTACAGTTACAGTACTTGGAATCGATTGCTTTAGTCGAGCTGGGCTGAAGGAATTCTGGGCCTATGTCTGGGAGCTCAACGATGATTTGTTTCCACTCGGGGCCGACACTTATCCAGTCACGAAAGGCATCCGAGTTGAAACTGCAGCAATCGTCATTATCTGCCTATTCGGCATCATCTCCCAGATCAAGCTATGGAAGCTCGTTCGCGAAAAGCGTGAAAAGAAGGCAGAAGCGGCTGCTGAAGGGGAGCGCAATCTTCGTGAGGAAGAAGAACAAGTTGGCAGGAATATCGAAGAGGCGAATGCGCGCGAGAGGCGACAGTGGGAGCGCATTTATGGCAATGGAGATGCAGGAACCTCGACAGCCTCTCGCACTTCGAACGATGGCGGAACTCCCAACGAGAAGCACAATCGACTCAGCCAGACCGACTCTTCGAAAGGACAATCCGCCTCAGTTGTTGAGGTTATTGAGATGACAGACATCCCCGACCCTGAGCAACCCAAGGAACAGCCTACCACCACCGTAAACTTGATGTCTTCCGAGCACGACGAGGACGGCAGAGTAACGGTTCGCGTGGCGTCAAATGATATCGCTCCAACAACTACCGAGATCGTAAACGACACTATTGGTAATGATGGACAAAAACGTCCTACCGTAGACAATCAGACCGACAGACGCGTTTCTACTCAACTATCCATTGCCAGATCGACAGCACCTCCTGTTGTTCCTCTTCCATTCACTATTCCCGTTGCCAACGACGATCATGATGCCCTTACTCACGAGGATCGCTCATCCGTGGCCACCTTTGCTGATGAACAAGATACCGAACCTCAGACACCTAACAACCGCCGACACTCACTTGCGAAAAGATTATCTCGCCTCTCGCGTGGATCGATGGAATTGCTTGGAAATATTTCCCACCGATCGAGCCGTGTTCTTGGAGAGTCTCAGGAACACGAACATGGTGAAAGTACCGACGAGTTGGTCATCCCACGGTCGCGATCGCACGATGACGATGGCTCAGTTGCAGCGACAGTGGACGATGAGAGCGTCAGTGGTGATGATCGCAACTCTCGTAGCACTCAAGAATTGCGAAAGGGTATCGAAATCAACGCTGAACTCTCAGGAAAGGGTGGAAAGGATAAGCCAAGCACACATGAAGCGGACCAGGATTCTCCCGTGGCTGTTGGTACGAGCGATACAACTAAGCCAGATGAACCGAAGAGAGAGGAAGATGCTGCAACAGGTGTTGACAAGAGCAAGTCTGTGACATCTAGCTCTTCAGCCCGCGTGAGCCTGACCAAGGATCGACTCCCTAGATCACTTTCCAAGGTAGCATTGTCTTACCGAACAAATGAATGGGCCAAGCATTTGAGCAACGCAGAAGCTCCCGAGGTCGACGAGATCCAAGTTACTGCACCCAGGAGTTCAGCAGTGCCAACGATTGAAACACCGGCTCCCGTACACATGGAAGAGCTACGCAAGGCCTCCAGTGAAGGAACACCAGCACCAGCAATCACGCGGTCGGACTCGCAAACCTCTCATCTCTCTCATGCGGCACCTCGCCGTGGCTCAAAGCAACATGTTCCAGCTGCACTGGCTCTTCTCACAGGCGAGAACCAGCATCGTAGCCCTGGCTCAACTCCAACTAGCGGTGCCATGCCACGCTCATCTAGCGGAGCCTTGAGAATAGCTTCTGGAGCAATCGCTCCTATTGCAGAAGAACAGGTTGCTTCAAACCCGACACCACCTGCCCCAACAGGAGAGTCAATAGGGCAACAAAATCTGAGCGTCCCAGGTGTCACAGAAGGCCAGCGGTCATCGACCCCAGGTGTTGTATCGTACTCGAGTCCCCAGACTCTTCTCGGTCAACGGGAGATGTACCTCCGCAACAAGTCGGCAGGAAATTTGTTGGCCAGCTCGTCAGAAGTCAACCTCCCTGCTCGATATAGAACCTCGAGCGATGCTGGATCACTCAACAACTATCCGATGTACGCCGCTGCTGTCGGAATGGATGCCGACGACCTGCCCTTGAACAAAAGAAAGGAACTCATGCGACAGAGCAGCCTGAGTCCATCAAACTCGACACCATCACTTCAACGTCTCAGTGGTGGTAGCAATACCAACAACTTCAACGCTTCAGATGCGTATTTGAACTCTCACCAACCCCAGCGCGTATCGACACTCCCCAATTCTGCGGCTCGAGAGACGGCACTTGCCAACTTCCGACAGTCGGTCCAACATGAGCTACGCGCCGGCACACCTGTTATCAGTACCTCTGGTCGCGAGACCCCGTTCACCCCGCAATCCCTCTTGGCCAGCCGGGAGGTAGAGGTCCAGCGTAACGTCGACATGAGCCGAAACATTCTTTTGAGTCAGAAGCAGGCCGAAGCTCAGCGCCGTGAGACACAGCAACGAGAGAAAGAATGGGCCGATAAGGCTTTTGACGAGCGCATGCGAAATGGAGACCTTCTCGATGTACATCGTGAAGCTATGCGCAAACTTCAAAGACACGCTAAGGACATGTAAACATTGAGCCTTAGGACTCTTCCCCGATTCCTCGGGACACTGACCACAATCCTTATGTTTCTATTTTCTTACTACTTCACATACCCAGCTTTGATCTTTCGAATATTTACGATACTAATGGGTTTCACGTTTGCGATTTGCCAAAAGAAAAACAAGGGTTGGTTACGACGGCTGGGTAAAAATGATTATTTATGGGCTTGGAAGATCATCATGACGGTCATTTATAGAGATTATGCATGTCAAGATCCAGGACATGTATCAAGCTGGATTGCAACGATAATCACAAAAATCTTTAATTCTTCACAATGATCCGATAATTGCGTGGTTGACAACATGGAAATATTAAGAGAGCAAGGTGCTTTCGCGTGAAAGGCACCTATCTAGATTACTATAATCGATGAACTTGACAATGTATGTCTCTAAATAAGAATAAGCCCTTTTGGTACCTGCGCCGTCGCCTGCAATGATGCTAATGAAAGCAATAAATCAGAAAAGAAAAGCCACAGAATTTGGCAGCGTCTCCCATAACATTATAGGTATACCGTTCAGGCCGGGCTCAGGCACCAGCGATGGATCACGTAGCCCAACCGTATAGACGTTCCTAGCGTCTATAAGTTTCTTCCAGAGGCTCAGTTGTGATAGAATAATTCGAAGATATGGGAACCAGCAAGTGCGTATGAGGCGTGATGATGTCAGGAGTCGGGATGTCTACTGTATCAGCCCAAACCAGCGTTTGGTTGCGTGCAGGTTGGGGAGACGAGTTGCTCTCCCAGAAGCGACTGTTCATGACAGAAGGAAGAAAATGGAGAGGCAGGCCACGATCCAAAGGGGGCCTTCGGTCCTTCTTCTTTCTGAAGCTGAAAGAAGCCAGTGATGGTAGTGGTATCGTGGGCAAGTCGAAACGAGTACGGAAGAGGAAGGGGTTTCGAGGTGGTAGAGTTACTGGGTCTTCTGTGGAAGATGGAGCATTATGAGGCGGGTAGACTATCTCTGGACGAGGTGGTTGTGAAGGTCTGAACCCGCCCAAGTCGCGTTCTGGCTCGGCTTCTGGTGTCGCAGTAGGAACGTTGATTGACTGCAGAGAGACAGGATCAAGAGTCGCTGATGACGAAGTGGTAAGATTACGACTAGAAAAGAGACTTCTGATCTTTCTCGGAATTGAGGATGTGCTGCATGTAGTTAGTATCACATCCAAGACCCATGTATATCGTTACTCACGTTGAGACTGAGGAATCCATGAGGTGAGAGTTCCCAGAACTACTGCCGTATGTGGTCCTATCGGGATCATACTCCTCATGGAGATTCGGAAATACGTGACCAAGACCAAAGCAGAGCAGACCGCGACGATAGCTGTTAATAGCATCTTTTGTCATTCCGAAGAAGATAACGACCGGGACAGCAGCGAGGATATGGATGTAGCAGTTGTTCAAATGGACAAAATTGAAGCCATTGGACGGGACGAGAATGACAGCCGACCATGGATAAGGCCAGGTACGGTTATGGATGAGGTCGTAATCGAAGGGCTGAAGTGGAGAAGCACCGAGAATGTTGAGAACAGCAAAAGTGATGACCACGGGTAGGTAAGGGATCAAGATGGCCAGCACCATTAGATAGAGGCGGCGCTTTGTCCTTTGGGCGCGCTGGTTAGCAGACCTGCTGCTGTTGATGGCTGTTCGAGTGGTCCTTGCGACTTCACGGAAGCGGATATAGGTCAGAACTTTTTCGTATTAGTCAAACTGTGAATCATATAGAAGATAAATAGATATGAACTTACTGGCATATCCGGACGTTATCAGGGCAACGACAACAGGGGCAACAGCGAAGAAGGCCATATAAGGCCAGGAAGGCCAGGCAATCCAAGTGCATCCCACAAGTGTAGCTATCGCATATCTCTGAGTAGTCAAAGGCCATACCCAGGCAAGCTGCATAACAGGAAGTGGGAACATGATGAGTGCCTGGACAAGGTTACGTCGACGTCTCTCTTGGACAGTCAAGGAATTGGCGCGCAAAAGACCGACTTGTTGAGCGAGGTTGCGCATTATGGCGAGTAGACAGGTGACGAATAATGCCATTTGGAAATTGGTATAGTACGGGCTGATATCACAGAGTCCTTCGCCAGACCACCACTTGCTAGTATCGTCGTCTCTCCAGATAAGGGAGTTGATGATTGTGTCGAAATTGGCAAACTGAATGTTGGCAATAAATACAACAGCCGCGAATTCGCCATTGCGGTAAAGATTCTTTAGAGGTACTATACATGCTATGTTGGCGATGGTGGCGAGAAGTACTCTGCAGACGAGGTTGGCTGTGAGCGAAGGAGTCGTGGTAGTTGCTGGTCCAGGAGTTGCTATTATAGACAGGTCGTCACGACCGAACAAGTGGGTTGAGCCGGCCATGACGACAAGCGAGGTAGAAGAAGCTTATAAGGCTGAAGCGTGGAAAATTGAGTATATGAAGAAAAAGTCAAAGCAACTTGGTGATGCTGTTGGTGATAGTGCTGTTGGTGAGGTTAACAGATGCAAGATGGCAACGTCTTGGCCCAACGGCTGATCAAAGCGGGAAGCGCAAGGACCTTGCTCTACAGTTGGCTCAACGGTTCTGTTGTCTTCCTTATACAGTGTTCAATTTGAATAAGATAAATAGCTAGCCAATTCTGTCTACCTGCCCGTCAATAAGGACGGAGAGGCTCAATAAGGCGGCGACTTAGACATGCTTGACGTTCCTGAGGGGCCCTGAATTAGTTTACTATCATTATTAGTGTATTACGTCTTTACTTCCCGCCCCCTTCGCCCTCCTGTCAATAAGAAAAGAATAAGGAATCTTTGTCTCCGTTTGGAGTAAGGTGTTATTGCCATGCCCAGATCTATAAACGCGGCTATTGAGGGCGTCTATTGACAACCCGATCGGGCAAGTGAAGTGTACAGGGGTCGAATTAAGCGAACGAACGAGATTTTAGGCATTTGCTTAGTGAGGGGTTCGTACCTAGCCCATCAACTAAACTTAGACCAGAGTCTGAGTCTGAGCCTGAGCCTGAGCCTGAGCCTGAGCTTGAAATCTACGCCTCCACTGCCATGCAAGCTCTATAAAAACTCAATCTGTCTAGCCAAGAAAAGGATCGAGGGGCGCTGAACTTTGAGTCGCCATCTTTTTTTCTTTGGGAAGATATGACGAAGCTTGGCGGATGGCGGTCGTGATCCAGAGCATTTAGTCTAAGTAGTCCCAGAGCCAGGGTCCAGATGGATGACGGAGCTCCCAGACAGGAGTAAAATGATTTAGCGGCTAGTGATTCAGATATCTTAGTGAAATCCTCTATTTCAAATCATCTCATACTACCGAGTCGCGAAGTCTATCTTGGAGATTAAACAGCCCGGTTCTTTAGGTAGGTACCTAGGAAGTCCGTTGACTGAAATCGCAGTGTGACGTATATGCATATACCCGAGCCGCCTAATCTCAACGGCACCCGTTTATCGGGTCACACAAGAGCTGTCAGCATTAACCAATCAAATAACGCGTTGAAGAGGGTCTCTCAATCTCAGCTTCCTACCCTATCGCGTCTCAGGGTTTCGAAACTACGCGACTGTTCTCAAAGTCCCCCAGTCCCTCTTATCAACAAATCCCCGTTCACTCCGCTTCAGCTTCCCTCGTTCACCCCTCAGCCTCAGCAAACGACGAAACGAAACAAAGAAAAGAAAAAATATCAATACACACCATGTCTTTCTCTACCGCCCTTCGTCGCGCCGCCGTCGCTCCGGCTTTTACTGCCCGTGCTTTCAGCACCACCTCTGCTCGACCTCTCGCCAAGATCACCATTATTGGTAACCTCGCTGATACTCCCGAGGTCCACCCCACCAGCACTGGCCGTGAAGTCGTCCGCTACGCTGTCGCCAGCAACAGCGGCTCTCGCGAAAACCGCAAGACCAGCTGGTTCAAGGTCACAAGCTTCGCTGAAGGTCCTTCTCGAGACTACCTCATGAACCTTCCCAAGGGGTATGATATGACAGCCATTCAAAGGCAGACCAAACCATGCTAACAACACATACAGTGCTACTGTCTACGTCGAGGGCGATGCTTCTCTGCACCCTTACACTGACGCAAACGGCCAGAACCGTACCAGCTTCAGTGTCGTCCAGCGTATGCCTTCCCAATACCACGTTGTCGTCAATCCTAACATAATCCAGGCCAAATCGAGGTTCTTCGACGTCCCCAAGCTCCTGAGCAGGGCGAGTAAGCAGAATCCCCGATCGATTCTTGTTCACACGGACGCAACCTTTTCGTGGCGCCACAATACCCTGCCCGCTGGCTCTCCTCTCACAAAGATGGTTTCTTTTGTCGGATGCTAATGTATGGGTGCAATGTACGATGAGCTTTAAGGACAGCTGCTGGAGGAACTGTATGATACCACGATGCAATATACTTATTAAGATCACAGTCTCGGGACGTAATTGAGTAGATCAACCGCTGAGAATTATCGTCTATGTCTACCAATCGCTGTTGAGCCTAATTACTGAGTTGGATTTCAACCTTGTTCTCGCTGATTTTCAAAACTGCCAATGTGATCCATCCTTGGAACGTTGAATTTGCCCCGTTGAATCGTTTTTTACCCGACAAACGATCATTCAGCCGAGTCTTCCGTTCAAGCACAATCGTCATTTCCACCGAACAAGTGACGACGAACTGATGATCCCTGTGGTTGTTGCAGGAATAGGATTCCCAGGATCACCGCAGCCCAAAACACGACTTTTTCCAATAGAACCAGTCCTATTAACAGCACAACCAGATCAATCGGCAGCGGTAGTCGTTGTGGTACAACTCGAAGTCCTATAAGACGAAGCATTGGGGTGATCCCATTCAGTACTCGAAGTATCACTGCGAGATATTGCGCGAACCGTTGCGCCAATACCAAGATGGCTTGTGGGAGCAAAGAGAGAATGTATCCTGGCAACAAGAGAATATACTCTGACAAAGTGATGAGTCGCTGTCTCAGGTGAAATGCATGCTGGGGTAATCTGATCACGATGCGTATTGTCCCAACGCAGAGGATCAAAATATGCACCAACAGCTGAGGGCGCCAAAAGTCAAGCCGCCGTTGATTCTCCAGATGTATGAAAGCCAGTCGATGAACAGCTTGTGGGAAATTTGGTACTCTGGGTCCTTGATCTGGCTGATCCCCTAGCCATTGTCCACGTCGTCTGAAGTGCCAGAGTTTTTGTAGCAATTGCGGTTGCCACATTTTATCGTCCTGTTATGAAGTCGAATCTACCCGCTCGTTCTTCTTGGGCTGTGCTTGTATAGGAAATTCTGCTTGAGATGGGAGGCCAACGGGTCGGATTATCAGCTGGAAAATGAAAAGTTTAACGAAGATGATAATTAGAATCATTACCTGTGATGAATCAATGAAGAAGAGGGTGACAATGTGGTATTAAGAAGTGGAATATGATAAAACTGTTCCTAAGAACTTCGCCATCCTATCTCGAGAAGGTCTGATAGGTGATATTATCAGAGTACACGAACAGGCAAGAGACACCAGAGGTCATTACTGGCAACTGAAGACAAATGGCACCGGCTTGGTCTTGAAGATGAAACTGCCTTGAAGGAAAGATAGAAGTAGCAACTCATCCAGTCGTGACAACCTGTTATCATGCGCCGCAAGGCACCAGCCCCAGATGGGTGTCAGAATTGACCGCCGAGAGCATAAAAGATGAAATAATCTGGTTATCTTGTGCTAGCTTATGCTAGCATTTAGGCTACTTTATTTCTGTAGCCTAAGCCTTGGAGGACAATTCTTCTGACACCATGACGAGACCCTATACTAGAGTACAGCTATCCATACATCCAAAGCCAGCAGCAACACCACCCTCTTCACTCTTATCGCCCTTTGTACGTAACAGATATCCGGCCTCTTCGTTGTGATGAACCTTTCCTGTACTCTGGTCCCAGACACAAGTACCATAAATTCCTAGCTCACAGATGACACCGCCTTGTTCGAGGCTACCATTACGGAGGATGATGTTGTTGACAGGGGGAGGAGTAATGAGCTCCATAAGGATATAAGAACCCCAATGAGACTCAGGAACAGACTTTAGAAAGTCGGGAATAGCCCCTCGGTAGATGTTGTTTCCACCACCTTCTCGCTGAGGCTTTAACACGTAGTCTTGACAAGCTTCCGGATCGAGGGCCTTCTTTCTTGCCTCAAGACCAGCATCGCTTGTGTCCATGGGGAAGATATTGGTGAATGTGCGCCAGAGCTCAGCTGCTTCACTGGTATCGTCGCGGATAAATCTGCTAAGGGCCGAAGGCGATGTTGATGGACGCGGTGTCGCCAAGATTTGCTGAACTTTCTTTGTTCCAGCCAATTGAGTCAAAACCGTGGGACACTTGATGGCATTTGATCTTTCCAAGTGGTAACGAGCTTCCCAGGCTTGCTGGTCCGGGTAGTCAGAAGGTCCATATCCAGATCGCATGTAAATGACGGCAACCTCATACACCTTGGCGGGGTTTCTTGGAAGATGATACAGAAGCTGTCGCTTCGAGGTGTCTGCAATCTTTGTGTGCTTCAGGATCTGGGAGTGTGGCAGTCTGAAGACGGGGATAGATGGTGAAGAGTTGATAATTTGATACTCTAGATGACGCTGATCGAAAATGTTCCTCTCTCCATCCTGAACAAGGAAGATGACACACTTTTGGTGACCGAGCTCAGATGTGGGATAGATGTTGTAAGCTGCTTCAATGCCTGCTGCCAAGCCGCGAGTGCTGGTGTTTTCTGGTAAATCCAGCGACCCTTGAGGGATCGAATTTTCCAAGATAGGGTACTCTGTAGTAGCAAGGTACCTATTCATATCAGTCTCGTGTTGACAACCAAGTGAAACACTCTCGGGGTAAGTACTTATGAAGAGCGGAAGTGTAAGTTGAGAGACCACCAAAAGATGAAGCAATGGTGTTGAATTCGACTTGCTTAACTTGCAAAGAAGGGGGAGAAGTGTGAGTGTCCTGATGGACCATGTAATCCGATCGGAACAACCCCAGAGATAGAGGCTGATATAGTTAGCTATGCATCGAGACTCCAATTCGATTAAAAGAATCTTGCCTGCGTATATCCCTCAGCCTTGACCTTAGTATGGACATCCCATAAGTTACGGATAAAGTCATCACCATCTGCAACCCTAGAATTGATCAGAAATTGCAAGTTGCAATGCGTCAGAATTTACATACTCTTTCACCACTTGGGCCAGAAACTCTTCATCCCTGCTCACTGAAGCATACAACTCATTGTAAGTCTTTTGAACCGCCTTGCCTTGAGCGAAACATCGCTTGGGAAACGGGCTGGGGAAGAGAGTGACGGGCACGTTGGTAGCAGCAATACCCTTGGGATCTGCTTCAGCGGCTATAACGGTTGGCGGAGGTCGAACTGCAAGACCATTGCCTATCGACCAGTCCTTGACAGTCTCGATGAGGGCATCCTTTTCTTCAGACTTGACAGTGGGGGGGTATGCCCCGCCTGTGAGAGATGCCATGGTTTTGAGATGGACAAAGGTTTCGTAATACGGCGACTATGAGACGAATACAGCGGGAAAAAGAGAAAGGGCTTTTTTTTTAAGGACTCTTGGATTGTCAACCTCGTGAAGGTCGTTGACTTGCGTGCTTGTAAGCTTTGCGCCAAACGGGGTGGATTAATAATTCAGTGGGTGCTTCTAGACAGAATTGAGAAGGGCTGATTTCACAAGGGTGCACCTACCTAGGTAGTGCTAATCATACAAGATGATGGACAAGGCCGGACTCTAAATATGGGCTCCTGAGATTCATGCCTATGAGTAGGGTAGTAGTTTTAGATAGGCTAATGACGATATTTTAATCTTCACCTGATTCTACTGGAATTTGTAGATGATTTGCATTTTGAACATCATTGATGAGGGGTTCCGTCCCTTCCATGGCGGGGTAAATAAATAGATAAAATGGAGGTTTTTGAGAGGACTACTACTACCTAGGTACTCGTACTGCACCACTGCTGTCTGTAAATACATCCATTCAGGTAGCCACTTGATATAGTACTCTGTCCTAGTCTCAGCAATCCAATTTCTTTTTGTTTTCCCAAGCAGCTCCGGAATTTGGTGGTATATGATCAACCGTTGTATCCATTGCTATGCGACTGCCTAAGCAGGCAATAAAGAAGGCCAGGAGGTGCCTTCCCACATGCTGGTTTACTCTCAACATTGTTTCCATTGATGCCTTCCTTACAAAGCTCCATCACAATTACGAAGAATAGGTACATGTACCTCCACTGTCTAAAGGCTTAACAATAGGAAGCTCTTTCCCGGGTTTCTATTCATCTTGCTTAATGATCACGTGAGAGCACCGTTGCTCCACTAGTCTACTCCACTGCAGAGAAACCACCAACAGATTCTAGTGCGACGCGCTCCGGTAGCGCCTGGGTGTTGCAGCCCGTCTTCTACAGCGCCTCTACCTGTGATCAGTACCGTCCTAGGTAGTATTTGCGATTTCTCTAGGCGCATCATTGTTTTCTATTTTCTCTTTCGCTGCTACGAACACAGAAGCTAACAGGCAGCGAAGAAACTTCCAACATTAACTGATTTTTTGTCTTTGCCTTTGCTTTTGCTAATTATTTCGTGTTTACACTTCGGTCGCGTAAGAATCCCTTCCTCGGGAAAGTTCTGTTACGCTTTGCTAAACTTCCAATATAGGCAAACCCTCTTCGCATTCATCCTTCGTGTCAGTTTCGAAGGCGACCTAGAGTGTCATTCTTGGGTACTCTGATCTTAGTTGCCGTTCAAACGTCCCGGGACTGCTAAGTGAAACGATTCTGACAACCTCCTCAAACGCAGCCAACTGGTTGCTATGTGCCTTCCACTTCGCTTCGCTTGTCATTGCTGAGCAAAGGCTCAGCACAGTCGGTATCTCAGCCCATGTTCTTGCGCATCTTTTCATGGTACGTCGCTCATACGCCGTCGTTAACTTTAACTTTCCTCCCTAATACCTGATCAGCCACACTAACTTTACCCAGTAATTCTTTTCACTGTGTTCTTGAGAGCACGTGCAACTTCAAATGGAAGGATCCGGAACAGATGATCCCTACTCGTGGGGCGTTGAAGATGCTGTTCAACAGCTTTGTGCTCCCGGGTGCCCGTGGAGTCGAGATCCTGACTCTCTAGCTGCGCGCCTTCGTGAAGAGGAAATTGACGGCAAAACGTTACTGACCTTTGAGCACGTATGCTCACGCCAGGAGTTGATGGAGTGTTTGGGCGTCAAAATTGCTCGTCACAAAGCCGCTCTTGTGGAACTCATTGTCACACTTCGATCCCAGAGTAGGGGCTATTGGCAATGGCAACAAGATTTCAAGCGAAAGAATTCCAGTTTTTGTGATGAGCAAGCCCAAGAGCTCACTGAGGGTACCGCAGAATACGCCCATTCACCAAGTGGTGGCCGCCAGAAACAAAATGAGATATTCACGCCAGCTTCGGTTTCGAACGTGGGACAGCACAATGCGGAGGAGCGATCAACTCAACAAGAAGATACGAGCGCAAAACAGATACCGACGCTTCAAAAAGATGAACAGCCCACTGCCGTCGAAGATTCTCGTCTATCGCCCACTCGTGAGACTCCCAACCAAGAGACTGGCGAGAGGTCTGTTAAACGCAGACGCGTGGCGCCTACACTTCTAACAGAGAAGCCACGTGACGTTGCAGCTGCCTTTATTCCCACAGAAGCTGACGTTCTTCGTTACTCATTCCCTGAAGATCCCTATCCTTGGGAGAGTGCACCAGTCTATGCTTACCTGGGCGATGGCATGATCCCGCAGGAAACAATCACGTCAACTGAGGGCAAATTGTCTTCTCTAGTTCGAGAACACCATGAATCTTTCGATGTGAACAGCCTGCACATGATCCCAGCTGGAAGAAGGCTTGTTGCCAATAGGACTCTTAAACGGCTATTCACAGGTCGTCATCCAATATCCAGACATTTTTCATCATCCCCTAATCGCTCCGATCCGTCAGACAAGATCTATGAGCTTGCGGATCTTGGCGCCGAAGACTTTGACGACGAGACACGGAGAGAAATCGAGGAGGAAGAACTGGAGAGAGAACGGCTTGAAACTCTTTCCCAGGAAGCCTGGCCAGATCCATTTGTCTCCGCCGAGCGAGTCGCCGAGATTTTGAACGAAGCCATCGAAGTTGTTGAAGCAAACTGGCGAGAGAGGAAGCTCCCGAAATATGAGCGAAAGGCTTATAGTTTATGGCAGAAATCTCGACGACATGGGACAAGGAAACTGCAAATCCGCAGAGCACATGAAACGGCTACGCATCTCATTGGTCGTATCCAAAAACTATGCCTTGAAATACAGAAGCAGGATTGGACGTCGGAATCTCCCTACCGTGATGCAGCCAAAAGTCTTGAACAGAGTCTGGAAGACAAGATGTATCAGACATGGCTGATCAAGATACTTGAGTCCTCGAGACCACCCCCGAAGCCACAAGCCACCACCAAGCCAAAGCCACCCACCGAGCGTCGATCTAGCGGTTTTCTCCAAGAGGAAGTCCTTACAAGCTCTGACGAAGACGAGTTTGTTGTTCCTGACCAAGCTGATTTAATCGAAGAAGGCTCGAGGGAACATCAGGTCTCTCCAATTCCCATTTTGAAGGAAGAGCCTATGGACCTAGATGCCACATTTGTGGATCTAACACAGGATGATTCGGACGACCACGATGGCTTCGACTTGACTCAGCCTATTGACCTGACCACTCCAGTTAAAAAGGCTAGCAAAGCTTGGCCCGAAGAGATGCAGAGAGAGAATGTGGCGCAAGACGTTCCTGGAACTGTCATCCTTGACGGTGATATATCCGAGCCTGGTGTTGCCGAGACTCAACCTCCGGAGAATCCTGACTCTGAGAGCCGTGACGTCGAAAAGAAAGCCGATTCGATTCCACCAAAAAAGTCTCCGTATCCCTCCGACTCTACCAATCTCGAACTTCCCCCTATTGAAAATTTCGGTGATCTCCAAAAATTCGCCTTGGCATCGCTCTACAAACTAGCTAAGAGCAGTGACCGTTGGCGATTGTTGATTGGTGAGATATGGCAAATGGAGCATCGTCGGAGAAAGGCAGCATTCGATTTGATTCTATCGGATGAACCTGGTGTGGTCTGGTCAAAGGATATTGTTCCTTACCTCGATGCACCAGTAAACAACAGGCAAGAGCTAGAGCAAGACAGCTTCAGAGCGGCTCTTTTCGATGTTGCACGCCTTTGCAATTGTTTCTTCCTGTGCCAGCACAAAACAGATGAGCAGATGCTCTACATGAAACCTTCTAAGATCAAGAAGCGCATTATGAGACCACAGTCACGCCTCAACATTTTCGAGCCATTCTCCCTTTTTGTGAAGCTACTAGCGTCACACATCCCTCAAGACAGCCAAATCTACAACACACAAGAAACAGATATCCTCGATGATCTCTTCCCAGAAGAGGACGATTTGGACGATGTGGATGACCTGGACGATGTTGACGGAGAGGAAGATCGAGGGCGACAGCGGCCAAAAGAAAAGGAAATCATCCGCGACAAAGACGCTGTCGATCTCCGTGAACGGGAAAAACAGAGAATCCAAGAGCAAGAACTTCGCAGGGCCAAATTGCGGGCAACACTTGCTTCGCAGCCTTTGGCCCCTGGTGATGGAAACCGCATCATTATAAACGAAAGCAAAGAAGAGGATCAAGGCCTGATCTATGTCAATGAACACATTGCACGTAGTATCAAGCCACATCAAGTCGACGGTGTTCGCTTCATGTGGAACCAGATCGTGCGTGACGCTAGCGTTCGGCAAGGTTGCTTGCTTGCTCATACAATGGGACTTGGCAAAACAATGCAAGTCATCACTGTTCTTGTTGCCTTAGCGGAGGCATCAGAATCTCAAGATCCATCTGTAGTCGCTCAGATTCCCGCGGATTTGAGAAATTCACGCACGTTGGTTCTTTGCCCGGCCTCACTTGTGGACAACTGGATGGATGAACTTTTGAAGTGGGCTCCAGTGCAAGCACTGGGTGAATTGCGTAAGGTCACATCGAGTACACCAAAGCGTGAAAGATCATCTACAGTCACAGCATGGGCTTCTGGCAAGGGAGTCCTGTTGGTAGGCTACAATATGTTCCAAATACTTCTTGCCATGTCTGAAGAAGTGTCGAGTCTCCTGACCGACCGTCCCGATGTGGTTGTTTGTGACGAGGCACACGCCCTGAAAAATGACAAATCGAAAATCCACCTTGCATGTTCAAACTTCAAGACCAAGAGCCGTATTGCACTGACGGGATCACCTCTATCCAACAACGTGCTGGAGTATTTCGCCATGATTGATTGGGTTGCACCCAAGTTCCTCGGGCCCTATCAAGAATTCCGTGAAATCTACTCTATTCCGGTGGAGCGAGGTCTGTACCACGACAGTACGGCCTATGACAAGAGGAGGGCCCAGAAGGTATTGAAAGCACTGGAGCAGATGGTGACACCAAAGGTCCATCGTTGCACTATCGCCGTTCTCAAAGATGACCTGCCGCCAAAGCAGGAGTTTATCCTCTTTGTACCACCCACAGAGCCCCAGAAGCAATTATACCAATTGTACATCAAGGGCGTAACTAGGGGAGGCAGTGACAGTCAGGCTGACACCTTTGCTGCCATCAACCACCTGGGGCTAATTTGTAGTCATCCTAAGTGTTTTCAAGCGAAGATCAAGAAAATCCAAAATGGCGTCTCAAGCAGTGATGACGAGGAGAAGATGACTGACAAATCCTTCCCCAAGACCATAATTCCCGAGTTCATGAAGACGCTACAGTCATTTAGAGATATAAGTTCTCCGGCTTTCTCTTGGAAGACGGAATTATTGACAACCATTCTCAACGAAGCGCGCGAAGTCAATGACAAGGTTTTAATTTTCAGTCAATCCTTGGATACACTGGACTACCTCGAGAACATGTGTAACATGCAGAGAAGAGCAGCGATCCGACTGGATGGCAAGACCCGAGTGGGAGCCCGACAACAACAAGTCAAAAACTTCAACCAAGGTAGCAAAGAGGTGTTCCTCATCTCCACAACTGCTGGTGGTGTCGGTCTTAATATCCAAGGTGCCAACAGGGTCGTCATTTTTGACGTCAGATATAACCCTGCCCATGAGCAACAAGCCGTGGGCCGCGCATATCGTATAGGGCAGCAGAAAAAAGTCTTCGTGTACCGCTTCATGGTTGCTGGTACCTTTGAGGAGAACCTCAACAACAGACAAGTGTTCAAAATGCAACTTTCATCTCGGGTGGTGGATAGAAGGAACCCCATCAGTTGGTCAAAACGCAAAGGCGATGTTGTGACCGAAATCAGGCACCATCCAGCGTCCAGTCTTGATCCTTATGTCGGCAAGGACCAGATCCTAGACAAACTCATCAAACTTGGAGAGAATGGCGAGGCAATTCGTTCCATTGTTTCAACAGACACCTTTGAGGAGGAGGATGTGAGCGCGACTCTCACAGAGGAAGAGAAAAGGGAAGTGGAAGAAATGATCAAGCGGAGTCAGCTTCGACTTTCTAACCCTGAGGAGTATGCCAGACTCAAAAACAGAGAGGGCGCCGCTTTGATGGAACATCCTCGGCTTTCCAGGGAGCAGGAGGAGTCCTCTCGCCCGACTTCGCCCCAGCATGCACATCGATCGTTTGATGGGGCGTCAGACATACCTGGCGACGCTCCTCTTCCCTCGACCTCTTCACCACCCACACATTCCCAACGGGACTTGCCAGACACCACCAGACCGCCTACGCTTCCCAGTCAGGGCCCGGCTCCTATGCCAATGGCTGGTGCGAACACGTTTTTTGGGGAGCATCGTTCCCGTGAAACTACCATTGCGCAAAACGCAAAATCGGATTCAGGTTCCCGCGGGCTTGCACAGTCGCTGCCGCCTCAGGGCCTGTCAGTCGGATCGCCAAAGATCACGCAGTTGACCAACACATTGCTGAACAGCCCGGCGAACCGAAGGCCCATGTCGATGGAAAATCATGGGATGCAGTCATACACCAGTGCTATTCCTAAGCTGAATGGGGTGTTTAGTGTAACCGATATTCCCGCAAGGACCGATTTCGAGGCGACTTTGCGGAAAGGCATTCAGAATTTACAAGCGCGCAATGTGCCGCTAGCGACAGGAGACCCATCTCAGCTCGCCGGAGCTCTGACTAGAAGAATCGACCAAATCCGTAAGGAGGCTCAGTTTGGTTTGATGCCTGATACGAGACACTGGAAAATACTCAATGGGCTCATATCCCATGAAAAGGTTGTGGCAGCCATAATATCCGGTTCTGTTAGCTCGGAATTTCTGGCTCGAGCTGAAGCAAAAGAATTGGAACAGCGGGTTGAGACCATTAATGGACTTGATGAAACTGAAATCCCTGCTCGAGCGTTTGACAAAGTCAACTCTCCAGACCCAATCGTATGGAAACCCCGATCTTGATCCCTCAGATCCAGGGAACCCCCTTCCCGGGACAATCTTGCTGACTTATTCAACTGCAGAATTTGCAGAATATTAGACGCCACAGTTCACACCAGAGCGACAGACGATCTAGGGCTACGGATGATATGAAAGTGATGCGGGAAGCAATGGATAATAGAAGAAACCGAGCGGTCCGCCTCCCATCATGGGCTAACGAGGCCCTCAGTAACGAGCAAAGATATCGGACATCGTCTGTAGTCGACAAACCGGAAAAGCAGCACGGGACATAAGATGGTGAATCGGATTTTATCCTTTTTGCGTGGGACAGGAGTTCAGATAGACAGGCTGACAGCATGACGGGACAAGCATCAAGGGAGGATAGGATGGCGTTACGGAACGGCATGATATTGAGCCAGATGATACCCCTTTTTGAGGATTGAGCGCTTCGCACGCATGCAAAAGCATAGTAGATAAGGGTGAGGGTTTTGGAACCGCAGCTATGTCCCCGAACTAGGGGTTCATTAAGATACAAGCTTTCCAATTTAGTATGTTGATTTTGTAGCACTGTATCTTGTTCTTCATCACTGTCCCGTCTCACCCAACTTTTGAGTAGAGCTTGTCCACTATGAATCCCAGATTCTAGCCAGCCGGGATGATAGATATGCTTTGCTGGCCTCCTCTACTTGCAGTACATAAGTGACACAGGCGAGAAAGATATCAAGGAGGTAGATACCTTAGGTAGAGTACGCACGTCTATCTTCGGCAATTATGACTTAATTCGTTGTATGAGGAAAGTGTCGAAATTAGGCTTTAGCGCAGATCCAACAAGACGGCTCAAGATGAGGTAAGCAAGAAAAATGAATGACCGGCATGATCAGATCAAGAGTGGCATATTTATCGGCCTTTTAGATAATTCTTTTTTCTTAGCGAAGGAAGAAGACGGAAGTGAGCGATTGTTGAGCGGTGGATACTGCCTAACTTACTACCTTATCTTGATGCATCGTACGAGACTGTTAGGACAAGACCGAGAGCAGGATACTTTTAATACGGGGACATCAGCATCATGAGCGCCATAATGTAAGTCCAAGCGGTCAAGCTGCTAAGTAATACCATTGATGATGAAGCATGGCATTTCCATTAGTGGTAGATACATTGAATTACCATCCTTCAAATCGACAATACATACTTACCTACCGTTCATCATATTCGCCCGCCTTTAGATGACAACCTAGCAAAAGTTGTTAGACTGCTATACACCAAGATAAACCACCTTAGGTCCTAAGGTAGCTACTGCTTTTGGTGGTCTAACTAAAGTCGACCAATGACCATACAACTATCATGCTCCAGGGTCTGAAAGCTAAAGTACGACGGTAGAGTGCATGAACAGGGCGGGCCAATCAGAAGAGATGTATTTCTCTACCTCCAGTCTTGAGCTAGACTCGGGGGGTTTTCGTCCCTGTACGATTACCGAGTCCTGTACGTGCGGAATTGGAATTGGTATTGGAATCTGATTCTGCAGGCTGCGGGCCGCAGCAGGGCCGCAACTCAACAATCTTTGTCACCCGAGGCCGCCCTTTCTTTCCCATCTAGTAAGAGGGTCAAAACTTAGATTATTTTATGCGAAAGCGTTTACGGCGCTTGTAGGGGAAAGGTAAAATTCAGTAGGTCATGGTCAGTAATCGTGTTCGCTTACCTTACATGGAAACAGTACAAGTGGAACTCGGAACTCGGTGGCTCAAACGTCTCACGTGTCAGATCATTGATAGTTTATTACAGTACAGTACAGATACATACAAAGTGTCTAGTCTAGACCTCTCGGCATTCCCTCAATATTGACCATATACTCCAGAACAGATGGATGAGTCAAAAAGTACATACCTGTGCGAAGGGAAATGCCCTGCATCTGCATCTGCATACAATAGTACCAATACTGAAAATGTACCATCAACTTACTTAAAAGAGGTAATTTGCGGAGACTAGACTAGACTAGTCAAGAAAATGGACGGAACCGAAACGGAAGCATTTTATGGGTCAATGACCGACCGTTCTTGCCGAAAGATGGACCACCGACGGACTGTTCGATCCTCTCTTGACCTACCCAGTCATCTACCGCTTTATTACCTAGGTATTTTCTCTCTTTAACTCTCCCTCTTCCTCTCTCTTTTTTTTTTTCCCTTCCATCCCTAACCTCAACCTCAACTCACATCTCTTCGGCGGAAGCTCAATTGCTTTTGCTTTTCCTTTGCCTTGCTTGTTCGCTCTCGCGACCGAGTCCAAGCCTCTCGCTTTTTTTTGTTCCACTGGCATATTTGCCCCTCCACGTCTGAAACTACCACGTTTTGCCCCTCTGGCTCGCTTCACGACGGCATTGCCCAACAATCCTATTCTGTGCTGTCGAATACGCAACAATGGATGCCGTACTTCGCCAGTCTAAGGCCATGTGCCCTTTCATGAAGACGGCTACTCCCGCCACTCTGCGCGCCCTGTCGACTTCGTCTCGTGCCCTTCCGGCTCCCGCCTCGCCATGTGGTGGCACTATGTCGAAGCTGCAGCTGCTTGGCCAGCGATGTCCCGTCATGGGCAAGGCCATGGCTGTTCAGACCGCCAAGACCCGCGCTGCTGGCTCTGTTCGTGCTTTCTCTAGCCACTCCAAGACTGGAAAGGCCAAGATTCACACTTCCAGCAACAAGGAGGCTCGCGCTGTGGAGCGCCCGCTCTTTGAGGGCCGCGACAATGGTAAGTTCGGCTTACGACCACAATGATTTACTTGTCTGGTCAATTGATCGTATCTAACCCTTCTTCAGGCCTCCCTGGCATTCACGCAAACCGAAAGGCCACATCTGCTTCGCCGACCGCCTCCGCCGCTGCCGCTGGCTTCCAATCTCCCGGCAAATTCGACTACGAAAGCTTCTACAACAATGAACTCGAGAAGAAGCACAAGGACAAATCTTACCGCTACTTCAACAACATCAATCGCTTGGCCAAGGACTTTCCCCGTGCGCATATGTCCGACAAGGAGGATCGAGTAACTGTGTGGTGCGCCAACGATTACTTGGGCATGGGCCGCCACCCCCGTGTTCTTAACACAATGCACCAAACACTGGAGGAGTATGGTGCTGGTGCAGGCGGTACTCGAAACATTTCCGGCCATAACAAACACGCCGTTGAGCTGGAGGGAACACTGGCCAAGCTGCACGCTAAGGACGGTGCTCTTGTTTTCAGCTCCTGTTATGTTGCCAACGACGCAACCCTGGCGACACTCGGCAGTAAGTTGCCTGAGTGCGTCATTCTCTCCGACAGCTTGAACCATGCTTCTATGATTCAGGGTATCCGACACTCTGGCACCAAGAAGATTGTCTTTAAGCATAACGATGTGCAGGATCTGGAGGCTAAGCTGGCTTCACTGCCTCTACACGTGCCCAAGATTATCGCGTTTGAATCGGTTTATAGTATGTGCGGCTCCATCGGTCCCATTGAGGAGATTTGTGATCTTGCCGACAAGTACGGCGCCATCACTTTCCTCGATGAAGTGCATGCTGTCGGCATGTATGGGCCCCATGGTGCTGGCGTTGCTGAGCACCTTGACTGGGAGGCTCACGTCAACGGTGCCCCTCGCGGAACCATCATGGACCGAATTGACATCATCACTGGCACTCTGGGTAAGGCATACGGTTGCGTTGGTGGCTACATCGCTGGTAGTGCCAAGTTCATCGACATGATTCGATCTCTGGCTCCGGGTTTCATCTTCACCACTTCTCTACCTCCTGCCACCATGGCTGGTGCTCGAGCCTCTATTGAGTATCAGATGGAGTACAATGGTGATCGAAGACTCCAGCAGCTGCACACTCGCGCCGTCAAGGAGGCTATGAACGCTCGCGACATTCCTGTCATCCCCAATCCCTCTCATATTGTGCCTATCCTCGTCGGCAACGCTGAGACTGCAAAGGCGGCTTCCGACATGCTTCTCAATGACTATGGGATCTATGTTCAATCCATCAACTACCCCACTGTTCCAGTTGGCCAGGAGCGTCTTCGAATTACCCCCACTCCTGGTCATACCAAGGAGTACCGCGACCAGCTTGTCCAGGCTGTTGATGAGATCTGGACTCGTCTTAACATCAAGCGAACCTCCGACTGGGCCGCCGAGGGTGGTTTCATTGGTGTTGGCGAAGAGGGCAACGTCCAAGACCCTCTTTGGACTGACAAGCAGCTCAACGTTGAGCAAGCTACCAAGGAGATCGAGGCCAACGGTCAAGCCGTCAATGGCGTTACTGAGGCGCTCCTTGAGCTCGAGAACAAGCAGTCTTCCCAGGTTGCCACTGCCGCCTAGACGTAAGGCATGCCCAGCACCTTGCGCGCACTGCCATCATAGGTGAAAGATGTGCAGTTCCAGTTCACTTCTATGACAACCATTTTGAGATATCTATTACCATTTATGCCTGTCCATTGGATAGGCCAATTGAAACATTTTATGCCTTTTACCACGTTATGTGGTAAACAGAGCAAATGCAATATCTACTTTCCCGCTATTTATGTGATGTTGTTTATGAAGAAATCTTGCTGTCATGACACTAGAAGTTTGTTGCATATTGGATCAACTCATCGTGCCATGACATTGTTCCATCCGAACGGAATAATGTTTTGCCGATATGACAGATGACAAGCTAAGAAGGGTTACAGGGATTACCGCCTCCGCAGAGCCGGAGCAGCGGCGAGATTTCGAGATCCGGCTCCGTTTCTAGTAGGCAGATCCTTGCATATCAACAACTTCAGGCCAGTCAAAGAGCGCTCGAAGCGACCGGGGTCAACAGAATATCGATCAATGTCTAGGATGTCGCCGCCGTTTTCAACTCCGTCTCCTTTTCAAACTGCTCTATTGCTGTGAGACCAAGCACAATCGGATCCTTTAAGTCATGACAAGATGAGTCCTGGCTCAGCTCAAGCTAAGAACAAGGGGCCCAAAGCATGCACGACATGCGCTAAGGCTAAGGCAAGGTGCGTCCCTGGTCCTCTTGGGAGCCTCAAATGCGATAGGTAAGTCATGATAATTGGTTCATTCTGGAAATATTCCGGCGGCTTGCGTTGGATCTTTAACGTACCAAGCCTTTCCTGTTCTAAATACATAGGTGCTGTAAGTTGGTGGAGAGGTACATTTGCTGACATAGATCTCAACACTCAAGGTGCCATCGACTGGATAAGCCATGCGTGAACCAAACTCCGGCTCCGGCCCGGCCCCGTAGAAGTCCAAAGCTTTCTAAGATAGCAGCTCTGGAGAAACGCCTTGAAGAGTTGTCTTCACACGTGCGCCGCGAGTCCTCTTCAGAAGAAGAAGAGTCGACTCCATCCCAAACAGATGCGAGCCGATCAGAGCTCTTGTGCAGGTCTGATGCATGGAGCTTTGGTCACTTGTTTCCTTCTAAGCCGGGGACTGACAGTAACCCTGGTCAACACCCTCCACCATCAGCTCCGGACAAGATACGACCATGGGATTCTTGGTGGCCCACGCCACATGAAGCGGAGCTGCTGCTTAACGGCTTCAGGACCATCCACTCATGCCTGTTCCCGTTCGTGTGTGTGCCTGCACATATGACAGCTTTGGAGCTGCGGGAGCATCGACCATTCCTATGGAAGGCCGTCATGATGGTGGGGTGCTTTCTCGACGGGGCTAGACAGGTTAAGCTTGGCCAAGAGTTATTAGCTGAACTTGGTCGATCAGCTGTTGTAGATGGGCTCAACAACCTTGACCTACTGCAAAGCCTGCAGATCCTCGTGGCATGGTGAGTACTAAAACCAAACGCCGTTTAACTGACCCATTCCTGACTTCTCTCAGGTTTCACTACGGGCTAAAGGGCTCGCAGTTGACAAACCTCTTGTTCATTGCTCGAGCCATTTGTTCCAACTTGAGGTTCAAAGAAGATGCGACCCTCAAGGGCGATGATTTCGATCGTAACCTGGACCATATGAGGGTGTACTCCGGGACGTTTTATCTTAACACTCTGTCAGTGCCACCACTGTGATCCATGCATCCAAGTCAACTAATTCGGAGTACAGGGTGTTTGCGACAAACAGACGACCAGATCTTCTGATGAACACAACGCATCTGGACATGTGCTGTAGGATTCTTGAGACAACCATGCAATACCCATCGGATGAATACCTGGTGAAACTTGTACGCATCCAACAGCTGGCTCAGTCCATATCTATAACTATGGCGCCGGAGAACCTCGACCAAACTACCGACAAGGTGCCATTGACAATGGTAGTACAATCTTTCGAGGAACAATTGCGACAATATAGGGAATCCCTTAATCCACGGTTTTCTGACAACGGTATGCATCCTGTAACCGAAACTCTAGGCATGACGCTCATAAGCTTTTAGATAACCTCAAATCGCATGCGTTGGTGGCTGAAGTGCTTCTTTACGAGATTGCCCTCTCAGATCAACCCTCTGCGACAAACTATCTCCCTCTAACGGACCGATTGCAGCTTCTTTGGTCTTGTCTCCGATCCCTCAAAACATTTTTCGATCTCCGTTTTGATCACCGAGAACTCGAACGACCACGTTTCCTATGCATGAGCGCTACCGAATTTGTATACACGGTCATTGCTGGCATCAAGATCGTGACACTACAACTCCCAGGATGGAATCTTGTCAATGTTCATGGAGAGCTTGACGTAGTAGAAGTCATGAGCCAACAAGCTCAAGACCTGGATATTATTGTCCAGCGCCGTAAACATGGCAACATGCTGGGCACAGCAACGCCTGCAGGGATTCCAACACCTCCTCCTCCGCCTGATCCATTTGAGAGACTCGTAAGACAGCTCAAGAATGTACGGGACCTGGTCAGAGCTGAAAGGCAGCGATTGCTTGCTGGAGCCGGTAACTCTGACCTTGTGAATTTCAGCCAAGAGTTTCTACTGGATGATTCAGGGACCGATTTCTGGCAGGCGGCGGCGACTAGAGGTTACAACGTGTGGCATATCATTGGTGACCCTAGTGTCTTGAACGAGTCATCTTGATATGGTGGAAATATGTTAGCATTTTGGTGTTGGAATACTGTGCGGCTGGCTGAATTGTTATGGGGCCAAGCCAGGGACTGATCATTAATTCTGCAAGAGGGGTTTGTTGTATAGCGAATCGTTTCGGAGTATATATCGACTTTTTTTTTGAATCTATTCTAGTATCTTAAACTCTAGGTGCTTCCAACGTCGTCGAGGCTCACCTCAACAGCCTTGACCTGTGCCATACTAAGCCACATCAAATCTCCGTTAGCAGTTGACTTTCGGATGGCGTACAACTCATCGAGGAAGGCCGGCACGAAGGTTCCTGGTCCCCGAACCTCACCCCTCTTAGCGGCAAGCTCGGCAGCGAGACCAAACATGACTGTTCCAGCTACGGCGGCAAGAAGGGGATCGGCGCCATGTGCAGCAACCATGGCGCTGACGGTTGTACCCAGAGTGCATCCAGTGCCAGTCACTTCACCAAGATAAGGATGTCCATTGCTGATGGCCACAGTGCGGATTCCATCGCTGATCAAGTCAACAGCACCCGTGAGGATTACGACGTTGTGACGGCGTACGGCAATGGAGCGAACGAGAGACGCTTTCTGGGCGAAGCTAAGAGATGAAGTTGAATCAACCCCGCGTTGGGTGATAGTGGCACCCGCAACGGTTTGAATCTCACCCTCATTGCCTTTAATGATGGTGAAGTGGCCGGCATCGAGAAGAGTTTTGACGGCGTTGCGGCGAACGGCTGTTGCACCGGCACTGAGGGATGTAAGCTAACAGGGACGTTTAAAGGTGTCTAAAACTTACCCAACGGGATCGAGAACTATAGGACGGTCAGCTTTGTTGTAGGCCTTGATAGCTTGGAGATAGTTCTTGAGGCCATCGGGGGTGACAGTTCCCATATTCACTACAAGAGCGCCGCCGAGTTTGGCTAAGTCGGCGGCTTCTTCGGCGTAGTTTGCCATGATGGGGCTTGCTCCAACGCAAAGGGCCACATTGGCGGCGAAATTTTGAACGACCTGGAAGGTGCATGCATGTAAGTAGAAGTCAATCACGACAAGTTTGAACTTACCAAGTTTGTCATGTTGTGTGTAAGAGGCGTCTTGTCAGCTACGGCCCGAATAACCTCTGGGATCTTTGCGACGATGACTTTGCCGAGAAGATCACGGGCCGCAGCAGCTGGGTCAGGGGCAGCGATGAGGGCGCTCACCACGGCGACACCATCAAGAGCTTTGGAAGGAGAACCAGCTGAGGCGAGAACAGGGGCGGTGTTGCTAGCGTTGATGCCACCGATGCAAACTGTAGGGATAGATCCGTAGCCTGCGCTGTAAAGAGCTGAGAGGATATCGCGGACGCCCGAGGGACCAATGATTGATTTTGTGTCCTTCTTACTGGTTTGGTGTCAGGGGTCGAGTCATATCCGTGAACATGGTAGATATCACTCACGTCTGAGTTGAATAGACAGTTCCGATACCGAGATAGTCAGCACCAGCTTCGCAAGCTTTAAGGGCTTCCTCCTTTGAGCTTGCAGTTACTCCGATGATTTTACCTGGACCTAAAAGCTTCCTCGCTTCCTCATAAGCTATGGAATTGTCAGTCCAGTTGATCAATGCCTGGAAGTAATCGACATACCCATATCATCTTGGCCGATGTGTACACCCTCACAGCCTACTTCGACAGCAACATCGACACGATCATTGATGAGAAGAGGAACATTGTAGCGACGTGCAATGGCGTGTAGCTTCTTGGCTGTGTCTACAGCGATACTACGTTCGCTGTGCTTGTCTCTGTACTGCAGGATCGTGACACCACCTCTTAGAGAAGCTTCGACGACTTGTTCGAGATCTCTTTCACCAAGAATTTCTGGTGTTGAGTCTGTGACTAGATAAAGGCCGTAATTAACCAAAGGCTTGGTTGTTGTTGTAGTAGAAGTCATGATGATATGAGGGACTTTGGCGGGGTCAGTATTTGGTGGTTGACAGGAGGAAAATTGGAGATGGGGAACATACCAAAAGAAAAATGACTATACGTAAATATGAGTTGAGCTCATAAGTCAGGAACGACCCTGATGTTAAAACGGAAGGAAGGAGTGGAGTGAGCGACTTAAGGTTGATGAGGTAAACTGCAAGTGCATGCATAAGGTGACTGCCCTATGACATAGGGTAGGACAATTACTTAGGTAGTTGGCCAAGGCTCGGCATTACAATTTTATTCAAATTAGATTATTATTTGTCCATGGACGATCAATATTTAATTAACGAGCTTCTATTAATCCAACATCGATTACTCATGGGTCGTTGAAGTAATTAATAGGTAGATACCTAGGTAGGTAGTGTTGACTGTCGTGATAATCATCTACGCCTATGTTGTCTTAGTAACCACTTTTGATATCCATCTCAACATTCGCTATTTCAACTTTTCTCTTCCTTTTATCGTACAAAATCTCGACTGACTCAAAACCTCGAGATATCTCGCCCAAAGATCCAGGTAATCAACCAATAAAACGGAATCATAAGCTTATTCTTCAAACTCATACTCTTGGTCAAATACGCCGTCCTCCAAAGAATCCATGCAGCTCTACCCTTGAGCTCATCAGCACCATTTTGATGAATCGCCCTCCATCCTCCGAGATAAGCCATAGTTCCCCAATTGCGGAAGTGGAAGGGCGCAGTCGGAGGACCTTGAGCTGATGTTCCAGAGTTGAATCGCTTGCCGAGATACGTTGCTTGTTGACTGGCTACTTGGGCTGTAGCTGGGAGTGCTTGACCCTCGATGTTTGCGCAGTCTCCAATAGCATAGACATCGGGCAGAGGCTTCGTGATTTGTTTCCCGTTGGAATCTTGGCTTTCGACTTGTACGCGGAGATGGGAATCAACAGCGAAACCTCCTGTTTTGGGGTTCTTTGCGATCTTGCCCAAGTCCCCAACTTCACGGCCAACTAGTCGTCCAACCAGAGGATTCTGCATGAGTCCAGTGCTCCATACCACGACACCTGCTGCGACTTCCTCGGCTTCTTCCTTAATGCTCATGAGGAGGACATCATCCTCGCGCCGAACTCTTTGCAGGTGATGCTCCGTCTTAATGCGGATGCCCTCTCGACTGAAAATGTTTGTTGCGTACGCGGCCAAATTCTGATCGAACATGGGGAGAACCTTGGGCGCGATATCGTAGATGGTGATAGCGACATGAGGCATTAGCTCTGGATAGAGCTTGGACAGATCCTCATGTATGAGATCGTGAAGCTCAGCTGCAAACTCGATACCCGTAGGGCCGCCGCCTACCACCGCAAAGTGAAGCAGCCGTTTTCTTTGAGCGGTGTTTGTGCTTGGGAGAGCAGCCTGCTCAAACTTTTGCAACACCTTTAATCGCACTGTTCGAGCATCTGTTGCATCTCGAAGAAAGCATGCATGCTCTTTGACGCCTTCGACACCAAAGGTCTGACTGTAACAACCAACAGCTACAACGAGCTTGTCGTAAGGGACTTGAAACTCAAGGCCCTTGAGAAGATCCTTCCCTGAACGAGCTGTAACGCCATCGCGCTGGTTGGCCTCAAGAGTAATGGTTTTGTTGGTGAAATCAATATCTGAAGCCCATGCTTGATGGAATTCTGTGAGATCAAGTTTTCGACAGGGTTCAACCGCGGCTCGGAACTCGAGAGTGCCGACGGCTGTTGAGGCGATGAGAGGAGTGAAGACGAAATGAGAGCGAGGAGAGATGAGAATCCGAGAGGCGCTGGAGGGTGATATTGTCTTTGCAAGGGCGTATCCAGCCCATCCGGACCCTAAAACAACGATACGCTCTTTCGGTGCTGAGAGGAAGGTCATTGTTAGTTACTGTAGGTTTGATACTTTGGTGATGCTGAGCAAGAGTTCTTAACAAGAGGTACAACCCTCTTAAGCTGACTCGAGCTACATCCACAGAAGCTCAAGCCAATTGACCCTCTAGAAAGACATTACTCACTTTCTTGAGCTATGGTACTAGCAAATCTCTTGCAAGTCAGTCCCCCGAGCCTCATCAACAATCGCGGCTCCTGACGCGCCAGGGCGAGAGCATTTGTTCCCATGACCATAGCTATGATCTCCTACTAATCTCGCCGCAACCGCAGAAACCCGCTTGACTGAGCCAATGAATAATCCACGATAAAGACGTTGTTTCGTCTGATAGAAAACGAGCATAAACAGTCCGCAAGTAAGCGGTACCGCAAGTCTCGCCGTGTAAGTGGGCTTGGTCGCCTCCACTGTTAGACCGGTGCGGCCGAAGTAGGAGAATGAGACAACTTAATGACTAGATTAGATGAATATTCAAGAATTGAGTCGTAACAAGTTTCATTGAGATTGAATGACCATCTTATAAGGGCCGTCACTAAGCGGGCACCGCTCAGCTACTTATTCTAATGCTGTATCAATCTATCGTCATTCTAACTTGTATTATTACAGCTGCATACGTAGGTAGTCTAGTTTGTTTAGCATGGAGCTGAGACTAGCTCACGCTTCGTACCCGGTACCCTCCCCTCAGGGTGTCATAAGAATTGGCCCCCGGAGCATAAGAGACGAAGTAATTTGATCACCTTATGCCAGCTTAGGCCAGCATTTAGGCTACTTTATTTCTGTAGCCTAAGTCTTGGGGGACATTTCTTCTGACACCCGCCTGCCCCCTTCGGTAGATCAACTACTGGGGGGTCCCTGTAGATGGTACTTGAGCCTCTGCCCCGGACCTCCCGGTGAAGCCAGCTCCAGCTCCGCCAACGATAATTCACCGGAGCTCCGTGTGTCCGTCAAAGCCCAGGTCTGAATAAACAATACCAAAGACAAGGACTCATTTTTATGCTACGTGATATTCTGTTGGATGTCTGACTCACATGTACTTGGCTGCATTACTTGGCCCGGTGGTCCGAAAGTCCGAATATCGATATTGATACTCAAGGCATTTTACACATGTCATGTCACAGCTTCCAGCCGCATCGTATTCTTAACTTGATTAATCACGAACTTCTCCATTAACGGGTACATACATAGTAAAACTTTAAACCAGCCAACTAAATAACTCTCTACGTCATGGCTTGCTTGTCCTAAGCTGGCCTTTGCTTTTCAATCACTCAACTCCATTCGTCCGCCTTCTTTTTCTTTATTGCAACATAGCATCCAGATCCTCTCCCAGCACTCCCTCAATCTTGACGATCCATCGGTGTGTCTCGCGCTCAACCTCCTCGTCGTCATCATCCTGCAATTCGCTGATGCGAGGCAACATCTCATGCAACATAGCCAACCACTCTTCACCCAGACGGTCTGTCAATGCCTGTTCACCCTTGACCGCGGCAAGTCTAATCGCTGAAGACTCTGATCGCAGGTGCTTCAGGAGTGCAGAGTTCAGCTCCTTTTGATGAGCCTGTGAGTCTGCTGCCGAGGCGAGTTCCACCATTGTTGGGATGAGGTCCTCCGTCACATCCACCGTGCCGGCATGTGAGAACTGACCCATAAGTACCGGTCCAATGGCGCTGAAGTGGGCCGGAGCCTGCCAGAAGTCATCCTGGTCGTGTTCGAAACAGTTACCCAGGGTCTGCAGCACCCTCGTCCAGAGCTGTCGCTCCTCAGGGCTCTTCAGATCCACTGACGTCAAAATCTTAACCGCGTCCTCCAAAATGTATGTAGCGTAGTTGGTGACGATTGACTTGAGGGTGCCGAAGAATGCCTCGAGGAACCCATAGACGCTTAGTTGTCGTAGCGCGCGTCCCGCTCTGTCGTCCTTGAGGCCTGAGCTGGACCACGTAATAATTTGGTCAAAGACTGGCCTGAATGCAGCATCGTTGAGCTTGTAGATCATCTTCAACGCCTTGTCGTTGGCACTGGCGTCAAGTGCACTGAGCCTCAGAAGGTCTTGCTCGCCGAAATCGCCCTTGGCATGCTCCTGTCGTCGAAGGTCGAAGACCTTTGTGAGAATGCTCGCCAATAGCATGGCATTCTTGGAAATACCAGACTTGGGGTGCTTGTCAATAGCCAAGCCCATCACATCGAGATACTCGGCAACAGCCTGCGGCCAGTTAGTTTGGTTCTTTGCTTTTAGCATCGGTGTTAAACTTACAGAGAATCCAGCCTTTCTAGCACTCTCCCAGTTTCGGTCAAGAGCTGAGAAGATCTCCTTAGCCTCGAGTTGCTTAGCCAGGAAGTGAAGGCAATCAACGCGACTTTCCCTCGTGTTATCATCCAGGTCAAGTTCAGCAGACTTGTTAGAAACCTCCAAGATGCGATCAATATAAGTTGAAGTTGAAAGCATGTAAGGAAGATACTGAGCCAGAGCACTGATGAATCCGTAACTAGCAACATGTAGCTCCTGATCCACGGCACCTTCCACGCTTTCACCAAGATACTCGATAGCTTGAGGAATTGCGCTAGGCAATACCGGCACGATTGCGTCTTGAAGGACATCAACGAGCGAGGTAAGACACAGCAGAGCCATAACTCGGAGGCGCTGCTCAGACTGTGCCAAGCAGTAGTCGCCTGCGATTGTCGTGGCAGCCGCCACAACAGCCTCGATATCCTTCTTGCCGTACTTTTCGGAAATCTTGTCCACGCATGTGACTGCGGTGTGCTTGTATCGTATATCTGTCGACTCCCGGATGCCAGCAGTAAGCTGGGGAAGGAATGCCAGCAAGACGGTCCTGGATGCAGGGTCGGTGTTACTTTCCTGTTCCACTCGAGCTTCGAGCGCGCGGAGAACCTTCTGTCGCAGGCCCATATCCGGTCGGTCAAGCAGGTTTTCAACGGCCTTGATGAACTCTCCGATGGAAAGCAAGTTGAGATGGTTTGAAAGGGCCTGGCCGCAGCGGCCATGGAGTGTCTTGTCCACCTTGACAGTATCGGCCAGAATGAGGATGTTCTCAAGAAGTTTGGCATAGAGATCTCTAAGTCCTGATGCTTCCATATCATCAGTTTCCATCAAGCCTCCAATTTGCGATCTGAGCTTCTTGTTAGCCAGGAAGCTGGGGAAGGCCGATAGCTGCTTCAGAGCAATCTCTTGAAGATCCCTATCCTTCTCGTTCTTTTCATCGCTGATGCCAAGGAGAACAGAAGAGATGCCAGGCTTAGGCTTGAACAAATCTGCGATAAGATCAAGGAGCTCGACGAGCGTCTTGAGTTGTGTCAAGATGCTAAAGTGGTTAAGGAGCTCGATAATAAACTGCAACAGGGCGTCACTGGGACCGTATTTATCAACCAACATGCCGATGATGGCGTGAAGGAAATCCTCAGGACCAAGCGTCTCGACGAGAGCAACAAACAGTCCCTGTCGACGATGGGCTGGGATATGCTCAAAGGCGGCTGTGAAGCTGACGAGAATGTCACAGGCACCAATGATAGGGTTGTTGTTTCCCTGGCGCATAGACCCAATCAACGGAGGAATAACCTCCTTGATAGTCTGGGACACAACATGGGCCGAGTAATCATCGCTTTGACGAAGTACAGAAACACCCATGAACGTGAAGATGGGCATCACACTATGAAGAACCAAGTTCGGCGCAGCGGTGGCCAGACTAGCAACCAAGAGAAGGGCAGCATTCTGAACGACAGGGCTGGAAGACTTTTGAATGCAGTTAACAAGCAAGTCCCCGTAGCCAACAGAGCTGTCAATCTCGAGCTTCTTGTTGTACTTTTTGGATTTGTAAACTGGCATCATGGCAAGAAGGCTTCGGAGGACAAGATTCTGTAGATAGCCCAGCTCAGCTCCAACGACTGTTCTCATGTGCTGAAGCTCCGAGAGGGCAGTGAACAGACCATCCAGAAGATCGGGGTGCTCAGCTGGGTCGGAGTTCTCGACCAGTTGCAGAATGAAAGTGACCTTTCGAAGCTCCTGACTAAGTTCAGGAGCAACCGGGTTGACGACACGACCACCTGAAGAACTAGCTCGACGACGCTTGTTGGCTGGAGGTTCAGTAATCATCTTCGTTCCAGTTGGAATAGACTTGAGGAAATAGTCAAGAATATCAGTTGTGAGCCGGACGTTCCTCAAGAAGTCAGCGGCTTCAGTGGAAACAACCGATGTGAAGTCGGTGGAGGCCGTGGACTCCTGAGAAATCTCCAGTAGCTGTTCAGCCGCAGTGAATTTGACATCGGGCTTCATCGAAGACCAAATCTTCCTCATACGCGCGAAGATGGCACGGATGAGACCCGCCTTTTCTCTCTGCTCCTGTCCTCTGAGAAACTCCAAGAAGAACTCTAACCCTCTAAGATCGTTGGGGACCACTACGTCAACAAAACGGTTGTCCATGTCCATAGTCTCCAGACGTTCGGCGCTGCACAATTTAGATGCTTCGTCTTCGCTAAGACTGGCCCACCATTCCAGCACTTCAAGTAGAAAATCTGTTCTTGTTTTAGTGCCAACACCTCGGACCTCGTTGACGATCTTCAATAGTCTGCTCTTTACGAGCATCAGGGGTGAATGAACGATGTGAGAAGCAAGGAATTCGAGGAAAGACAATCTTCCAGGCTGAGACAAGTGGTCCTTCTTGTCCAACACAGGATCCGGCTTGAATTGATATTTGCCTTGTTCGATAGCGGTGCGTAGCACAGCGGCGATATGTTCAGGGTCCATAACACATTCCTCTACAGTGGGAAGAATCTGGAGATGAAGGACTTTGGCGACAATATCGGAGGCCAAGGACTTGAATCCCTTGGCCTTTCCATAAAGACTCTTCTCACCCCAGAGCTCAAGTCCAGCCGCAGGCACAGGAGGGACGTAAAGAGCAGTGAGGACAGTAACCAAGTCGGCGGCAGCCTTACGGACGCGTTTTGAAGGATCACTCAGGGCTGTGATACAATAAGGGAGCAGAGCTTGGAGATCAGTCTTTCCTGCATCGCCGACCTTGAGGCGCCTCTTGACCATATCGAGAGCCGCAACTCGAGCCAAGGCTGGGTAAGGGCCGGTCCAGATGCGAATGAAGAAACTGAAGTAGGTGCAATCCTTGAAAGCTGCCTGTCGGCGGAGTTTGGGATTCATCTCGAACTCGGATAGCAGCTCGGTGTTCTGAGAGCTCTCGGAAACGACGGAGAAAAAGATGTGGCTGAATTCGTCGAATACCTCGCCAGCTTGAGGGACAAGGCAGGGAGACAGTGATTCGGATCGGCCAGACAGCTCCTTGAGCAAAAGACTTAGATCTTGAGGCGCTTTCTTTTCGTCGATGCCATTGCTCATATCCTGGTCGTCCTTGATTGTTTCGGGCAAGCGTCGTGAACGGAATGAGAGATCGAGCTTCATCTCCAGCTCCTCAATATCGAACTTCACTTCATCGATAACGGACTGGATAGTCTCCCCAGATTTGCCGGTAATCTGAGACAATGCGATAAGAGCTGAGCCAAGTTCTCGTCGAAGGGATCCATTTTCGTCGTTGTCGCTGTTCAGTCGATGCGCAGTCAAGATAAGTGACTTGAAAACAACAGCGATTTGTTTATCTTTGAGAACGGAGCTGCTGAGAATAGTGATAATAGTCGCTAAGCCTCGGGCGTCGCCCTTCTTGGTAAGTCGCTCGATCAATGCGAGACAAAGACCGTTGGCTAGTTTGTCAACTCGTCGCTCTTGTCCAATCTCGACAAGAAGGTTTCCGATATCCGTGACCTTCATGAGAGCCTTTGTGGTCTTGCCGCTCATCTGCTTCGCAGATCGGTATTGAGCCAAGATGGCGAGAACAACGAGAGCTGGTCGCACAGTCTCATTTGTCCAGCCATAGACAGTCTGGTCCATGAATGCAGTTACAGCGTTATCTTCGAGATGGCCCTTGGCAACAAAAACTGCAATCGCCATGTATGAGGCAACCTGAATACTAGGGACCTTCTTCATAACCAGTGACTCAGCAAAGATAGGTCCCAGTCTGTGAAGCAAGTTTTGATCGTTTTCGCTCTGTACATTAGCTCTGCCCGATCTAGTCTTGTCCAAGATACCGCTGACTGCCTCGGTCATGATACCAGCCCAGAATGAGATCAGAGCAGGGTAATTGTATTGCATTCGGCATGACTGAAGGGTGTACTCAGAGATGAGGCTAAGGAAGGCAGGGTGCAGAATTGCTTGTCGAACCAGTACGGATCGAGGAGGGCAAGTAGCGGAGCGGATGTAAGGATCGAGGAAGCGGAATTCATAGGGGATCTTAGTCGGGAGAATCGATAGTAGCGTAGCGAAGGCTGGGATCGAATGGTAAGGCAGGAAAGTGAGCAAGAGAGCCTGAGTGTTTTCCTCGTGAATTCTACCTGGTATTAGTTTGTTCTTTCGCTAAGAAACCGGACGATTCTTACCTAAATCTTCGGATGAGCCATTCGATAGACTTGATCGCAGGCATCAGCCTGATACGACTACCTGCAAGGCGCAGGAAAGCCTCAACGCGACGATCGAGTTCTTCATTCTCAGCGGCCGTAAGCTGGGTGCGATCTTGGTTTTGGCTTTCCTCGCTGAAGATGGTGGACAGAAAGGGCGCGAAACGAGCATCCAGCTGGCAGAGCTCCTCGAAGCCTCCGATGCAGGTGGTATAGAGGGTTTGGTAGCTTTGAGTAGCAGCAACTCGAGGCTCCCAGATCAGTGATTTGGAGTGGGCAGCCTTTTGCGCCTTTACATTAAGAGTCGACTTGGAATTGGCGGCCACCTGCGCCAATTGAGCGGCGAGAGAGGTCGCCATGATGATTAGGGCTGGACCTCAAGCTCTGGGCGGTAGATGGCTAGGAGATGTCGATATGGTGATCGGTGATAGCATCAAGCATGAGGTAGACCTGGAAATTTTTTGGCGACAGAAAAAAGTAAACTGGGGACATTGTTATCGATAAGAGACTTGATGGCTTGCAATGGCAGTTAGCTCGCAGGTACGACCCACACTTCATCCTTCCGTGCAGCTGCCCCACTATCTACCAAAATTATTTTAGTATGGGTCTGGATATTCACAGACATCAACATACATACATGCCTACGGTACTTGGGCTTGGCTCGATGTTTATCACAAATCCATAACAAAAACCAGACCATTGATAATTTATATATATATCTTCTAATTACTTCATGAATACTCACTCACAGTATAAATTTATCTGTCTTTAGTTACTACTCAACTGGAACTCATTCCTATCTTTTTTCTCATAAAGAATACTAACATAGGCCCAAATCCTTCCAGTACATAAGTATATACCTGTCACTTATCTCTCCATTAACTAATGCCATATGCATATAGCAAGCATCCTCGTCGACCAACCTCGAGATTATAGAGGATGATGATTGTTATTAAGGTAGTACTAACGGTTAGAAACAGGTGTTGTTGAGAATAATTAAACGCTATATTGGACTGTGCCTGTCAATCTGTAGATAGATACTGGGTCACCGTTAATTGACAAGTTACCTGGTTACGGAACTCCGTATTCAACATCCATCGGTCCACTTTGAACTATTCAGTATGACTTTAAGATGCTATCTATTATTGGCTCGGAATCCCCACAAAGCTGCAGAAGACCACATGAGAAACGAGTGGAATAGAGCCTGTTTGCCCGCTAAAAACACAAACTTGTTAAAGCCGTCCAGTCCAGTCCAGTCCAGTGCCTGGGTCCAACAGTGACCTGTTCTATTTAACCGCATTATTGAGGCTGTTGAATTTGTGAACAACCGGCCTCATATTTAATATAAACCCCTCCACTATTTCACTTCATAACCTGAGTTTTCAAGACTCTATAGTTATTTCAAATGGCTGTAAGAGTTGTCATTCATATATAACGATAGAAGAATGCTCACGTTCTGTAGTCCACCGTCCCCCAAGTCGTTCTCTTCGGAGACTCCCTCTTTCAGCAGTGCTCGGATCTTCAGGAGGGCTTCTCTTTCCAAGCTGCTCTACAGTCGAGTAAGAATTTACTGCTTTGTACATAAACTAGGACAAATCTGACTCTGATATATCTTAGACTTTATTCGACGTCTGGATATCATAAACCGAGGCTACTCAGGTTTCAACACCGATATCGCTCTCAGATACCTTCCTGAAATCTTTCCTGAGCGCACAGCCTCCTCACCAAAGATGGACTACTTGGTATAAAATTCCTCATATGTCATAAGAGTTAGGTAGGGAAGCTAACCATGACTAGGTCCTTCTGTTTGGTGCCAATGATGCTGTGCTCCCAGACGCTTTCACCAAGCAACATGTCCCCATTGATCGATATAAGAAGAACCTCAAAGAAATCATGAACCACCCACGGATTGCGGCACACAAGCCCCAGATTCTGTTGGTGACTCCTCCTCCTCTGGATGAAATCAAGGCCACACCCCGATCTATCGAGAATGGCCACAAAGGAGCCGTTCGAAAGTCCACTGTCACCGCTGCCTACTCCGAAGTTGCCCGCCAAGTCGCACGAGAGCACCCTGGTGTGATCCTTATCGACCTCTGGCAAGCGCAGATGGACAAGGCAATCTCCCTCGCCCCCTCAGACTATACACCTGACGGGCCATGGCTTGGTGATCCCGAGAATGGCAAGCAGGGTGGTCTGGACAGCCTCCTTCATGATGGACTCCATATGAGCGGTGCTGGTTATCAGGTTTTCTACGAGACCCTGAAGCCATTCATCGGAAAAGAGTGGCAGGGCCTTGCAGGCGATGATCGAAGGGGTTTCGTCATTCCCGACTGGCGAGAGCTTCTTGAACTCCAGCCTGATCTGAACACCGGCGATTAGACTGAAAGCATTTGCAACAATATAATGTCAATGACTTGTTGATTAGATCCTGCATTTTCAAATGTCTCGTATAAAATTTGGTGATTCTGATTGTGCCATGATTAGTTCCAGGCTGCTACCCAGTATTACTTGCGATCGAATGTCTAAGCATGGAATCGGTGTCAATTAAATGTGCCAAGACAACTTTACCCCACTACCGAAGTTGAGCCCCTCTGAAGCTGGTGTAAAGAAACGTCTGGACATTTGTTTGCCATACCATACACGTTTTCCAGTATAAAGTAGGTTTCCGTGTTCGTCTACGATGGATGCTGGAAGGTTTCATCCTCAATATGCAGCGACTATAGATTGCAATTCAAGAAATTTACTTATGCTCCCATTACTCTATTAGGTGTTTGGGTTAGTAACTAATGGTCCCTGCCTACAAAGTACGTCGACCCCCTGAGATTTAACACTTATAGTGACCAAGTGGGTTGCCTTAACACGCCACAGGCGCTACAAGAACCGCCACGTTAGGTCCCCGGCCGCCTTGAACTCGAACCTACTCGACTCCAGGCTACGTATCTCCACCCAGAGGTTGCTCCATTCATCATCCCTCGAGTCCAATTCAACCTCGAACCGTTATTTCGAACCACGAACCCTTCTAGCAATTCGCCCTCTTTCCTGCCTCGGAGACCTTTTCCCCTCCTGAATTCTCCTACACGAATACTCTGCCTACACGAAACACCCAACTTCGCCTCCTCCGTCATATAAAGTAATCTACTTCGAATACAATCGCTTTCCTTTCTCGCGCCGCCCAAACGCATCTTAAACCCGACCTTATCGTGCATACCAAGATCGGGTCGAATTGTTGCCCGAATAATAATTCACTTCCTAACCTTATTCTTCATCAAACGCGACTCCTTTATTCTTAACTCTCTAAAGATACTCGACGGCGGTCGCCCCGACCAGTAACTTGTTTGAACACGGGGTACCTACAATCATCAACCAATACGTGCGATCGAACACCACGCCCAGGACTTTGACGATCGGTACAGATCAAGTTCGCCCGAGCTGACGGCCTCACTCTGTCGCCCGACTAACTGTCAAGACATACTGTTCGGCAACCGCTACACGACACACTCACGATCTTCGTTACCGACGAGCAAGCGATTCTCCAAATCGCATTCTACTTGCCAAGGGCCCTGTGGTCTGCACCAGGCGATGCGGCGGGGAGGGAGGACCTCGTGAACTATTTTTTAACTGGGGATCGAGGTCGGAAGTGTCAAACTGTTTTAACTGGCGAATAGGTAGAAGCCGTACAGCCTCCCAGCTCATGCTGTATGGTTGAACTTATTGTTTTGTTTGCCATTCATTTCCAGCCAGCGTTCTGAATCCTCTCTCGCCTCAACTGGGCTTGTCCTCTTCCAGCCACATCGTTCGTCCCTCATTCGCAGACAATTATACACACTCAGTTTTGTACAACGTTCCATATTGTATGATTCTGTTCTGGGGATGGATCCCAGATTTGCGGTTTCTCGCGAAGACCTGTACACCCTACAGATGGAAGTGAAGCAAGTACAGTACACCCAGAGCAATCATGCCGAACGACTTCTGCGTTTGGAAAAGAAGCAGGCAGATGACGCTGCCTTGAAATCTGTCTGGAATTCCCCTTTCCCTGGTGTCTTGAGTGGTACCCCACAGACAGGTGAGCTAGCTACCTAAAACTGTATCAATTGCTTTCTGACGATCATCTAGGACCCGTTTCCATCCCGCACAATGACATGTTCGATGATTTGGATGAGCAGGGCGAGGAACTGTTGGGGTCTCTTCATCTTGGACCGGCAGAGGAGGAGCCTGTTCGTCGCGGGGCTGCTTCGCGGGCCAATAGTGTTCGATTCGATGAGAGCGCCTTGCACGGGTCGAGTTGGGGTGGCCCAGCTAACCGCCACTCAGGAGACTTTGGACCTGTCCGCCCTGGGAGCGGTCTCATGATGGAACGTTCCCTGTCCCACAAGTCGGACGGACGACATAGTTCTGCCGGACATTCAGTACATTCCCACCACTCTGTTGCCTCTGGCCGAGCTAGTAGCTTGGGTCTCGACAACAACTTTGCTGTTGGAGACGACGACGACGATTCTTTTGAAATCCCTGGACCCCCTCCTGCTCTCTTCGTCCTCGGCACAGTGCCCTCAATTGTGCGATGCTGGCTGACCCCTAACTTTGGGCATTCCACCCTCCTTTATGCCGACGTCTGCAGTGGCTCGCAAAAGTCGACAGTTGACTATTCACTGCTGAGGGAACTGGATCTAGTAGATGAGATTCAACGCGATGTTGACGGTATTCATCGCGTGAGATTGAACGTCTACTTCGCAGAGGCCCTCTCCACCCACCATGGCAGTCGCTCCAGTAGCCCGCGGCCCCCTGTTCCTTCGATCACGGTGCTCTTTGAGGTTCCCGGAATTACAGATCAGCCTGTTCAAGCAGTTGACCGCAAGGCTATTCGTATCTATCTGGGCAGTGATGTCCTAAGAGCTCATTCTGCAGATATCCTGTTCTCACAGAACACCATGACACTTCGTGGCGACGAGCGAGAACGACTCCAGATTCCATTTGTCCGCCCGGAAGATGAAAATACTTTTCGCAACATCTGCACTGCAAACATCGTTCCCGAGAAACCCAAGCTAAACGCCAATGCTGCACCGTTCGTCTCCGGCGATTTCAGCCAGGCTAGCCAAGAAAGCATTCACGACATGGAGCCCACCACCAACCAGGACTATGAATCCCGCAGCGAAATGTCGCCAATGGCAAGCGAGGTAGTCCTTAATAAGCGTCCTGGCTCCAGAGGTAGCTTGTCTGGCGCGGAAAGCGAGCAGTCCCGAAGGGTCACCAATGGTGACGAGGCGAGCCCCAGGAATGGCCACTCTTCATCTGAGGCTACTCGACGGGAGCCGTCTTCGGGTATCTGGGGATCCTGGCGCCATGGGCTAGGAAACGGGACAGACGGTTCACAGCGAGACGGGTCGCTGAGCGGATACCAACCCGCTGGTCGGGGTCGCAATATGAAAGTCTTGAAGCCCCAGAAGTCAGTCTCGAGGGCAGATTCTTCATACGATACCGCTTCTTCAACCAAAGGTTCGCTGGACAGCCGGCGCAAGAGTCAAGCCAGTGTTGGAGAGAACGGTGTTGCCCTTGCCAACAGATGGGAGGCTAAGCGTGTAATGAGTGTGGGCGGTGCCGAGCACAAGGCGCAATCTCAGTCACAGTCGTCATTGTCATCTACAAACCGCGAGGGGCGTAATAGCATTGCAACCCCCAACAATACCTTGCCCAGGTCTGCCAACCCAGTCGGTGTTGCTTCAGCATTTTCGTGGATGACACCCACATCGAAGCCCAAGACTACCGCAGGCTCGGAATAGAGAGGACTTTATGTTGGTGACTTCCTCCGTGCTTTATTATCACTTTCTTTGCCGCCCTCAAAGGCAAGACCTGTCTGAGATGATGGTCTGGATTATCGTGATGGTGGTTGTGTAGAATTGAAGAATAACAAGGCCAAACTAGGAGTTGGCGGGCTATTCAAAGCGGACAGGGGATGATAATGACAGTGGTGGTTTGATCTTACAAGCAAGATAAACAGATAGGGCCGAGGATCCTGGCGTCCTTCGCTGTCAACTAAAAGAAAAGAAATTCGTAAACATTGCTGGAGTTTGTGCTATACAAAACTATGTAGATGAACCTCTATCGTCAGCCTACGGTGAAAAGTGCCGCTATCTAGATCTTTGACTCCGGGGGCAAGGTTTGCCAAACCCTCTTGGTGTCAGCCATTGATTCCTTCACGACACCAAAAAGTGCCCTGAATGCCGGGTGAGATGCATCTCCGACACACTCATACATCCAACTCTCGCTCGAAGTCACTGTGATTCCAGGCTCAGCGCGCAATCGATCCAGCGCGATGCCCACCTCGCGCGGGTTGCAACTCGACACTCCATCAGCGATGACATAGACCTTGTGACCAGCATTGCGCAGATCAAGTGCTGTTTGAGTAATGCAGATGTGAGACTCGATGCCCACCAGAGCGATCTCAGAGTTCGGAGGTAAATCGGCAACGACAGAGGGGATGACCATGGAGAACTTGGTCTTATCGTGGGGTGCCGAGGGCAATAGCTGAGCAAGAGACGACACCGTAGGACCAAGTTTGACTGATGTTTGTGTTGTAGTTACAACAGGGACAGAAAGGGAGTTGGCGAATTTAAGGAGCTTCTGGGTAGTGAGAACACTGGCTAGGGTTAGTGTCATGGTGTTGATATGGGTCAAAAGGCAGACATACATGCTGTCAAATTCATAGATGACATTGCGAAACTTCTCTTGAATATCGCAAACACTATCAGATTCAGAGTCAGTTGCCAAGTCCTTGACCGTACGACACTCATGTCGACTCACAATATTCTGGGGTTCTCTAGAGCCAATGGTTAGTATTGTTTCTTTTTTACTCCGCCCTGTACGCTGAGAACTCACTGAACCGCAGCTCATTCTGCGTTGAAGAAGACATGGCGTGCAGTTGTGTTCTATGCACAACAGGTCGAGTCGTAATAGTTCCTCCAATGATAGATCCTCTGGCCAATCGAGCTGTTGCCAAATCGCCAATATTGGTCGTTGCAGCAGCTCGCGAACCGACAGCTAACCGAGATATCCCACGTCGAGCAAGAGCTGGTGCAAGCACTTGCATAGCCACAGGGTAATAGAAGATTATAAGGATATCAAGAGGAATAAGAATAATTCCAAATCAAGTGAGTTGATGCCGCGCTGTTTGCCGATGCTATAAAAAGTCTCGGTCAAATTGTGTGCCGGTATTCGGCATGTGAGACATTTGTAGTCGGGGCAAGTTTAAAATGGGAAAACCTGAGGTAAGGATGGGGGACTGAATTACCGTAGCTGCAGCGCGGGGGAACGGCAGTAGAGTAAAGTGGGGGGATCTACCACTGTCTTGAAGATAGTGCGCAGTAGCTCCATAACCCCCTAAGGGCGCTCTCTAGTCATGCACTGCAGGTGCCCAGTACCCAGTCGGGTGCCTAAGGGACAGGAGGTGTCCATAGTAGATGCATTAATGTCTCTGCTAAATAGGTGGCTTACTGCAATTGACTAAAAGTCAGTCAACAATCTCTTGTCACTTGCTATTGTCCTGCGACTTGTCTAACAAATAATTAGTTCAAATTAATTTCTCTAAACAATTCTGTCCCCAACGAATATGATATAATAATTTTCCCTACTTTATTGAGAATGTTAAACAAATTCAACCCCTTAAAACTCCATTGTAGGTATGCAACCGTCTATAAACCAACCACCCGACTTATCCTTTATACAAAACAAAAGGAATAACTCTCCCTCCCAGATACTCTATTGGCTCATGCGCTGACCTCGGCAAACCAGGTTCGCAACAGACCAGCCAGAGCACTTGGCAGCTCTTCCAGATGGTGGACAATCAAGTAGTACTGGAAGGGGAACGTGTCCAGATACCTCTCGATCACCACTTTGCTCTCTCCGCCGTCCCGAACAAACTTGGCTTCCTTGAGCTCAAGTACACTATCGCCCTTCTTCTTGCCCGTGTCGTCCATGATGATGAAGACGATCATGATTCGCTCTTCCATGGCCTCTCGCAGCATTCTTCGGATACCCTCGTGGGCTGATGAAGGTGTGAGACCGTCAGAGAGAATCAGCGCGAGTTGCCAGAGGTCCGAGTTGCCACTGCCTTGCTGTCGTGCCACTCTGAAAGTTTCAATGGTTCTTTGAATGAGTAAACCAATGTCGGTGCGATCTTGACCGAAGTTGAACTTCTGTAGGATTTTGGCACCAGCATCCGAGGCAAAGGGCTCGGTGAGACCATGAGCGGTGAAAACATCGCTACCGAAACCCATAACACCAACTTGTCCAGCCTCCAACATTGCGAGTGAACGAGACACCATGACAAGAGATTCCATCGCCAGAGTACCCGATGATGTTTCTCCCATACTCTTACTATCGTCCACGCACAGCAGGATTTGGTAGGTTCGCTTAGTCGGGATACTGCGGCGCATCCAGATCTTGTCCCGCTTGTAGCTCGATGCAATATACGGAATAATGCGCTTGATGTTGAGTCGCTTACCGGTACGGAAAGCACCCGAAAGCTTTGTTGACTGCGATGGAGTAAGGATGAGTCGAAGCTGAGATGTCAATGCCAAAGAAAGCGAGTGTGTCTTGGTCTGGAACTCTGTCCACTGCTGCATTGACTCTCCAAAGTCGCGGAGCGGACGTTCTTCATCCGATAGGTGAGTGATAGACAACTGAGTTGATGTCTCCTGAATGTCTGCCTCATCTTGGTCTTCCAGCATTTGCGCCTCCTGTTCAGAAGGACTGAGCTCACGGTCAAAGTTGCCTTGCCGTGTCTTGACTCCTGAGCGAGTGTCATCCTGGTCCTTGTCGGAATCTTGTTTGCTGGTATCTGGCGCCTCGGTGTCGGCGGTGTCCATCTTGTCAGGATCTTGTCCGGCCTCATCCTTGTCCTCGTCCATCAGGCGGCTTGTGGGATCTTGCTTCTCCTCATCGATAGCCATGGACTCGTCGATGGGCTGCACCTGTTCGTCATCTGCTGTTCCCATAGCTTGCGTATCTGTGGCGGTTTCATCGTCCTGAAGATGCTGAAATTCTTTACGACCTTGATCGGCGCTTGGATCCTGTGGCGCGTTTTGCTCGTTCGCTTCAGAAGGCTCCGCATCTTTGATATCTTCCTGCTGTCGATGCCAACGTTCAAGGGCATCGCCAAGTTTCTTGAAGGGATCGCTACGGGCCGAGTCCGGTTTGTTTTGATCTTGATCGGCCCTGTCCATGATCTCCTTTGACTGCGACGTCGACCCTTGGTTGCCTGCGCTTGTGTCCTGGTCAGCGGCGCCTTCTCCCATCTCGCCATCCTCTTGTTGGGCGGCATTGCTCTGGAAGTTGTCGTCGACGTCCATCGAGTCCGCGTTTTGGTCTTGGCCAGAGGTCTTGACATCGCTCGGCGCCGCGTTGTCGGTATCGGTAGTAGCGTTATCCTGAGGAGGCTGGTTCTGGTCCGTGGCGTCCTCCTGTTCTTCGGCCTTCTCCTCTTCTTCTGGCTTAACTTCCTCGTCAACCTCATCCTTGCCGCCTGCCTTTTCCTCGGGTGTTTCTTCATCCTCTTCGATTTCAGCTTCTTCTCCTGCCTCCTCCTTAAGCTGGGCCTGGGCCGCAGCATCTTCCGAGTCTTCGTCTTCATTATCGCCCATCTCCTGATCCTCAGCTTCCTTCTTCTCCTCTTCAATATCAGATAAATCGTCCAAGTCGTCGCTATCTGATGCTGACTCGTGCTCGTCGCCGAGGTCCAACTCCATATCCTCAGGCAGCGCCAGAGTATCGTTCTCCTGCGCTGTCTGCTCTTGCTTGTTCATTTCCTCCTGGTTTTTAACGTCTTCCTCCTCAGCGCCAGCTTCTTCCTCCTCAGCGTCTTGTTCGCCAGAATCGTCGACATCTGGCTGTTCTTCGCCGTCTTGCTTCTGGGCGTCTTCGTCTTCGTCTCCGGCCATCTGCTCGTCGTCTTTCTTTTGACCCTTGGCCTTCTCGCCCTGCTGGTCTTTGTCGGCCTTCTCTTCGTCGTCACCATCCCACATCTTTTCATCGACAGCAGTGGGATCAAGGTCATCAACATCTCCAGCCTCTTCGTCCATGTCGTTCTCTTCTTCCTCCTCTTCGTCACCATTCTTCGATCCTTCTTCATCTTCTTCGGCACCGTCGACACTGTTCATATCACCTTCAAGCTCTTCGTCTGCCATATCGACTGCATCCTTTTCATCCTCCATCTCGCCACTCTCCTCCTTATTGGCTTCTTGAGCAAGCTCAGAGAGGTCTTCATCGGGCTGGATGTCCTTGCTAATGTCTTCAGCACCTTCACCATCACCGAGGCCTGTTCCAGATTCCACCTTGCCGGAGTCACCAGACGTCTCGTCAGACTTTTCCTGGGGCGTGCAAAATCCTTGAGAAGAGATTTGAGTAAAAGTCTTGGTCATGTTGTAGGCCATGTGCGCGATGGAACTGTGGATATCGACGACCTGCATCAGGATTTGCTGAGCGAAGTCAACATATTCGCCCAAAATGGGACTTGCGACAGCCATAAGGCTCATGGCTGCCTTGCTGAGATGTTGATCTTCGAGTTGCATATGTTGCAACATGTTGATGCAACTAGTCACGGCCCTTTCGACCTCACTAACACGAAGCTTGGTAAACAATTTCGTGAATCCCTCACTGTGGCTAGTCAGCCAGCCAGGCTCGTCCTCCTTACGAGGGATTTCTTTGGCGGCCTTCTTTGCGCCTTCAATCGCAACAAGAATCTTGTCACCGAGTGTCGAGATGGCGTTTGCAAACGTGGCTAGCTCCATGCTATTGTCTGCCACCTCTAGGGCATTCTCACTAATGCTAGTCCAGCCTGCAATTTGCACGAAAACAAACGAGAGCATCGGCTGGTCCCTGTTCAACTCTTCCAGGTTGCTGCGGAAGCTAGTCAATTCGTCGGAAAACTTCGCCTTGGCACGAACGGCTGCTTCAGAAGAAACGCTCTCTGGGAGCTGCTCCAAACCGGCGGTGGAAGCCTTGAGGGAATCGAAACGCCCATACCACGACTTCAAGTGCTCCAGAACGGATGTGTGCTTCGTTTCCCCTAATTTCTCATGGACTTCAACCAGGTGAATAGCATACTTGAGAATCTGCACGAGCCAGGGAAGGAGACGTGTCCAGTCAGATGCACATGTCTTGCGGACGAGAACACCATGCTCCTGGGAAAGGCTCAAGTGATGGAACTGTGCTGTCGATCGCTTGAGAAGCGACAGGGACGAACCTCCTGTAGAAATCAAGTTTCTCTGGGCAAGAAGAAGGTTCAGCATTCCTTCAACAAAACCAACACTTCGCGCGATCTCTGCACTTGTCAGATCCTCAGAATGATCTCGAGAAGCCGCTCTAGCTTTGGGAACAAGGTCAAGGATCTTATGTAAGTGGTATTCCATGGCGTCGGAAGTATTCTCCGGAAGCTGCACTGGCTGAATGGAAGCCAACACAACTGAAAGCGACTCCTGTTCAGCAAGCTTGTCTTGACCAAGATTGTACTTGAGGCCCATTTGACGAAGGTCGCGTAAGGTATCAGCGAACAGTTTCCTCTTTCTCGTCTTGAGATGCTTGACTTGGTCCTTGTTCTCGTCGGTCAAGAAAGGTGGCGTTTCCTTGCGTAGCTCAACCATTGACTCGTTGAGGCTAGAAACGAAGTCGTCGATCGTCTGCGGCACATCACTTGTTATTTCAGGACTCTCTGAGATCTTACGCATGACTGAGACTGTTTTGGAGACATTGGCAAGTCGCTTGTGGCCATCAATCCACCCTGGCATGGTCTCATTCAGCTTGGCGAAGACGTCGGCTGGAACGTTGGTAGGAGCAGACTTCTTCTCAACATGACTTGCACGACTGACTTCTTCGTCAGGAAGGCCTTGCTCGATGATTTGCTTCGCCTCCTGGCCAAGGACACCACGGAACTTCCGAATGATACGGAAAAGCTTCTGGTGAGACTTGCGAGCGCTTTCACGAAGGGCATTGATATTTGTGTCTTTCCAGCTTGCCATAAGCAAAACATCCTTCATCTTCTTCTCAATAGGAAGACGGCCCTTGTGCACGGCTTCATCCATAATCTTCTCATAACGGGAATAATACTGGATAAAGTTGCACAGAGAATGCAAGACAGCTTCGAGGACAGGGTAATCTTTGGCCAAGAGCTTAAGATGACTTTGGAGTTGACGTAGTAGAGCGAGACGAGCTCCGTACTGTCCAACAATTGCGGTTGAGAAGTACATTTCCAAACTTGAAATCAGAGAGGCAGCGTACTCTTCCATTTCGTTCGGGACGTCGACCAAAGATAACGGGACAGCAATGACAACTTGGTATGCCACAAACCACCACGAATACGCATCGTCCTGGCACTTCTTCTGCTCCATATCGAAGAGATTGGCCCAGGTTGACAGTTCCAATCGTCGCCAGCGGATGATTGTATCAGTGAGGAGGTTGTGGAGAGTAAGGACACCATAGATTTTGCTTGCCCAGCCTCCGAACTGCCATTCGTATACGTGACCGTGAAGATATTCAACCTTCGGAAGTATTTTAGCTAATGGCTCAGTGTGGACAAGTTCAAGGACTTGATCACAAGCTTGAATGACATCAGCCAACGGTTGCATGTGTCCGATTTCGTCTACCATCTGCAATTCCCGGAAACGAGCCTTCATCTTGTGCATGAGGTCAACAAGTCGACGAGCCTCAGGCACGTTGGCATCTGTATAGAAGTTGTAAGACTTATCCACAGTGGGTGAGACCAGTGACTCAAGCTTGTCGTTAAGGAAGAACATAGTGCCGGCCAACATTTTACCCGCCAGGCTCCTGTCAATGTTCTTGTGGTCGATAGTTTCTGATGTAACTCTGTCCCCCACAGATTTGGAAGCATCTTTGAGAGCCATAGAGAAGTCAGGTGGAGCGAGAAAAAGGTTCTTGTGCATTTGTGCCACACGTAGAGACTGATCCCGCACTTCATCTTGCTTCTTGACGACAGGCATATTCGCGGCTTCTTCGTCATCGAAAGTAGGGAACAGCTCGTTGAACTCCTCGGTATCAATTTCCTCTTCATCCTCCTGGGAGCCTCGGAAACGATAGAGACTACCCTTGGCGGCTTGCTCCTTGCGGTCTGCTTCAAGCCTCTTTGTCCACTCGTCGAACAAACTATGGAAGCTCTTGAAAACCATCTCGCGGGCATGGGGACCGATTTGCTCGAAACCTTCAACACTGGCCACAACTGACATATAGTTGAGGAATTCAAACGTTCGAGATGAGAAGTCTCCATCCTTCTGGTTCCACATACTTCCACCAAGGAAAGGAGTAACGTCGAGAATTTGCTGTGAAGCGGGTGCCAGGTTACGTGCTGATGCAGCATCGCATAGCGAAAGTCCAATCATGAGGCAGCGGAGTAGATTTGACGTAGGTCGTGTCATGTCTTGGTAAGCTTCGAAGCGAGTAGCAAGGCGGTCCAAAAGTCGGAGAACATTCTCTTTCACGAGCTGCAACTCTTCAGCCGCTCGAGATGGGTCGTTGTCAAGGATTTGAAGAGCCGAGGACAGAGTAGGACCAGTGACAGCCTTCAGCACGTTAGAGAACTCAGCATGTAGACGACTGAGCTCTGACTGATCGGGTCTGTAGATTGGTCGAACCTCTTCCGGAAGGGGGCCTAAAGCGGTGGCTTCTGCTTCAAGGAGGCGAATGCGCTCATTCGTATCTTGTCCAGTAAAGAGCTTCTCAAACGTGCGGAGTGAGTCAGTTCGCTCCTTGAGAAGAGCATGCATTTCTTGAAGAAATTCGCGTTCCATCTTAGGCCTACTTTGAGGGTCGAAAACGCGATCTGGGACGTACAGCTTGACAGTTCCAATGCTGAAGTGAATCCAGGCAAAAGCAGACAGATGGGCCTGGTTTTGGGTTTCTTTTTGCGAAGCAGCGAGTGCCTTCAGAGCAGGAATCAGATGCTCTGTGGCAATCTGACGGAAATGTTCTTGTTCAATGCAAGATGCAATGCCATCGAAAATCTGTGAGCCATTTGCAGGATCCTGAGAAACCAGCTGTGCTGCTTCAACAACAACCTCCTTCAGACCCTGGCCGTGAGCAGTGAAAACCTCGAGAGCAAGGTTGGAAAGGACATTGTTCAGTCTTGTTAAAGGATTTTCCATCAAGTCGGCACTTAGGATTGCAAGCTGTCGGCCAGCAATCGGAAGCTCAGCTTCAAGGAGAGCCAAAGATCCCAGGTTGACTGATCCCAGTCTTTGAAGCTTTGACCAGAACGAGGTTATAAGTTTACCGTCCCAAGAGAACTGATTCTGATAAACCAGATTTTCTACTGACTGAAGCAATGCAGCCTGGTGCTCAGAACTGGCAAGCATCATTCCGGCCTGGGTGGGTACATTGGATAATACTCGCAGCTCTGCGTTGTCTGGGCTATTGGGACTTAGCATTGACACCTGACGAAGTGATTCGAACTCTTCGACCATGAAAGGCATGCGTTCAGCCTCATCTGTGCCGATTCGGCCTTCTAAAGACTCGATCTCTGCAGTAAGAGCTTCCAGAAGGGTGTCTAAATTAGGAACATCACTGCGAATGATTCCCGAGGCCTTCTCGAGAGTTATCATAGCCTTTGCCAAATCAGTAATTGTTGCTCCCGCCTTCCATCGCAAAGTGTCAAAGCGAGAGCCTAGCTTCTCGAGCTCCAGTGTTCGGTCCAAAAGTTGCTTCGTAGGGAGAGGGGTTGGGCGGAAAATGTGCCAAAGCAACTCCATACTCAGACCAGTCGACAACTTAAACCCGGCTGTGAAGTCCTTGCCAAGTCGATCGATGAGAATGAGAACGAATTCTCGCTCTTGGGCACCATTTGATATATCCAATTGCTTTTGGAAGAAGTTAGCACCTTGGGCAAGGTGTGCTTGAAACTTGGCTTCGTCAAAATCGGGTTCGGTTGCGAGCCGCACAGTACGCTCAAGATAGCGGAGAACACCTCTCAAGATAACAACGCGCTCCGTCCATGATTCAGAGGACTCGAAATTGAAAGCAAGCCACTCTTTAGCCGCATTGATCGTCGAATCCAGGAACGAGGCCAACTTCACAGTAGCGTCCTTGGACACGGCTGCCACACGAGCGCTAACAAGTGATCTTTGGAGTCTGTTGAGAGCATTCAATTTCTGAGACTGAGCTTGGTGTCGCTGGTCCTCAATGGAGTTGTGCAAGTGGTATAGATCTTGGTAGAACTCTAAGCACGCGCCAAGCCATCGCCCAGTGTCAGGTGAAGGCAAAAGTTGAGCCACGGGGAAGTTGTTGAGCGGGTGCAAGGGCTGCGCGGACTTGAGTGCTTCAGGGACGCTCAGCAAGGCGTACAATCTTGAAACGGCATTGACACCGTCAGCACCATTGTTTGAATGAAGGAAATTAAGCAATCCTGAAACTCCAGTCCTTAGCACCTCTTTGTTCGCCGTATTCTGAGATAGAGTGTCGGCAAATCGAGGAAGGAGAGCAACGTCAGTTATAGAAAGAGTCTCAAGAGCGCGCTCGACGATCTGGACTGATTCATCAGTGGTCGCGTCAGCTGCCAGGTTGCTTGTATTGTATCGTTGCAAAGTACTCTCCACACTCACAACTCTGCTGTAGGAGGAGTCGAGGGCAGGAGGAGGCGTGTGAATATGAATCTCTACAGCACGGTTTCGCATTGCACGGGAGAGTTCGCCGTATCGCGGATCCATGGTCAAGAAAATGCGAAAGTCTGGATGCGGGCGCACGATTCGAGGCTCTCCACCAGGTCCACAGTGTTCGTTGATGCTCAAGAACCCATTTGGTTCGAGAAGAGAGTTCAGTCGATCCAGGACGGAAGCGTTACACATGTTAGCGTTGTCAAGAACCAACCACTGGCCCATTTGCAACGCTTTAACAATAACACCATCCAACCACTCGAAGCGAGGGTTCTCCAACACTAAAGAATGTTGCAGAGGAACAAGGGCCTTGGAAAGCGCTGTGGCTACGTCGGAGTTCGTAGGGACCTCCAGAAGCAGTTCTTTGACACATGCAGTGATAGCAGGAAGTGAATCAACATCACCGGTAAACCTATCAAGCAGATGAAGCAGTTGGAGCGCCTGGTTTGGAATATCCGCTGGTACCACCGACATAATAGAGTTCTGCAGATCCTGCTGGAGGGCTCGGAGCGCAGCATTAACCTCTCGAAGAGGGTCTGCCTGTTCGAAGCCACCAACAAGATCCATAGTATCAATATCAGCGTTCATGGGGAACACGACAAGCGACTTTCCAGCCAGAGCTGCGACATGCTCTAGAAGAACTGACTTGCCGTAGCCTGAAGGACTGCTAAGAATACAAGGAACATTCTGCTTCACGCAAATCATGAGTGACTCGAGCTCAGCCAGTCTGGGAACAATGTCGATGTTAGGGAGTCGCTCTGGCTGAGAATGGGGATGTCTGTCAAGAAGGGCCAAACCGACTTGACCGAAAAGAGAATTGATATCATGGTAAAGGCTATGCTGTCGTGGAGCGGAGCCAGATATCAACGTAAAAAGATCCTTGACTTCCTCGCGATCCCGTTGCGTTCGGAATCGCTGTCGGACAATAATGTCAAGGAAGTCATCAACATGAGCGTTCTGGAGGAGAGGATCAGAAGAGTCAAGAAGTTTCAACCAGCGAAGGACATCTCGTAAATTAAATTCCCAAGGACTGCCTTGACTTCCAAAAGCCTTCTCGATAGCAAGCTTGTTGTCGAGCTGGGACACGAACTGGATCAATTGGTTGATCACCTGGGGTGAGATCTTAGGATAGTTGTGCGCGGCAATCAAGTTCAGATCGTCGTCTGAGAAAACATCGGCGTAAACAACGATGAAACGGTTGACAAAGGAAGCGGGCAATCCTTTGCGGCCGCCACCCTGATGATGCGGGTTTTGAGCTGCAAAGAGACGGAAATCTGGGTGGCGCTTGAAGACTTGGTCCAGCTCGGAGATATAAACCTCACCTCGATGGTCAAGACAGGCGTTCAAACCTTCCAGGACAGATTGGGAAGCAAGGTTCATTTCGTCAAGGAGCACCCATTCGCCCTTTTGCATAGCTTGAAGGAATGGCGCATCTCTCCAAGCAAAGTTGCCAGCCTCAGCTCCTTCAACAGGGACATCAGTACCAAACAAATCCATCAAATCGGTTTGATCAGAAAGGTTGATTCGGGTTAAAGGCTGGCCACATGCCTGGGACAAGGCGGCCACAAGAGTGGTTTTTCCTACTCCAGGACTTCCTTCGAGAAGAATTGGCTTCTGCATTTGCAGCGCTCGGAGGACTCGCATAGCGTTCAAGCGGGTAGTAGGTGCATGGAAAGCAAACCCAGGGTCAGCAACTCCTGTGGAAGCACGAGGGATGCTGAAGTGCCCGATAGTCAGAGAACGGTCATCCATAGAGAGCTCGGGATGGGTCTCATAGACATTAGAAACATCCTTGCCAATAAGCTCACTCAATTTACCTAGACATTTCTGTCGTTGCTGACCAAGTGACTTGGGATCTGTAGCCAGAAGAGCGGAGGGATTGGCACCGAGACTGTCAATGAAGATAGTTGAAGCACCATGAACCAGTGAAACAACAGGGTCGCTGGAATGGAAGTTGTTGATAAACTGGACCCAGACCAGAATCTCTCTGACGGAGAAGGGCGTTGATGCCATAGACCTGAAAGTGTCACCAAACCAAGCAGCAAACTTCACAACAACCTCGACCAGCTGTTTAGAGTCGCCCTTGAGCTTTGTTTTGACAATCTCGTAGATATCCTCACTCTGTGATAAAGCTGGAACCCAAATCTCGGTGAATCTGTTTCGCAACGCAGGCGATAGTTCCTTCTTTCCAAAATCGCCGCCAGGGTTCATGGTGGCAAAGAACTGGAAGCCCTCGGCTCCAACGACGAACGAGTTATCAATTCCCTTTTCAGCAAGAAGAAGGGTTCTTGAAGGTTCCAACACAGAGTTAAGACGCTCCAGGACCGAGTCATCAGCTAGAGAGATTTCATCTAGAAGGAAGAAGTGGCCTTCTCGCATAGACTCTACTAGACTTCCATCCGCCCATTCGAACAAGGCTTTACTTCGTGTTTCATGGACACCGATACGCTCTCGAACGTCTTCCGGAATGTTGCTGATGGTTGAAGCATCCAATGCCTTATATCGCTCCAAGCGCTCTTCGACCGAGCCAGAGATATCCAATCCAAGAGTTTGTAAAACTGACTTCAAGTCCACATCCATGGCATCGATAATGGCTCCTCGGTTACGAACAGGTCTCTGAGAACCAATCAAATCGCCCGTCTCGGTGTTTTGGTGAGCATTAACGATGTGCAGCTCCTTTTTCAATGCCTCAGCGAGCAATTGAACAACTGTGGTTTTTCCACAACCTGTCTCACCCACCAACAGAACAGGCTCGTTGTTGCGCAGTGCTCGAGAGACAAGAACATAGAGTCGCCGCATGGCATGAGTCCATACAACACCTTGATTGTTATTGTGGCTTACAAAGTCCTTCAGCTCAGGGGCCATGGTAGCGGAATACAGGTCTTGGGGGTTGATTTTGACCTTGAAAACCTTTTCGATCACCTCCTTGACAGCTGTGCGCTCCTCCTCTTCACGAACTCTTTCGGCCAACAGCATAAATCCATCAGAAGCAATTTGCTCACGGAGACCGCCCTTTCGCAACGCCCAACGGAACAGATCGCGAAGAGTAGCAAAACTGTCTTTTTGCTCAAACAGCCGGCTTGTTTGACGAAGTCGTGAGAGTTCCTTATAGACAGTAACAATTCTCTTACAGTCAGGTGGGGAGGTTTCCGGGCTTCGCTGTGTGAGAATAGTCTCCAACTCATCTTCGGGTATATCGTCAAAATGTAATTCAAGGAATCGATTGCGGAACGCTCTCGAGAGCACCTTTCTTCCACCATACAGACCAGGAGGGTTCTGCGTGGCGAACAGAATAAAGTTCTCGTGAGGCTTTACGATCTCCTGGGTTTCGGGGATTAAAAGCTCTCTGTTGTCGTCGAGAAGGCGGTTCAGGGCCTCGAGGACGTCAGTTGGGGCTAAGTTCAGTTCATCAAGCACAATCCAGTGGCCTTGACGCATTGCCTGAACCAGAATACCCTCTTGAAAACGGAGTTTGCCATCGGACCCAGAGATGTAGGTACCAAGGTATTCCTGAAGGTCGGTATGCTCGTGGTTGTTGATACGCACAAACTTGTTACCAGTGAAGTTTGCCAGGTACTCGATCATACTTGTCTTTCCAGCGGAAGTTGGTCCTTGGATAAGAATAGGGAATCGCCTAGTTGAGGTGGCGCGGACGAGATTCAGAAGGTTACGCTCCACGTAAGGGGTAATAATGTAGTCTTTACGCTCAATGGGAGTTTCATTGCCCTGGAAAAGCCAGTATTGTCTGTCCCGATTTTGGTTTTTGAAACGCACATATTGCTTGCCGTCATTAGGGTGCTTGGGTGCTTGGGAAAGTAGTGACTGGGGGTTGCCGTGGCTCTCAAAGAGATGGTGGGATATTAAGGGAACAAGCATTTGCTCCGAGTCTCTGTCAAGTAATGTAAGAAATCCCATAGCAAAGCCCTCATAGAGAGCCCTGCGCAAGCCATAGTAAGGTGCAATGGTATTCACATAGCTCAGAACTCGTGTAAGGGTACGAAGACTGAAGTGAGGTACCTCATTCGCTCCATCAACTAGCCTCTTCTCCTCCGCCAACCGTTTGGTATTAAGATAGAGGCGCGCGATATCATCTGCTGCTTGGTCGTTCTTGCTACTGCTACTACCAAGATAGGTCTTGATGATTGTGAGCAGATCCTTGATGTCCTTGTCTGGGCTAGAAACGTAAACTTCGGTGAATCGGGAGCGGATTCCAACTGGCAGATCCCGCTTTCCAATATCGGTCGCAGGATTCATGGCACCGAAAATTCTAAAATTGGGGTGAGCCTCGATCTTCTCGATCTCACCAGTTTCTGACAGCAGGATAGAGGGTTTCTCGTCGGGACCAGTCAGGAGATCAGCGATACTTTCAAGAGTATCGGGAGAAGCAAGGTTAATCTCGTCAAGAAGTACCCAGTCGCCGTTGCGGACAGCCTTGACAAGATTTCCTTCCATGAAAGAGAAAGCAAAGGTACCAGAGCCTCCAGAAATCTGGACGTCGAATTGCTCGAGATTCCGGGCAAACATATCCCATCTTGGACGTAGATCAAGGAGGGTTTGCAGCTTGGACTGAGTCTTTCGACGTTTCATAGGCTGTTCATCTCCATTTCGAGTCTCTGCTTGCTCTGCCTGAACTCGTTCGAGCTCTGTGACAATCTTATTGAACATCTTGGGGGCTTCCTTCCACAGTTTTGACACCCTTGACCATTGGCCTTTAGCAAAGCATTTACCGACCTGCTCAAGATATTTTTGATTCTTGGACGCTGAGATGCCAGTGGCAGAGAAAAGGTCCTCAAATTCTTCCTTGAGAGGCATCGCTAATGTCCGAGTGTTGACGGGTTTGAATCCACCGAGAAGATCACCAACCTCACTTTGCTGGGACAGGTTTACAGCGATAAGCTTATGGCCCAAAGACTCGGCCAACTGTTGCACCACCGTGGTCTTGCCTATACCTGTTTCTCCGACAAGCAGGACGGGCTCGTTCAACTTCACGGCGACGGCAATCTGTTCCAATAGCTTTTTGGCATGCGCTGTGCTGGCGAATGGTCGTTTTGATTTCTGTACTCTGTTCGATTGCTTCTTCTTGCGCAACACAGCGCGGCCAATGCTGAACTGATTGTCGCTTTCCTGCAAAGGGGGTATATGAGTCGATAGGTAATATTCCACTCGTTCTTTCGGGACGCGCATCTCCTCCGCGATGGCAAAGACGAGGTCTTTGCCGATCTGAGCATCAGGACAGCTTCCAACAAAACAATCAACAGCTTCCATGAACATCTGATCTTCTGTTGTATTGGTGATAGCTTCCTCGCCGGTCTTTGAGCCTGAAGCGATTAAAGATTCTCGCAGTCTACGACACCACTTCAGCAAGTCCCGCAACGTCATCTGGCGATCCATAACGTTCCTACCCCGAGCCAATGCACCAGGTTTGTTCCCGATCTGGGACAGACGGGCATATACGGCAAGGATATCCGGGACAAGCCTTCGTAGGATGGGGTACGTTTGGACCACAACGTTTTCGAGCTCGGAGGCCGCAAGGGGCTGGGTGTTCAAAGTCTGCCAGAAGCGGATGCCAACCATACTTGGCAGGTTTTCCCTGCCATTCATCCCTCGTGATGTCCGTACTGTCGCGAAGAGTCGGAAAGTGCTTGCTGCGCGTATTCTCTCGCCTCGGCTTGGGATGAGGAGTTCCTTTCGCTCAATCAGGGGGAGCAGGGTGCTCAAAACCTCCGTGGGGGCTCGGTCCAGATCTTCCACCAAAACCCATCGGCCTTCCCTCACTGCTGTGGTCAAAACACCGGGGCGCCACTGGAAAGAACCAGGTTTCGAATCAGTCGAGTACAAGCCAATCAGCATCTTCGCGTCCGTCTGTTCGTTGAGGTGCAACGTGACCATATTTGAGTACATGCCAAGTTGCTTAGCTATTTCGTGTACCAAGGCGGTCTTGCCAACTCCCGGAAGTCCATACAACATAACTGGGTCGGGATCGCGGAGCATAGTTGCAAGCCTCTCCAAGTTAGACACGGTCGTAGGTGTGAGCACGAGGTTCGAAGGCTCTCCGGTTGGGCCTAGGGGTCTGGGGAGGATAACATTTCCATAGGCGACGACGTAAGGTGTCAGGGTCTGTAAACAAGGATTTTCGTTGTTGTCGGCTTCATGGGCAGCTTGTACTTCCTGACGCAAAGAAAGGAAGGACTTCACTCGAGACTGTTCGTACAGCGACAGAAACCCGTAATCAATCGATCTGCCGTCGAAGTCTGCTAGAATAGCCTCGCTCTTGCCGATGTGTTCTTGGATTAGAGACTCAAGCTTCCAATCTGATCCGTGAAGAAGCTGGATAAAGATTCTGGTCGCAAGATAACGAACTGCTGTACTTTCATGGTTAAACAGGGTCTGCATAAAAGCGGCCGACGTGAGAGGGCCGAAGTTGCGCGAGTCGAAACTGATCAGCCTCCAAGCAACGAGGAGACTCTGTAAGAGGACCTCTCCATCCTGCGTGATGGCATCCTGGTCGAGTTTCAAGGGTGGAAGTCGGAGAGAGGGTGAATTAGTCGGCTGTTCGGCGGTGGAAGAGGCGTATTCGATAAAGGTGGATAGGTAGGGAGCAAAGGGTAATATACGTGCAAGTGCCGAGTATATTCGTACGTGTTGTGAAGGTTCGTTGCCGGGGTTAAGAATCCATCGAGCACAAATGTCTGGGAAGACATGCTCGAAATGCGCAAAGATACGCTCTGTAAGTGGTGGGCAAAGAGCTGCCTCAGCAATAGCGTCAAGCAGCTTAGTCGAAGAGTCTGTTTGAATGATTGCCAGTATTTCTGCAGGCAAAATTTCCAACACAGTCGCGTCCGTAAGGAGCGACCTCCTCTGCCGAGAGACATCAATCATTCCCATGATTGCGCTCGTGTCGACGATTTTTGGCTGCCGATGCTGGTGTTGGCGTAATAATTCACCAGCCGCATCTCTTGGACTAGACTTTTTTTTTTTCTGTTATCTTATCTCGGCTTGTAAATTTCCGGGGGGCTGCTCAGGCAGCGCTAATCCGTTCTAGTAATGGACCCTGGAGTTCACCTGTAAAGTAATTAGCATCGACAATATTCAATTTACGAAGTTAAATAGCTAGAAACATATGTTACTATTTAAAGAGTAGTTAGATATGAGGCTGCATACCCAGATCTGATTCTCTTTCAGTTGCATATATTGCACCAACCCCATACCTGCCTGTAGGTAGGCTCAAGCGAGCGTACTTTATGGCTCACATGGGATCACAGAATCAGCAACCAGAACACAGACAGACTCAATGCTTAACTCAATTGACACACTGTCACTATCCAGTAGAGTCCATTACTTGTACGTTAATCAATAAATTTCCAATTAGAAAAGCAATTGCACTGCATACAATCGTTCGATGAAAATGTGCCCCAGTTATTCACGTGACTCGGCCGCTAGCACGCCGGAACATCGAGACAGCTCGAAAAACTTCAAGACGTCGTTCCCTCAGACGCCCGCACGCGACGACTCTCTCGAATTGAGCATCCACCAGTTCAACCACAACAATGGCCATGTCTTGTCGGTACGCCGCCCAGAGCTGTGCTCGCCAGCTTCGATCCGCCCGCGCTGCCCGAGCACCCGCACAATTCGTCCGCATCCCGGCCACCTCGAGAAGATGGAACTCGTCCGAAGCCGCTCCCACCAACCCTAAGATCGAAGCCATTGTGGACCAGATTAGCCAGCTTACTCTTCTGGAGACTGCCGACCTTGTTTCCAGCCTCAAGGTTAGTGCTGGTGTTGGACTGAACATCAATTGGTTTTTGGCGGGGTTATCTGGACCGTAGTCGCTAACATGACATTTCCAATAGAACAAGCTCAACATCCCCGATATGCCCATAGGCGGTTTTGCTGCTGCTCCTGCCGCTGCCCCCGCTGCTGTTGAGGAGGCTGAGGAAGCTGCTCCTGCCGCCGCCGAGAAGACACTCTTCACCCTCAAGCTGCAAGGATTCGATACCGCCTCCAAGGCAAAGGTCATCAAGGAGATCAAGAACATGCTCGGCCTGAGCTTGGTGGACAGCAAGAAGTTCGTTGAGAGCGCACCAAAGATGATGAAGGAGAACGTTCCCAAGGAAGACGCTGAGAAGATCATCACCACCATGAAGGAGTTGGGCGCCACTGTGGTTATGGAGTAAGGCGGATCATCAAATCTATGGGACACGACGACTAGCGACTTGGCACGATAGATGGCTGGATTGCATGTATAAAAAAACATATGTACTAGTATCTAACAATATGCACCCTTAGACAAGACTCATCGGTGAGTTTTCTCTAATCATGATATCATATTGAACATGAAGTAATTATTGTCACTCGAATGAGCTGCAATCGTTGCTTCGAATTCTATGAAACAATGACTTTAAACATCATGACTCCAGACAGCCATGCAGCAAATGGCGGGTATCAATCCTTTCTTGTTTTGTTCTCCCAATTACGAATCGAGCACTGCTTCGATGCCTTTCGACGCCGTCCGAGAAAAGATGTGCTGAACATCTAACAACGAGTCTCATCCACCCTCATCTTTGAACCATGGTAGTGAGGCTGTATCCTCATCACTCTCTGGAACAATTCATCCTCCTCTTCAATCAGGCGCTCATCATCGTCTCCGAAATCGCTGGTGGTTTCCCATAGTCGTTCCTAATGATGGTCACCATTCTTTGCCGCCCGATGATGATGGCAGCCAGACTGCATTTCCATTTCCTTCTGAAAGTCACCCTGCTCTTCACTAATCAGGCGATCATCGTCTTCTCCGAAATCACTGGTCTCCTCCCATAATCGATTCATCTCAGCATTATCGGTTTTGGGGATAGCCCATATACTTTCGCGCTCGCGCTTGTGACGCTCTCGGTCTTCTTCGATTCGCTGCTCTATTTGACGTTTGTCAAATTGATTCGATGCGCCTCGTCGGTCTGATTTGGGTATGGTCTGGGAAGGCGGTATATCCGTCATTTCAACATCTCCATTTGGTGAGGCGAGGTCTGCTGCGTTTGTTTCACGCTCTTTGATAACATCCTCAATCTGAATTACTGCTTGTGACTCCAGGTAGCCCTTCCCTTGGAGCCCTTGTAAAACCTGTACTGAATGTCAGTTGAAGATTCTAAAAACAAGTTGAGGGTATCTGATCACAAGGGGTCAACTAACTTTTCGGACGACTCTGACGTTGGCAGCGCCGGATCGATCATCAGGAGCAACAGCATCGACAACACGAATAATGTCTCGTTGCATCATTCGGATATAGTCTGGATGTCCGTCGCGTTGTGCCATGTCGAGGAAATGCTCAATAAAGTACATAATATTGGCCCTTGTATTCATGTTATTCTATTAAATTGAGATTAGTGATGAGTTTACAATGAGAATTGATGGCCCTACCACTCTTTCCAGCTGTTCGAGAATGCACGAGTGCAAGTCCTCATCCATATCCCTATATCGAAGCGCATATTGTGCAGCTTTTTGCGCAGATGCTACGGAAGCATTAAGATGCTGAAGCTGAGAGGTGAAGCGCATGCGCACTTCAAAAGGATCGGCCATTGTGAAAGAGTATGAGTAAAGTAAGATGATAAAAATAAATTGTATGTAGTGACGAACTCCGTAAGTTGGAAACCTTTGAGCAACTTCAAACCCTTGTTTGGTGAAACAAAACACAACGGCTCTCGTATAAGATAGTTCTTCAGTCAGTGGTAGTTGAGATGAGAAGCCCAAGTAATTTGTTGCTGTAGCTGGGTAGTGGATCAGCGAGCCGTCCATTTGGTGTGCCACATTGTGGCTGTGGCTGTGCTCATCTGCGGTGAGCGAATTTGCGACCTTGAAGCGACCGGGAATAATCAAAGTCTCACCTTGTCACGAATATTATCTACTTTGGGCATCTCTTTTTTTGCTTTTCTTATTCTCAGCTGAAATCCCTTCACTAATAAGAAATGAATCCGGGTCGGACTAGCCGAAGGTGTATCACATAGTTCTAACCATAAAAGGTTGCCGGTGAAAAGCCTGTCAGTGTCAGGCTTGTCAAATTCTCGTTCGCTGAAGCAACGTTGAAGCCATACATGGATTATGGACATGGGCATGTCAGGGGCTTCGTCCTGGTGCATTACCTCAGATCGCCAGGGGTCACTTACACTTACACGGTCTGGGCGAAGAGGCCACCTCAGGCTGAGTAGGAGGCCATGTACTGTAAAGTACATTGTTAGCCTGGAATAAGTTGGAACCTATCAAAAAAAGGCTCTGCTATGATGGCTTTTCTTACATCTCCTGACATCCATGGTGAGACTTTGGCTGTCTGCAATTTGTCCTCGCCTCTCTTCTCATTGACTGGCACCCGTTTAACAGTGTTTCTACGCAAACATTTATACGTAGGTAGTTAGTTGTCTTACCCCTTATTCTTCCGTCTTTGCTTCGTTATCCTGTTTTGAATACGGGGCAAGACGCGCATTGGGCAGCAAAGGAACTTTACGTTACCTGGGACTCGGTTTTTGGACTGCTGAGGTCTATATATGTACGTATGTAAACAAGGACTCTATCAACCTGACGGTAATAAAATAATAAGTCAATAATTGTGGAATCCTTCCATATAAATCTTGCGTCTTCCCCCGTTTCCCCAGCTTTTTTGGTTTATTCAATTTATTTTGCTTCCACCTTTCCCCATTCTGACCTATCTTTGCCGCCTCTTAACGTTAATATTTTTAAGGCCCTGCTCTACACTAGTCAGTCAACTGCCTTAAGATTTTCTTCCTCTTGTGCACAACTTCTTGTTATTCAACCAACTTTAGACACAAAATCAGCCATGCCCAACTCAATGGCTCTCACACCGTACGGCTCGAATGGAAGTACAGACCTCACCATGGCTGTCCTTGGCTGTGGTAAGTATTCAGAAGATGCACACAGGGCTGCATGGCGCACCCCTATCCGTGGATGGTTATAAGCGCTGTGCATGTTGTTACAGTCTTCACGTCTGAATAGAATCGCCGGATTCATGTGCTGATTGCCAAATAGGTACCATGGGTGTCGCCATTCTTAGTGGAATCTTGAATTCTCTCGCCGAGATGCAAGGACCCAAGCCCCTCCAGCAGTTGCCCCGATCGGGAGCTTCAACGCCTGGTGACGAGGTGCCTGAGCGACTTCCTTCGCGCTTTGTTGCCAGTGTAGCCACTCCTGCTGGCGCTAAGCGCGTCAAGGGTGCGCTCTGGGAGCACTCTTCTGTCCTCAAGGTTGTCCATAACGATAACCTTGGTGCTGTCCAGCAGTCTGAGGTTGTCATCCTGGCATGCAAGCCCTGGATGGTCAAGGAGATTCTTACTGAGCCCGGTATCTCAAAGGCCCTGCATGGCAAGCTCCTGATCAGTGTTTGCGCTGGTATTACTGTCGAGGACATTGAGATTGCGCTTCACGGCGCTGTGCCCTGCAAGGACCCTGAGGAGGATGGCCGATGCCGCATTGTTCGTGCCATGTGCAATACTGCTGCCGTTATCCGCGAATCCATGACTGTCATTGCTTCTCCCAACTCTCCTCTTGACCACGCCACCGAGAGCCTGGTTACATGGATCTTCAAGCGCATTGGTGACGTTGTTTACCTGCCGACCCGACACATGGACGCCTCAACAGCTCTGTGTGCTTCCGGTCCTGCTTTCTTCGCTCTCGTCCTGGAGGCTGCTATTGACGGTGCCGTTGCCATGGGCATTCCTCGTCCTGATGCACAGCGCATGGCCACACAGTCTATGAGGGGCACTGCTGGTCTTGTCCAGCATGGCGAGCACCCTGCCCTTCTCCGAGAGAAGGTCTGCACATCTGGAGGCTGCACTATTGGTGGTGTCCTGGTCCTTGAGGAGGGTAAGGTCCGCGGCACTGTTTCAAGAGCCGTGCGTGAAGCCGCTGTTGTGGCTGGACAGATTGGCAAGGGCGCCGAGGGTGTAAATGGAACAAGGTTCAATTACGAATGAGATGGCCATAGTCAAGTGAATTGATTGGGGCCTCTCAACTAAACCCATCCGCGACTGCTTTGTCAGAGTGTCCGCTCATTGCGGTTCGCAAAACTACCCTAGACGAAGTTGAGAAAATCCAATCATGGTCAGGAATGGATCCAAGAGGTCGTTCTCCAGTATCTCTTTCCATACCCAGGTACTGTATTGCAACTGGACAAGCTTTGGGCATTTTGAAAATGAATATTTCATGTGTTCTGGACATCTTTAACTTGTATATTATCGCATTGCATGGTACATAAAGACATGAATTACAACGACTTACATTTAAACCATCATACACGATGACCAGTATTCAATAATATCTCTACAGGGCGTGCATAGTGTTTCACAATAGGTAGCATTCCAAGCCTGTGTTGGGTCTTAGTGTTCTGATCGATATTCTTTATTTTCCCATTTAAAGATCGTGCTGAATCTGCAAGACACAGACAGATATTACAGCGATTTGGCTTTATGTACAGTTGACAAACGGATTTCCTCGTCCGATGCATTCCCAACGCCCAATTAAACATCGTTCCTTCCTTTGATATTTCACACGTAATTAGTACACTGGCATTCAGGCGTCTTCCACTCGAGCCTTCTTGCTACCAGAACCCCCCGCACCATCCTCAACATCCAGCTTTCGCTTGCCGTTAGCTGTTGCCTGGCCTTGAGTGTGCTGATCTGAACGATCAACAGCAGCCAGGATGCGTGCATACTCGAGGCCAACACCATGTAGGGTATCATCGAGCTTTTCCACACGTTCACTAGGTTCGATCTGAGAAAGGAGGTCCTTGTTGTGGCGGTACAGCCGTTGCTTCACGATCAAACTCCATACTTTGGCTTGATGTTGATCGGCCTTTGACGCAGCCGGTTTGTCTTCGTCAAACGCCATGGTTGGTCGTACTGATAGAGGGAGTTGAGACATGAGGTGCATCTCGAGGACTCTTCCAAACTGGCGTGGAGCGATTTTGGCCTCAAGGCGGATCGTCTCGAGCTTATCGCTGTTGACAATCAGCTTGGGGAGTGTGCCCTTCTTAGGAATGGCGACATCTGTGTCAACTCGCAAATTGTTGAATTCGGGCATCTTTCGGAGAAATTGCAGGTCACAGATATCTCTCAAATCGTCAAATGCTTCGTTGGGGTCTTCGACGGTAAATTCATAAGTCTGTGGAATCTTGTGGTAATGCTCGAAAATAGTCTTGTAGAGTCGCGCTCCGTTGCCCTTGCCTTGGAATGGAGGCAGAATGACGAATTGCGACAACCTTGCCCTGGAAGGGAGCTCACCAAGGTCCATGTTACCATTGGGCAACTCCCACTCGTCGTTTCGTGGTGATGCTGGTGGGGTGGGAGGCTGGAAATAGTAGAAACGATAGACAGTCGAGTAGCCGACAAACACATATGTAGTCTTGTCCCCCACCTTGCGCTTTTGATACAGGGCGAAGAAAGTCCAACGGTCCGCATCAGATAGGTCGAGTTCGGTTGACTCCCCTTCAGGATCCTGGCCAATATAGGTCCCTCCTTCAATAAAGAGAGGTACAAATAGTTGCAGGCGGGAGTTGAGCTGCTTGATAGCTGGATCGGCAAGGTTTCCGCGCCAGATCTCGTATTGACCATCGGGGCTATCGAAAGTTGTGTGTAGTTTTCCTGGTGGTGTCCAGTCGTCGGCCAGTAGCTTAGAGCTTTCCTCAAAATCGCTTGATTTAGCAAAGGCAACTAGATGCTGTCAGTGTTTATGGCTTTAATACACAAAGTTGAACAACGCACTCTTGGGCAGATGGTTACCCTCCTCGAGGATAGCTGCCACATCTGTCGGCTCAGGTCCGCCGACTGCATTGAATTTCTTGCTGTAAGACGTCTTCAGGTGCGGTCGCATATCGTTGGCCCGATATCGAAGGTTGATTTTAAGATCCTTGTACCCGAAAATCTGCTCCTCCTCGCCAAAAATCGAGTAAGTGTGTCGGGGGTTGAAGGTCGCAACATGCTGAAGACCAGATTCGGAGGGGGACACAAGGCTGATGTGAATCGCCTCGTTGGCGTTCGCGAGCCCTTTGAAGAATGTCAGTATCAAGGAACAATGAAAGTTGCGACAGAGACTACACTTACACTGTTCAACGTCCGTCATTCTTGCGCAGTTAAGGAAAAGAAACAGTATTTATCGCAAGTGGGAATCAGGATGCGATCTGACGCAATACAAGTCTGAAGAGAATAAAGTACCTTGTGATGCGCTCTCGTTGTGAAAGGATGCCGTTGCTCGGTTGAAAGTTGCACTCAAAACGCGTGGAGACAGCCGGCGCGTCTAGGTTAGGTTACCTGGGTGAGCTGCACGCGTTTCAATTAAGGCGGATCTGTAGGTAGGTGGACCTCCATGGTACTGTGCTGTAGCCTGTAGGCCAGCAGGCAGTACAATACAGGGCTGGTTCATTCCATGCAGGGCCATGCATAAAACGGACCTAGGCGGGTCAAAGTTGAATGACGCAAGGCGGGCAGACAACCTCCGAGGTACGTACCTCAAGACCAAGTCCGAACGGCCCGTGCCCCTGTCTATCGCATGTCAATTAAGATAACCATCTTTTGGTCACTTCTAGGCTTCACTTTAAATCTTATCCTTACAAATTTGTGCGCCATGGGCTGTGTCTCTTCGAAATGTTACACATAACAAGCAGTTCGTCGCCTGTCGGCTCGGCCATCTTCTCATGTATCGTTCTTGTTGTCATCTCCCTCGTCGTTCTCCTTATTCTGCGATACTACCTCCCTCTGCGGACAACGCCAGCCTTTTATCTCATCCCCATCTTCTTCGCTCTCTGGCTTCCAACAATAGTCGTCATTCTTGTCCCGATCGATCTCGCCTCGAGCGCAGTCACTGGAGATGAAGCTACAAGAGGAATATGGCTCCCCGAACGGGTCATATTAGTTTCATGGCGCATCTCATATTGGTTGACATTTGCCTTGACTTGGTATGATGATTTGTTGGTGTATATGGCGTGTCATGCTGACGAATAACCCCAGGTTCATCCTCCCAATTTTGGCCGAATATTCCGACTCTGGATACAGGGAACCATACGACAAATTCATGTACTCGGTTCGCAGCAATGCGCAGTTTCACGCCATTGTTTTGGGATTCTCATCGATCGGCCTCGTTTACTTCTTCATCAAGTTTGGCTTCAAGGTCGAAGCCATCAAGGGCACGATCATGGCACTTGCATACTGTTGGGGACTGATCCTTGCTATTTATCTAATGGGCCATGGTTTGGTATCAATACCGAGACGCCTCATGCGCGGCGCAAGCATCAGCGGACGACTCCGACGACTCCAGAGCAAGGCGCCCAAAGTTTACGAAGAGATGGAGGACTCGATTGCAAAACTTGAGGATATTGAGGTTCAAGTCGCTGAACTAGGACGGCGCAAGACTGGAAGCGCAAATACATACCGAGACTGGATTGAGGAACTACAAGAAATGGCCAACCTCCCAGAATCTCAAACTCGAAGCACACGATTCGGCACGGGACCCGACACTACCATTATTCCACATGTTATCACTGAAAAATACCTCGCCGATCTCACCAGGAAGTACGTGCGCGCAAAGCACGCTCGATCCCGATATGTCAATGCATGGAGCGACCTGGTTCAAGAAGCAGCCGAAACACAAGCAATTCTAGATTCCGCAGCATCGAAAAAGCTCGATTTTGGAGAGGTATCGCCTCACGCAACATTTTGGGAAAATACTGTCATTTTGACTCCTTACACACGATATCTCTACTATTACCAGATATTACCTTATGCTCAGGTTCTTCTTGGCCTGTTCTTGGCAGCGGCATCCGCTTGTATTGTTTGGTCAGAGGTAGTTAAGGTTGCATTCCCCAAACTGTCGGTCATCAGATTAACAGTGGTACATCACTGGGTTGGTGATAAACCTGAAGTTGGTTTCGCTGGTCAGGCCATCTCATCGTTCTGGATTTGCTACATGTGTGCAGCTGCCTTGATATCAATGACAGAAGTCAAAGTCTGGCGTGGCCGAGCTCTTGTTCGCCGCAACACAGCCCACGAGTCGGCTTTCTGGTATGCCATGCAAGTGGCCAAGCTCACCATTCCCATTTCTTACAATTTTATTACATTCCTATCGAGCCAGGTCTACAAGAAGACAGTGTTCTACGGCTTCCTTGGCCAGTTGATCGACTTTACACCGTTGGGTCATTGGTTTGATGACCTCTTCCCCGTTGTTGTGCTTTTCCCAGTCTTTGCTACCCTATTTGGTATCTATGGCAGGGTCAAACGAATTTTCGTTGGCATGGATGTCATTGACGACGAGGAAGAGAACGGCATCACCTACGGTACTGGCTCGTGGCGCGAAGGTAGAGATCTCATTTCTCGTGAACTCGGCGGAAACACGCTGTTCCATCGTAGGGAGGATGCTCTCGCTAGGATAGGCGGAGCTGGAACAACAGGTGGCAGATCGGCCCCCGTCCTGTCAATACCTTCTGCTCGTGGCTCTGCATCCTCGCCTGTTCGATCACCCGCTCGACCCTCCACGACGAGCGCTCGTCGTGGCCCGGAACATCGCTACGGTCCGAACTGGAATGACGAAGAACCAGAAGACGACAACCTCTTTACCATCATCGGCCATCGCATGAAGAATACGATGGACGGTATTGAGGCTCCCAAGTGGTTCAACGATATCAAGAAGCCAAAGTGGATGGGGGGTGACGATAACGATGCGGGTGCTGGGCCATCCAACTCGGGGCCAGACTTCCGTAGGTGGTTTGGTGGTTCTGGCGATGGTCAAATTCGCATTTAATCGTACCATTCCTATACATGAACGGCGCAAGGTTCTTTTTGGAGAAAAGCACACTTTTATTTTGATGTCCCATGCTTTGCTGTTTTCGTTTTATACCGGTACGAATAGACCATGATGGAGTTTACAAGGTTCACATATGATATTTTAATGCAGTCATGTCAATGTCAGCCACTGTCGGGAAATTGGCATGGGAGACTTGGTGGCAACTGTTGGATAGATCCTTCAGCAGTCGCTTGTAATGTGGGAAGACGTTTGGATTTCAATGTATTATATACATATTCATATATAGATATGCTTTATTCATCGTATCCGTCACTAAGTCTATCCAATCAAGTCATATATGTCATAACACATGGCGTCAAAATGTGTTCGTGAGTCATAATTTCGCCTTGTAGCCGAAATGAAAAACATCTTTCCAAGAAGTGCACAAAATTTGCTCGATCAAGTATCGTGTCCTGGCAGGTCTTATGGTTTTGGGGGCGGGCTTACGGTGTTCCAGGTATTAGCCTTGCTCATCGTTCGCTTGCGAAGCGCAAACATTATCTCTTTCTCCATCTTGTCAATATTCTTCTCCAAGTCCGCGTCGTCTTTCTTGTGTTGTTCTTGACGTCGTTTGTCGATGAACATCCAGCAACCAACGATTAGGGCTGTAACTGGAACTGTTATTGCAAAGTAGACCCAGAGTTCGACAGAAATGACAGGATCGGCATCTAGGGGATCATATTAGTATAAACTACCAGCACAAATAGGCGTGATGACAAACCGGCTCCAAAGTCAAAGAAGGTCATGCTAAAGACAGAGGCGAGGTAGGTTCCTGGTAGAAACAGTGCACCCATAAGGGATAACGTCTTCATGGCCGTGCTATCCCGCTTACTGGCATGAGCTATTCGCCTTTGCTCTCCTGCAATCTCGAGGTTCAGCCTTGCCTCGCGTTGGGACATGATGTTGTAAAGCTATGACGTGTCAGTTTGAATCAAGATACTAGAAAAGGGAAGCTTACAGCTTCGCGCTGAACCTTGAGTCTCTCCAGAGTGATATGAATGTAATTCTCCAAGCCCTTAAGCTTGACCTTGTAGAAGTCCAATCGCGACACCATACTTCGATGCAGTTTTTCAATCTCCTTGCGATGCTTTCGTTCAGCTTCGCATTGCTCTTCGACGGCCGGACTTAGAGTGAGCCAAACAAATCGGAAGGTCTCCATGGCCTTCTCCATCTCTTTGGCGAGTGCTTCATATGCCTGAGGACGTTTCCACATGACATTGCCATGACATTCAACGAGGTCACGGCTAAGCCCATCAATGTCAATGAAACCGTTCTGGAAATACTGCTCCTGCTCCTCGACTTCATTTCGCAGGCTGACAGCATTTTCAAGACGACGGAGCCAATGTCGAGCTTTACGTTGTTTTTCGTCATTTTCAGGAGATAGGTCGTATGTAAGGATGATGATAGGAAGTAGAAGCGGATGCCCTCCTTGGTCGGCGCAAGCCTTGAGATGGTCTAAAGACTTTTCCACTTCCGAGCTGGGGGTTCCTTTGATGAAACCAGTAGTAATACCGGTCTTGAATGAATGAGAGAGGAGCATCTCCCAACCTCTCGTCCTGCCCTTTTTGAGAACATCTGATTTTCGGTGGACAATATCTGTGAGACGGCGTTAGTCATTTTGAGCTCAATGCATAAGTCTAACAGTGAACTCACGCAAGTGAGGGTTATCGTCATCCTGATCATGCGCAGACCAGAAGAAAGGGCCGACCACAGAGTTTGTTTCGATACCACGATATGGCAGATTCATGGCGCGAACCATAGATCCATATTTCTCTGAAGAAAGTGAGATAACCTTTGGAAGAAACGTATCGGGGTGCTTGGCATTCTTTTGGACTCTTGGCACGAGGGTTAGTCGTTTCTTATAGAAGAGACTTGATGTCTCTGAGAACTTACACTAATCGGACACCGCTGAGCAGCTTGGTATCGGACCTCAAGTTGTCTGGTGGTGCAAAGGCACCCTATTCTTGTCAATTGAGTCCTATACGAAACACTGGAGTGGAAGTTCACTAACGGTTTGATGTAAAAAGTTATCAAACTCATCGTCCGGCAAAGGATGCTCCTCGCAGACGTTATAAAAGGGATCCTAATGAGCGCATTAGCGAATTGTCTTTTGTGATCTGTGAAGAGTGATTTCTTGGATGCAGATGCAAGTGACTTACCGAGTAATTGAAAATCTCGATGTAGCTAGTATCCTCGCGAACGACGCGGCATTGATCAACGTAGTGTCGAAACAGATAATCTTCCATTGCGACAGTGATACAGAACAAAGATTTGAAGTGTGTAGATGTACGTCTCACTGTATGCGAAGTGGTTGATCGATCGATTGGAATTAATTGCGGACGCGTCCTAAGAGAAAAGCCACTTCCACCGGGTTGGCTGCTTGTGTTGCGTCTTGCAGCTCGCTAGTCAAAGCTTGGCTATGAGCTGTTAAGGGAACCTAGATGAGGTGCAGATGGATACGTGATCGTATTCCAACGAGACGGAACAAGGAAGGGAGGAAACAGAAGTCGGTGAGTTTACCTATGTATGGACTACTCACTGAAGCAGGGTATTCGATGAGGCTGAATCAGAATGTCAGAGTGACATTGAACAAACTCTGAGACCCGAGAAATTGAAAAAACCCCTGCTTATGTGCCTGGGATTGTAAAGGTTGATCAATTAGATTCCATGGGTGAGATTCTAGGCTCTCCCAGCCTCGTGACTTTCTATCTTTCAGAAATGGAAGGAACTCCCCTCTCACCGCAGCCCGATCCTTTCAATTTGTAGTATTGAATACGTATTGAGATGGAGATGGAGCGGAAAGAGCGGCCGCCCCCAATTATCCAACGTACCTACCTGGCACATGCTCTTAAAAATCCATTCCACATGCTGACCGCACCTGTAATTTATGGCGTACATACAGCTTCTGGTGTACCTGGGCAAGTTAAAGTGTAACCCCAGCCTCAATAAATCCAGTCCAGACCGTTTCTGTTTAGCCTCCGCGCGTGCCGCTAAAAGAGGAACCCGTTCACGGGTCAAGGTGGGGAAAGTGACTTGCTAAGCTTCGACATTCAATCACAGCAAGGCAAGATGAAGCTCAAGTTGAAAAACGTCATCAATGTTATCCTCTTCACACTATTAATATATCTAGGCCAACATCAACTCACAGCATTGCAAAGTTTTCTACTCTCTAGTTCCCTATAAGCTACACAGAAACCCACATGTTTAAATCGGTACTCTTTGATCCGCAAATTGGGCAGGGCATATTGGATCATAGTTAGGTAGGTCGCAAAAGGATGTAATCGTACTCGATAAGGCTGTTTATGTAACCCTACTCGTTCATGCCACAAACATCCTTTCATACGTTCGCCAATGCTCATTGCTGCTTATGTTTCGGACTGAGTCGTTCCTCACAAGCTCATCTTGCCCAACACCCAAATTTCACAGCTGCCCGCAAAAACGAACCACCGACCCTCATGTAAAGCACAAAAGCGTATTAGCATTTCACCATCATCGACGCCTCGCCCACAGTTCTCCGCATCAAGCGAGGCCTGGCCTCAACCTAGTCATACAAAAGCCTCGTTCGTTTACTCAATGAAGCATGCCCTTAAAACTCCGTAAACATGTGTCCGTACCTGCGTATGGGTTAGCCAAGCTCATTTCTCAACACTCCAATCTGGTACTCACTCATCTGTTCCTCCAATCATGCCATACTTCTCAGGATCCTCGGGATAGCGATCGAACTGGCTGGCATCGCCAGCACCTGCCTTGACCGGTGGCGTATAGGGAGCATCTATGTCCTTCCTGGCTAGTCGGTCCCAGGTGACTTCAGCGAACCAAGGGTGGTTCTTCACATCTGCTGGGCCTCCGTACAGGTTACCCAGACGCTTTGTCAAATCGGCCGTAATCAGGCGCTCCAAGAGGTTCTGAGCGTCCGCGTTAACGTATGCGGGGTATTTGACCTTGCCCTTGAGAATGTTTTCGTAGATCTTCATCGGAGATCCACTATCCCAGAATGGCGTGTAACCGCAAAGCATTTCATATATCAGGATACCCAACGACCACCTAGCGCGTCCAACTTGTTAGTATAGGCTTCCAAACTATTCGTGTGACAACTTACCAGTCGACGGATTTGTTGTAACCCTTGTTAGAAACTACTTCGGGGGCCAGGTAATCAGGTGTACCGCACAGTGTCCATGTCTTGTCGGGAACTCGCTTCGCGAAGCCGAAATCTGTAATCTTGAGGTGACCATGTCGATCGAGGAGAAGGTTTTCTGGCTTGAGATCACGGTAGATAATGTTCTTGGAATGAAGGTACTCCAAGGCTAAAGTGACTTCGGCGGCGTAGAATTTGGCCACAGGGTTGGGGAAGCGCTGTAACGTTTTAGTCAACTGAGATTTGACAGGACGGGATCAAACTTACACCAGACTTCCTCAGAAGCGAAAACAGCTCGCCACCTTCAACGAAATCCATCACCATGTAAAGATTCTTTGAATCCTGGAATGTACCCCAAAGGGTGATGAGAAAAGGGTGCTTGACATCAGCCAGCATGCGCCGTTCGTCATTGGTATGCTCGACCTGCTTCATCTTGACCACCTGGGCCTTCTTCAGCACCTTGACAGCATAAAAGCGCTGGTTGTGCTTCGATTGGACTAGATGGACACGGCCAAAGCTACCAGTTCCAAGCGTCCTCAAGATATCGAAGTCACCCAACGAGTACTTGCCTTTCGTGACGCGCATCACGGAATTGGTGTACTGGTGACCAGGCTGGTGGGTATGCTGCTGCTGTTGTTGTTGCGGCACCTGGTTCTGGTTCTGTTCCTGGTGTTGCTGTTGTTGAAACTGCTGAGGCTGCTGCTGCGATGGCTGCTGCTGCGCCTGCGGTTGTTGCTGTTGGTATTGTTGTTGAGATTGCTGAAAATCAGAAGGCTGCTGCTGTTGCTGTGGAGGCATACTCGGCGGCTGCGGCATAGCCTGCTGTTGTTGCTGCTGTAGAACGGCAGGATCAGTTCCAGGACTGACGGTTTGAGGTCGGTGGTTATCTATCGTAGCAGCTAGGTACTGCGGATTGGTCTGGCCGTTATTGTAGGAATTGCCCTGGGCATTGTTCTGCTGCTGAGGTTGGTTGATGAGATTATTGATGCTTGGGAGGTTTTGGTGATCGTGGGGGCTCATCGAATTCGTCCCGTACTCGGGCTTGTGGAGCTTGATTGTATCCATATCTTGGTCTTGCTGCTGCTGCTGCTGTTGACCGTCGGTAGCACCTGCCGTTTGTTGGGTTTGCGCCGGAGGCTGATCGGATTGGGGCACTGCGCCTTCCTGATGTTGATGGTCGGGCTGTTGCTGAGGTTGTTGATGGGCGTTGGTTGGCTGGGCACTCGGAGCTGAAGTGGAATGTCTATTGTTTCGAGGCAGGTGAAAAGCTTTGGAGATGGACTTGGACCTGGAAGTGGTAGGAGTAACTGGACTAGTTGGACTTGAGGCCGAAGGGTCAGAGTTGCCCTCTCTGGTCCGCTTTTTCTTGAGAAACCCCAGTGAAGGCATAGGGTAGTAGTAGTGTGACGAAAGAGAGGGGGGGAAAAAGCAATTGAATGTAAGAGAAAGCGGGGAGCGTAATGTAGTGTAGTGTAGTGTAGGTAGTGAGGTAGATACTAAGGTAGTGTAGGTAGTAGTGTTATGTATTGGTGTGTACTGGGCTGGTACTGGTACTGATGGTATGTACTGGTTGCTGGTGCGTGCTGTTGGTGATTACGGTAGAATGGACCCGAAGATGAGGAAGCACTCTCTGCAGATCGATCGCACGGTTTTCCAGTTAAGGCCAGGTGGAGGAAAAGGCCGGGTAGGAAGTGGAATCTATTGTGGAATGTCCGGCCAGTTTCCCAGTTTCCGGAGAGCTGCGAGTTGTTGTCTTGTCGTTGTTGTTATTATTCCTCAAATTGAGTTGGCCGGGACAGGACAGGACAGGATAGAACAGGACAGAACAGAGAGGTCAGGTTTGTTGTTAGTTGAAAGGATCCAAGCCGTCTATTGCCTCTGGTGCCAACAAGAGGTCAGTGAGCTCGCCTGGCTTGGTGCAACCTAACGTAGCCTAGTTATCTCCTAACCTTGCAATTGGAGCTCTCTCTCTTTTTCAAGTTCAGGCACAACAACGTAATAGTGGAGAGGGGTTTGGATTCTGACGTGCTGTCTGTCCAGACTGAGTATGGGCTGTTTTGTTCTGTGGGGAAGCTCTGTCTTCTCCCTCACTCTCAGCTCGCAACGCAACAGTAGCAGTAGTGAAGACGCTGAAACTGGTGAGTATGCAGCAACTGATGAGACGGTCAGAATAGAACAAAAGACAGAATGAGAAAAGAGAGAGAATTGAAATCCGAGAATGATAAACAGGGCTTGGTTATGTTGCTTTTTGGCGTCCTGCTGGCGTGAACAAAGGATTCCAACGCTTGGCGCATTCCACCGAGGCCGGCAATTGGACAGGACAGGACAAGATACTTGATTGTAGTGGCTGGAAAAGGTGGTCCGGCAACAGTTGTCTGGCCGTTTCAGATAAAAGACCGATGGGGCAAAAAACAAATAGTTAGGGAAACGAGACAAAGAGACACAAGACTGAATGCGTCTTAAACTTCAGGCAAGGTCAATTGAGCTGCCCTGAATTGATATGCCACGGTAAACTAACCGTTGTGCAATGCGACACGAGGCAAGGTACAGCACAGAGCAGAACAAAACAGAGAGTAAGGTAAGGTACTATACCTACAATACAAGGTTTACCGCACTATGGCGATGATGTAGTGCAATTGCAGCTTCGGCCAAAACAAAAGGGTGCCCCTCTTTTATGATCAGCTCAGATCAGCGACTGCGCACTAGATAACTTGGGGGTGCAAGATGATGTCGCTGCTTTTTCTCGGTTCCGTTCCTCTGTCTGTGTCCGTTCGAATTGTGATGGAAAGGAAGAGAACGAGGCGTCGAGACGAGACGAGAAGAGATCCTTTTCTGAGCCGCAATTGGTTGATGTACGATCTACTGGGCTGGGCTGTATAAGTCTAGTACTGTAGCGACCATGAGGCATGAGACGACGGGTCGGGTCGAGTGAGAGAAACAAAAAGGCGATGAGATGCGATGCAATACGATGATGTCGTCGTTTAGGCAGGTAGCTTAACACAAGTGGGAACACTGGAGTTTATTAGACCGTCTAATGACTGACAAGAAAGCGTACGGATGATCGGAAGTGACGACAGTTGAGGCGAGTCGGGCCCGTAGGTAAGAGAAAGCTCGAGTAAGTTACCTAGGTGTAATGATGACGAGGGACTCTTAAGACACAAGACGACGATATGTAAACAGCAGTAGAAAATAGAAGGCCGATAGTATCGATCAGAACAGGATGATATCAGATAGAGTAATGGCAGAGAGAGGGGGGAAAGATGCAGATAGCTAAGGGTTGATACCCTTGGAAGAAATAACACGCTGGATTGGAATGAGAGGGAACAAGATACAAGCACGTTTAGGGCGTGCCAAAAAGCTGACATCCATCAGGAGAGCAACTCAAAAACCTGTCCAGAAAACATTCGTCTACAGTCAAGTACGGGCATTGGATGTTGCTTCGGGAAGTTGGCGCTTGGCTTATTTAGTAGCTTCCTCTAGCTGTCGATATATAAGTGGGCTTGTCCATCCCATTGCGGGGTGATATGGAACTTTGAGGCAACGGGAGCTTCCACTATCATCCTGCCTGCCACGGACAAGAGAGACAGCTCGTGGTAGGCTTCACAATACGAGTGGATGATCGGCTAGTCCAACATGGATCTTAGAAAGAAAGCCTCCTTCAATCATCAGATAAGTGCAACTCAATTAAGATCCCGGCTCCAGGCTAGTGTGTGCCTTGACTGGAACGTATAATGATGAGCTATCTCTTGTACCTGGATGCAGAGGAATGCTGTATTCCCTTTTGTGTTGAGCTACCTATGTTACAACAGCAGCATGGTTAATAGGTAGTAGCTGCATGGGTAAATTACCTTGCGAATTGCCTGCTCTGTCTTACCCTGGAGCCACTGTTTCCGGTAGCTTCCCAGACGACATAGCATGCAAACCGCAACCAATCTCTAGTAGCTTTCGTCTAGCCTTTGTTACGGTCATATATATCCACTTGGAAGAAGTTATCATCTGTATCCGTACGTCTGTCTTCCTCAAGCCGTTCTGCCATTGAAGAAAAATAACATATGGGAGCGTCTATCCACTTGCGTGGATTCGCTCTGCCAACATCTCTTGGATCTTCACAAGCAGAGATTATGACAAAACGAACACAGCACATAACACAACAAAAACATAGATGGAATTTTTTTCGTCAAAAGCATTCGACGATGCTCACCGGCCCGTGTCCTTCTCACCAGCCTCTCTCCTACTCAAAACAGATATAACAGATTCAAGGAAGTCCAGACGATGCTGTCTAAGCAGAGACTCGTATGTATCTCATCAACTTGGTCCCTTCCGTCGTTCTCAGCAACACTTTCGCCCTTCGTATACAGCTATTTTTTCACCGACTTAGAATCTGTGCGACTTGGCCTTGGATCGGTAAGCTGTGTAGCCTACGTAGGCACCGCCAGCAACGATGATGAAAAGGATAATCTTGGTAAAGAACCATGTCCAGCTGCTACCCTGCTTCTGACCGGTGGTAGTCTTGCCAGTACCCTTGCGTGACTTGCTCTTGCTGCTGGAGGACTTGCCGCCGGTGTTGCCACCACTGCCAGGCTGGGTGTACAAGTTCTTGGCAGCGACGGAGATGATATCGTGGTTGTCGCTAAGCTCACCAGTCTCAGCAGTGAAACCGACGTAGGCAATGTTGGGGACAGCCGGGGGCTCCTCGAGATCAAAGCATGTCTGCCATTCGTCCTCAACCTTGTACTGAAGTTCCAGCTTGAGCTGCTTGTCCTGGAAGTAGGTCAGGCGCAACTTGGTGGGGATGCTGGCATGTCGGATACCACGCGCCGAGCACCCAGCGAGCTCGGTGTGCTTTCCATCGTTGGACTTGTCGTAAGAGGTCTTGCCATCGCCGTACATGGCCATAACATAGGGGAAGACGACGCCAGGGCGGTTGTTCTTGTAAGTATCGATGAAGACTCCAAGACCTTCGAAGTTGTCAGGTCCACCAAAGACAGTTCCCATCTGCGCACGCTGGCGGGTAATCCACATAGCAAAACCGTCGCCGTAGAGCTGGTTCTTGCCTGAAATCTTGAACTCAACCTCAATCTGCCAGTTTGTCGCAGTGAGGGGTACTCGCGAGTACATCCATCCCGACTGCGAAGGGCGATCAGAAGTAAGTCGGATGTACCTGTAACAAGTCAACCCAATGTCCCAAAAGTCTTGTCATGCCGTTATCAGAGGATCGGGGAAGCGTACGAATCGGTTCGAATAATGGTATCTCCTCCAAAGTCGTACCAACGGCTTTGCATATCCGAGTCGAGGTAAGGCTGTTTGATGACGAGGGTTAACCAATCAGTCGATCTTTAAATACTATGTTCGCGTGCGTGCGCCGCAACTAACCTGGGTCAGGGAATGTGTCCTGAGCTAGACGGGAAGAAAAGGTTAGCAAGGAACTCGAGATAGTGACAGCCAGGGTATGGACAACATACAGAGATACTCCTGATGTTTTCATCGTCGAACTCAGCAGCGCTGGTAGTCCATGCGAACGCACCAAGGAGCGCCGCTGATAGTGAAGACAGGCGCATGATGAAGCTATATCTGGTCTCGAATAGGCCAATTACAAAACTGGCTGGTATCGGGCGCACACTGCTCTTGACCGTGGCAGTATGATCGATCGAATGTTGGAGTAGGAGGAGGAAAAAATTGACCACAGTGGTCGGTTGTCGAAGTCGCCGTAACGCTGTGGGTAATGTAGGGAGTGTTCTGTCGATACTGTAGGTCGGGACAGGAGCTCGGGCTAGCACAAGTGTCCTCTTCCTCAGGTCTGGGCTACGGCCAAACCGATTTTAGGTGAGGGTGCTCCCCACTGCAGGTACTGCCCGTACTAGACTAACGGGGCGACCCCCTGTCATTTAACCCCTTCCCTTCCATTTACTTTTATAAAGCCACAAATAGAGCAGCCACAATTCACATGCATCAGTCAGTTTGTTATTGACGTATTTATATATGGACATTTCATGTTGATACTCAATACTCGAGATATCAAATGCATCTATAGCTCATACACAAGCTTAAACCCAGAGATTTTACCGTCCCTATGTTCCTGGAATCCCTGCGGAATGGCATCCAGTCCACCAAGAACCTTGGGCTTGTTAGGCTTGATCTTGCCCTCATCGATCCAGCCAGGGAGCTTGTCGTTAAACTCAATGCCCAGCTTGTGATCCTCCTCACTAGCCTATTGCATGGTCAGTATCAATGTGTCAGTTCAAATTCTATTCTACTCACCGGGAATGAAGCCTTCTTGTACTGGATCACCCGGTTGAATGCAGTCCAGACAAGTACAGGTGTAACTCGGGTCTGCTTGGTTACGTTCTCGGTGAAGCTCTTATCCGGTCTAACGGTGCAAAGGGTGCCACCATTTTCATCAATAGCCTCGGATGCCGTCGCAGACGATGTCTTGTTCCCGATAGTATCGAAAACATACTTCAAATCAGGTGCTACGTCTTTGATGGACTTCACCACGTTGGAGTCGTTATAGTCAAAGACGTGAGTAGCTCCAAACGACTTGACGAGGTCAAAACTGTGAGGGCTGCAGGTTGTGATGGTCTTGAAGCCAAACATTGATGCAATCTGGATAGCGTACTGTCCAACACTCGCTTTTAAGTGTTAGTTTGCCGTTTCGAAAGCAGGGTTCCTGATATAGACTTACAGCTTCCACCCCAGATCAGGACGGTGTTGTCTGGCTTGTTACGGTCAATGTTTAAGCTGTCCCTCGAGAAAAGTGCAAGCCAAGCAGTCAGAGATGCCAGTGGTATAGTGGCAGCCTCTGGGAGCGAGATACTCTTTGGAACCTTGAAGCAAATGCTCTCATGGGCTTTGGTGTACTCGCTATATGCTCCTAGGCCCTTGATCTCACCTGTTCAAATCCTATCAGTAACTGCCCCAAGACTTGTTCAATTGTTCTGCTCAACTTACCACCCCAAAGGAGACCAGCAATTGTATCGCCCTCAGCAACCTTTGTGACATCCTTGCCAAGACGCTCGACTTTACCAGCGAAGTCACAACCAAGCACAGCGCCGTTCCCAAAGAGATTGAGATCAAAAGCTTGGACTTGAAAGAGTCAGTGATACGAAGTTGGTTTGATGCTCTCGGAGATTTACCGTCAGTTGGGTTTTGTGCAACAGTTGCAACCTTGACCAGTACCTCATGAGGTTCCAACATGGGCGGAGAGATCTGCTTCTTGATCAACTCGGGTTTGGAACCATTCTCTGGTACCTCAACCACCATCGCATTCATTGTGCTTAGAACCATTGCGGCGATAATGCTATTGACTGCAGTAAAAATGGATAGATTTTTTTTGGAATATGATAGCTGAAGTTAGTTGATTTGAGCCAAATCCTACTCAGTTTATTACTCCGTTAATGAAATCTACGAAATGTATGACGGCACTTGCCCACAATATGTACATACAGGCATACCTAATAGTCACATCATTGGACATCAAAACCGTGTAACGTTATGCGCAGGGCTGATGGGTGATTACCTAGCTAATGGTAGGGTTATCAAACAAACATAGGTACATTAAGATTTGTGTTTAATAATCAATCGATCAATACTGGAGATACAAATGGATAGCTTAATGAGTAAAGCAACATGCCTAGAAGGCTGGAAGGCGGGTAGATGGAAAAATGACATGACTCGGGAAAGAATATATGTTCAAAGTTCTTAGGCATAAGCCCAGCTCTGCGCGAGTCATGTACCCAGCCGGACCATGGATTTTTCCAGCACCGCCTATCTTTTTGCGATAGCGATCAAGCTTTCTCTACAGCCCAAGCAACGTCACGACTCCAAGCCTCTAATTCCACAAAATCACAACCATGGATTCTACACAAGTCAAGGCTGCTGTTATCAAGCAGGTTCAGCAGGAGGCCAACTTGGTCAACGCTCGCACTCTGATCGAGGTCCGTCCATATCGCAATTGCTCCTAGAAACCAACGAATACTAACACCGGGTCCTCGGTATAGAAACTCCAAGAAACCTGCTTCGAGAAGTGTGTCCCCAAGCCTGGAACTTCCCTGTCGAGCGGCGAGACGACTTGCATGACCGGTTGCATGGAGAAGTACATGGCCGCCTGGAACATGGTCAACTCGGCCTACATTGCTCGATTAAGGCAGGAGTCTGGTCACTAAAAGACCCCACGTTATGACGATGCGCAAAATCTGAATATAAAACAAACGACCTGCGACGCTTCTTGGAGCAAGCTCGCATGATTGTATCATATTGTGACAACATGGCTGGAATGGGCCGGGTGACGTTTTAAGAGGAAATTATCATGTACGACCAATTGAATTATGGCTAGAATCGAGGAATAGACGACCTGGAACAGGAATGGCAGGGATAATGTATCGATGGCCATGCTATGCCGTTATATTCAAACTCTTCTCTTTTTCCGAATGTTGGGTATCTAAGCTCCTCCAGCAGCCTTCTTCGCTTCTTCGGCAGCTCGTTTACGCGCAAGATATCGTTCCTTCGCGCTCGAGATTTCGCCTTCCGTCTTGCGACTCTTGGCCGCGCGCTCAACCTCTTCTCTTTCTGCTGCTTCTTCAAGTCGTGATCGCTTCATCGATTCTTCCAATTGCTGCTCCATCATGCGCGTTTGTCGCTCTCGCTGATTTTGTCGTCTGTCGTATTGTCGGTTTGTAGCTTCTTTTTGTGGTCGTTCGGCTTGCCGCTCCGATTCACGCTGGGCTGATTCTTTCTTCTTTGCACCGACATTCAAGCCACCTCTCAGGAGCTGACGCTTGTCAACGACTTGACCGTCTTCATTAATGGCCACCGCGGCGCCCTTCTCATTGAGTTCTTTGGCTAGGTCGGCTTCGGTTTTCTCATTTTCCTCCTCGACGCCCATGGTCTCTTCTTCTGCGGGTATGCCGGATTTCGTCTTCTCTTCAGCTGCTTTGATAGCATCTGAATGCCTTTGCTCATCCTTGTCTAGGAGTTTTCTGTAAAAAGCAGACATGCCACCAGTCTTGTTCTTCTTTGCCTCTTCTTCTTCTCTCTTCCTTTCTTCCTCTTCTAGTCGTTTATTCTCCTCTTGCTGTTTTCGGTAGGCTTCTGTAACGAACTTTTCCTTGTCGGCGTACTCTTCCCCTTCAGCTTCTCGCTCTCGCGCAATTTTCTTCTCTTCTGCAATGAGCGCATCGCGTTTCCGTACGTCGGCCGCTTGTAGGATGTTCTTCATATACTTTGGCTTCTTTTCTTGGTCCTCCTTTGTGGCTTGTTTCTTGGGTTTGAGAGAATCGTAAACGGAATCGTACTCGTAAACGCTGGCATCGACTTCTGCGGCAGCCTCGGCGTTCTTTCGAGACGTCAAAGAGCTGGAGAGATCACCAAACATCATGTTTGGCTGGCCCTTCGACTTAAGCTTTGGTGGTTGAGTTGGAGGCCCATTCTTTAACTTGATCGGGTTTGAGGTGGTTGACTTTGGCTTCGGAACGCTACCGAAATCATCGAATTCTCCAATTTCTTCCGTCTTTCCCTGATCATTGGCATCGTCATTATCCGAGCCATCGTCGTCGCCGAACAAGAGCTTTCGCTTTGGCGGCGCAGGCTTTGACGCGCCTGGCTTTTTGCTAAGGTTGAGGCCGAAGGACAAGCCTGGCTTGCTCATATTGTTTGTATCTTGGAGAGCTGGCTATTCCTTGAGGGTGTTACAGTATAATTGGTGTACTGGGGAATGATGCGACGTTGAGGGTGGTGACTTTGGGGAAGTTGCAAGGTTGAAGTCCAAGATTGGGCCGTGACATGCGCTTGCGAAAGTCCATAGAAATAAATACCTACCTAGTAGAGACGGCGGATCCAAGCAACTACCTCCCCATTCTAGCAGTAGAAGTTTTGAAGCCAGGAAGTGATTCAAAAACTCCTAGACTAGTCTATACTCGTATCATATTTGGGTTATTGATTTCTGTTGCCTCCATCATGATGTCCCAGTCAATTGTTGATCTGCTTCCTGGTCTCTCAGGCTCAGTGCATCCATTAACATTATTGTCTATAGATGAGGTAACTTTAACAAAGAGAATGTTCACCCAGAAGCTAGAATTGAGCTATTACCTATCTTCATAAAGGACTCCGGTTTCCTTAAGTCTCATTCTGGAGGCGTCGTGTGCTTGTGATACAGTACCTAATCTTTGTAGTGGCGTATTTTACTATTCGCATGGGATGCCACTAGCATCTTGACCATGACGTGATTGGATACTTCTCATAGGTGTGCATCCTTAAGATATCGAACATTTATTTACCTGCAAAGACTATTCTCGAACCTTTTCTTTCCAACCAATTTACTACTTGCTTGTTAACATCACGAACAAACTATGGAGTCCTGTTCTACGTGTGCCACTATCCTCTCGTCAACGCCCCCCTATACTAAGGAGGAACTATCTCTGCCGCAAGACCGCCGAGTCGCATGTTGCTCGAGGATCATCTGTGGCAAATGTATTCATGTTCGTCATCTATCTTTGCTATCTGTTTCTCTAGGCTGAAGCTGACACTATTTTGCGATAGGAAAACGAGCGCTTTGCAGACTATTGCCCTTACTGTCAGGTTTCAACAGTGCCTACTTCTCTGCCACAGGGTCTGAAAGAGCCTCCATCTTATTCGTCATCTGCTTCGACTACTGCATATATACCAGGAGCGCCACCACCATATTCAGCAGCCTCAACGGCACACGATGCCGAGGACGAGAAGGCGTCTTTGGCTCGAGATGCCATGAAGGAAGATGCTCCAGATATTCTGCATTTCCTTGACCATCGTCATGATAGTATCAGCTCTCTGTCTCTGCGATACGGCGTGCCGGCTTCTGCTCTTCGACGAAGCAACAATATCACCAGTGACCACCTGCTTCTTGGCAGACGTACAGTCTTGATCCCTGGCGAGTACTACAAGGGCGGCGTAAGCCTCTCTCCGCGACCTATCGAAGGCGAAGAAGAGGAGATGAGGAAAGGGAAGATCCGCCGCTTCATGACATCCTGCAAGGTCTCTGACTATGACATTGCTGTACTGTACTTGGAACAGTCGGGTTACGACATTGAGAATGCCGTCACGGCATACTTGGACGACGAAAAATGGGAACAGGAACATTCAGTCCCGGGCAAAGGTAAGAAGGTTGACAAGTACAAAAACCGTGGCCCTTTCTGGAGAGGACTCTGATTGAGCTTTGAATTGGATATTTATTATATTCATGGTTCATACCGCCTTGCGGTTTCTCAACACATCTTCGATTCGCTGGTAACCCATCTACTACCAAGCCAGGGTCTTTATTCTTGACCCCGTACGTTAACGCCGCGAGCTTCCCAAATACTTCAAGTTTTGCAAGTTTTGTACAATAGCTTCCATGATAAACTAAAGATACCATGTTTTCTCATTAAAATGCAGATCGCGTTCGAATATCCTAGAGCTTGGTTAGCGTACTGTTCAAATAGTGGCAATGGTTTAACTTACAGAAATCTTCCTCTCAATCTCCCGGACCGAACGATCCAACTCGCCTGCGATCATCTGCTTCTTATCGTTTGGTAGAAGGTTGTATCGTTCACATAGGTCACCATCGATGACTCCCTTGACAGGAGCGTAGTAACCGCGATACATGAGATGATCTCGTCCGGCAAGTGGGGGATCCTCAGTCCTCAGATGTTGTTCGAGATTCTGGAAGAAGTCCGTGTCTTCACGACTGACGAATGGAATAAAAACTCCGATTGTGCCCATGATGCCACTCCAAAGCAAGATTTCTTGCCCGCCGACCACAAGACTTGTCTTGGCAATACTGGTCGGGATATCCTGTGTATAGAAATGGCACATCAAGCTCACTCTGTGAGGTGTACCGTGGAGGTAGTCTCGCGCATTAATCAAATGCAACCCAGATTGCTCCTCGTCAGCCTCTTCACTGGCCTTCTCAGGACAGCGCACGATAAACATATTACCGAACTTGTCGCCACCAGCCACTGACTCGTAATCAACCATGGTCGTACACGTTGTCCATCTTGCGATCGTATCATCGACAAAGGGAATGAGCTTGTTTGAAGCAGGCTTGTAGACAACGTATGTAACGCCTTGTTGAACATCACCCACGATGATACGACTGCCTTGTGTGTTCAATGACACAATCTGTTGTGATGCAACCTCGGCCTGGGACTTGCGAAGCATTTGCCTCATACCCAAGTCATATATACGGAGTTGTGTGCCGACAGCTACGAGGACTCTGCCTTGGAAAGCCAGCAAGGCCAGCGGTGGTTCTTCGACCTTGGTCTTATGAATGAACTCAAGCTCCCGTCCACCCTCCGAGAATCGGTAAATATGGAGATATCCTTCCGAGAAGCTTCTCGGATTGACCACCATATCCTTGCCAGTACCAACAACGAGAAAGCTCTCATTGTCTTGGCTGGCGAACGACACGATGGCTGCGCTGACAGCTGCCTCGTTGTTTTCTAAATCAATGGTTTGTAAAACCTGTCCTTCTTCAGACAGGGGATCAATCACGTTGATGCAGGATGCCCATCGTCGAGTACCCTTGGGATACCCAAAGTCCTCAGGTGGAAGAATCCTAGAATCACCATTTACAACTCCGGGATCAGCCAAGAGCTGGGCTCTCAATTCAGGTGGCAAGGTATTGTTATCCGCTTCGATAGTGTAGAACAGAGGTTGTTCGGGATGCTTGACGAGCTTCTTTGGGGTATAAGTTAAAGGTATAGACTTTTGGATCAAAGTCTCGCCAAGTCGATCGATGTTGAAAATTCTATGAGTATTAGCTTCTGTCTTGGTCAAGAACGCTATAGAAATGTTGGGCAGATTTTGTTGCTTCAGTAGGAACAATTGGAAAAAATGCGTAATAAGACCTCATTGCTCAAGGCATAGGAATCCGTTTCTCATCATATGCAACTTCAAACAGGGAAGTGGGGGCTTTGACTTAACGTACCGTAGCGACTGGCCTTGAATGCCAACGATGCCTTCCTCGCACTGCTCACTGCTGAAATTCCAACCCCATTCTAGATCAACGTAGCTGAGAGGTGTCACAACAAATCCCTTGGTAATAGGATCTGCGTAGCCAAGCCATGGCCTAGAGCTGAGCCCAAGTACACAGGTCTTGCCCTGAACGGTAACTTGGAATAACCTAACTTCCTTGGGACCGAGAAACTTTTGACGGGTGTCTGTCAATTCGCCGGTGATCTCATCAAGAACGGTCCTGAGATACACACCGGAGTGAAGTCCGATGTGAAGATATAGTGTAGAACCACCCGATGAAGAGTCTTCCATGGCGATGATAGCCAACGACGTCGGGGCCGCTGTCAAAGCCTGTACCGACTTATTTTCCAAAGTCGATTCAGGGTCAAGACTGAGAATACGAACAGTGCAGTCATCACAGCCGACAGCCAAGAAGGAGCTTCTCAGACGCCCTTCAGGCACATCACCCAGACTCAAGCATGTGACTGTCCCAAACATTTCCTTTTTCTCATCGTACTCGGCCAGCGAGCCATCAGCGTCCATCTCGAAGTATACTATCTCGCCGGAGCTAAGAGCCACCGCGACTTGATGAGCATTGGCAGTAGCGGCAACAATCGACCGATGCTGTGGAGCTGCCCATTCATTTACATGTCCATTACGGATGTGTCGAATGCCTTTAGGATGGACCTGGATCAGGCCATCATCACCAAGAAGCTGAGCTGCTAATGTGGGGACACTCGTGAGGAAACCCGAGTCGCTCACCTCCTCGACCGTCTCCCCAATACTGAGAACAAGTGTTCCATTGGTAAATGATAATACGATGTAAGCATCATATTGTTCCGACCGATTCAGCTTCAAGGTCCATACAGCAGAAGGTATTCCAGGAAGCTCAGAAGCAACGATCTCGTTGACTTCTAGCCCATGCTTTAGCATTCTGAAGCTGCTTCGAGGGCCATTGCCGCATATGGTATATATTTGAGGAGCGTCTTCCCCAGTGAGGTTCGCGACCTTGCAATCCAAGAGGGGGTTCATGGCAGGGATACTCTCAACCAAAGCCAAGTTCTCAGTCGGGCGAGGGTGGAAATAGACAGGCTCGTAGGAGGCCTTGGGGTCTGCAGGGAAATCATCACTGTAGAACTCCAGCTCCTCATCATCGTCACCAAGCTTTTCAAATTGGTAGAACGAGTAGTTGCCAAATTGGGTAGCAACATAGAGAAATCCACTCTTGAGGATGCAAAGACTGGATGCCACCGGAACAGTGTCGAAATATTTGATCTTGAGTCTCTTAACTTCTCCGGTTGGGTTGCCTTCTTCATCTTCAATCATGTCGATTGAGAGCTTGAAGAGGTCGCCATCATCTGTTTGTAGAAGAAAGAAGAAAGCACCGGTGTTACCCTTCAGCTTGTGCATAATGCCGGACACAATTGTGCGCTTGCGATTGGGATCTTCGGTGGCCCCGCGTCGACGAGGAATAGCAACTCGGAAAGCCTCTTGGTTTGAGTGTCGATACGTGATGTTTTCCTCGCCGCAGACCAACACACCGCTTGGGCCGTCATTACCGCCTGGTACCTGGAACAGTATTGAGGCAGTGGGGTCGACAGGGTCTGACCATTTTCGAACGACGTGGTTAAGTCCTAGATCAAGCTCATAATACACAAGCTGGGTGTCTAATTCCTCCATTGCCTGACCTGTAGAATCTTGATCAACCTCGGAATAGTCGATCTCAAGTGCGGCGAAGACAGGGTTTGAATACCCGACGTCAAGTGCAACCATAGAGATGACGAGAACTCCGGGTTTGTGGGCCTCAAGCGGTGACGAGATGGTAAGCTCGGCTTGTGAATTCCGGTTGAGAACGTAGACGAGCTTGTTCTTCTCAGTTGAGGCAATTAAACATGCCCGCCCTTTAGGGTCACAAGCAAGATACTCGCCGGGAACAACCCTTCTCACGCCCGACTTGCCAAAAGTTTCGAGGTGCAGTCGCTGGAAGCGGTTCTGGGCGGGGAGATACTCGATGATTGTGATCCGACCAGAGTCAGAAGCAATGATCAAGTAGTCTGCGAATTTTTTTTGTTAGCCTTGGGATTTTCTACAACAGAACCTCGAGTTCTGGTGTCGCTGTGGTCGACGCGTCTATGGCATCGCTTTCGAACATCACTAAGTGATTTTCCTGAGAGGGGATTTGGATTGACTTACCCTTATTGCTTCCAGCTAACCGGAAGGCGGCGAGGGAACGGATGATGCCAAACACATCATGAGAGAGAAGAGTAATTACTTTTCCTTGGGAGGGATCAGGTCGCAGAAGAGAGAGCTGCGAGCCAGCACCAGTGATGATGAGCTGTTCCCTAGTGCCTGCGAACTGACCCAGGACAGCCTGTGTGACATTGGTAGGTGGCTGGACCGTCAGCGAGTACAAAAACATGTTCGATGTGGTCGCCATGTTTGCGGCTAGGCGCAGATGAGCCTGCGCGGCTTCAAAAACAGGTGCAGGTCAGAATGTGTCGCGTCGAAGCTGGTGGTGGGAGCTTTTGAAACCCTGAGCGAGCTTTCATGTCAAAAGTTTGGCGCGCATCGGAGGAATTATTTTGCGGCGCAGACCATGGTGGCCCGAGCTCCTACGAATTATCCCACTTCAACGATATCAGGACTTCAGAAGACGTCAGTAACATCATTGACGTCCGGATATCGGTCGTTTTTGCTAGAGAAAATGGAGCCGGCTTTAAGAAGAGCGGCCTCGAGCCTCTGCGGGCAATGCTCTGCAACTATGCGGAGGCAATTGGCCTCGGGAGCGACAGCCAAGCCATGGATGAGGATATCAGCCCATCATTACCGAAGTGTTCACTCTACTGCGAAAGATCAGAAGCGAAAGACCACTGCGTCCGTCAACCGAGACTTTTCGACCAATTCAACCCAGAAATCTGAGGCCGCCGCTTCCGCAACGACCAAACCGTCTCGATCATCTTTACGTCTTAGTCAAGATGACCTCTTCCATCCATTTTCAAAATCACCTGTCCCTGAATTCCGACAACGGGCTGCTTTTATGCGACAGCACGCCTACTGCCCCCATCCTGATCACCAGCAAACAAAGCTCCCGACAATTGCCCCGAAACCTGATGACCCTGAAGCTGCAAACGGCACTCAGCCACCAGAGCATGTGAACTTTGAGTGTCCCGACTGTGGCTTGCCTGTTTATTGCTGCGAGGAACATTGGATGGACGACTACGAGAAACACCTTGAGGTCTGCGATACTCTGCGACAGATTAACGAAGATGATCACGACTTGCGATCCGGCCGAGTGTTCGAGGAAGGCAACCTCCCTGATCTTCAGATGGAGCATGCGGCTATTAACATGACAAACTGGGATACTTTCATGTACACCAGAGAGTTTGATGCTGTCAACTCTGACCGTCAAATGAGACAGATTACTCGTCTTTTGACGTACCCGGTAACCATTGGCAGTATTCTTCATGAACTTAGCCCATACAGTATCAAGGCAGGGGAGCGAATGACCACAGAAGGACTGAAGAGTTTCAGCGGTTAGTACTGATGATTGACCAGGAGCAAGAGTCCCGACTGATCTATGGTAACAGCGTTGCGATACAACCTACACCCTCCCAAGTCCGGACGAGGAACTGGTGTCGGTGAACTGAAGCCTGAAGCTCCAGCCGTGAGAGTCTTCATCCTAGGAGCTCGCGCTGAATCTTCGCTTCCACGACCTGCTTGGGTACAGTTGGCTCATATGTTCCCTGAAGCCCGACTTCATCTCATTTTTGTTGGGCCTGAAAGCATGGCCAACCGTGATGAAGAGTTCCCATTGCCAGAGCGCACTCCTTCGAACCCTTTTGGTGCCGTAGTTGAGGATCGTGTCTGGTTCAAGATGAAGATCAGCACGATCGTGGACTATTACCACACAATTCACCAGACACAGCACTTTGCGCCATATGATCCTTATTTTGACTGCTTTGTGTTGTTCCACCCCGGTCTAGGCCATCCTGCAAGCAGCCATGAGTGGGAGGAGACTCTCCCTCTTCTGCTGGAGACCAAGGTTCCCATCATCAGCACAGGCTATACCCAATTCGATATGGAACGCGATGTTGAGTGGGTGAACAAGAAGTCGAAGGGAGAGTTCGACATTTTGTTGCAACCCGGCGAAAATAAATTCAGGAGTCTCAGATGGGACCTGAACGATATGGACCCTCAGGATGTCAGTTGCGGTAACTGGGGTGTCTGGGCATTCCGTGGAAAGAGGTACGTTGCTGTTGCATTTGCGTGAGTGACTTGAGCTAACATTGACTTTACAGATACGAGACGGCTACCAGGGATGCTTGAAGAACTGTAAAGTGAACAAGAATAAGAAAGAGATGAGTCTCGTGTACCATACTGTACAAAATCTGTAGCATACCTAGCTTTGTGTATATGGATAGATCATCACCGGAACCATTGTGCCTTTGCTCTACGTCTTGGGGTGTTGAGAGCCCAGAAGAGATCGGGCTTAGAGGTAGCAGAAGAAGAATGTCTCCCGCACCATTTGAAGAACGTTTCCGTACTTGATTTTGACTCGGACTTTGGACAATACCTACAAGGTACCTAGGTAGGTAGGTAGGCGTCAGGGTATCAGAAGAATCGACCGCCGAGAGCACTATAGACGAAATAATTTGGTCATCTTATTCCGGCTTAGGATAGCCTTAGAGAACAATTCTTCTGACACCCAACTACCTAGGTACCTATGGGGTTAGGTATTAGTAGGTCTACACAATAGTATTGTGGCTTAAACTGTAGATACGCCTGGAATGCTTTTTTGTCTCTGGACTGTACTCGGAAGGTGCAGGACATGGTATTTCATGCATGCGGCTCCCCCGCGCCTGCAGCGCACGGTTCAGGCGGCGGGCCAACCCGTGTCATGCATGGGCAGGAAGGAGCTTAACATGCGGCCTCCCCTGCGACCTGCTGTTAACTTGACTTCATCCTCAAGCACGTAATTGAACCCAACGCAAACTCATCACAACTACCCTTTCACCTCGCCTCGTCTCGCCTCCTTTATCGGGTCATGGTAGCAGAAACTCCCCGATCACTCTGGCAATGACAGCCACTCCTTCTGTGGCCCCGGCCTTCTCTCCTGCCAGACCGCCGGCCCCACGCCCCAAGTCGGTGACCTTTGACGCTGAACCGCCTTCCTCTGCTGCTGCTGCTGCCACGGCTACTACTGCGACCTCTCCTCCACGCCGTTCGACGCGCTCCAATACGACTGATCCTTTGTCCGACCGGGCGACTTCGCTTCTGATACGCCGGACGCTGTGCTCTCCTCAGCTCAGCGACAAGAGTCGTGATGCGCAAGTGCCCATTGACGAGCTACTTCCGCCTTTGACTAGTCGCAACGATGTCGATCTCCAGCTATATGCGATTCTCGCTATTGTCCTAAGAGAATTCGTCCAAAGCTGGTATAGCAAAATCACTACAGATGAGAACTTCGTCGCGGAAGTCCTACACATCATTGCTCACTGTTCGCGAGCACTTGAGCAGCGCTTCCGCAAGGTTGATCTGGAAACTTTGGTTTTGGATGAGATACCTGACTTGCTGGACAAGCATATCACATGTAAGAGCGTCGTGGATTTACGGATCACCTTTCTCTAACTCCGATTAGCATACCGAATTTCCCACAGCACTATCGCAAGGCCACCTGTGGAGGTAGATCCACGAGAGGCATACCATGCATTGTGCCCTCTTCCGCACCTAGCACCAGTACCGGACCCTGACAAACCGGACACAGTATCTGACCAAAATGAAAACGAAGCCCTGTATCGCCAATTACTAGTCCAAGGCATCCTCGCGATTCTCTTGCCCACGGAAGACCTGGAGAATCCATGTCTAACAAGTCTCGTTGAGCAAATCTTCTCTGAACTTATAATTGGCAATATCATAGCCAATAAAGCTTCGCAGCCGTGGATGCTTTATGAGGGTATTTGCATTACAGCTAGGGTTTTACGGCAGAAAAAGGACCAAGAGCCAGCGGCAACGGGATCCCAGAACGAAGCCGCCCCTGAGTCAAAGCTTGAGGTCAAGGGTCGCCGCGCCTGGTCTGTGAGATCTTCTGTAAGATCCATGTTTCTCGGCGTCATCCAGCTTGGAATGTTGGTTGTCGCTTCACTCCGATTTATCACTACCGCTCTGGTGATGGCTTCATCCCTTCCTGCTAGAACCACGCCCATGTACGAAAAGGAAGCATTGCTGGATCATGACAAGCCTGCCAGTGTCTCATCGAACCATGATGCATCTGATTACATCAAGGCGCCCATCCTATCATGTCGATTATGGACATGCCTCGGAAATTTGCTTGAGCTGAGCCTACGCATGCCTTGGCTTGATGGCTTTCTGTCACTTCTACAATACGGCGCGGTCAATGGGCCTGGACGAATCGCTGGCCCCGATGGCCCTGTTGACAGGTAAGATATGAGTGTTTCTTTCATTTTCTTCACACCTACATCATCACCAGACATTTCACCTCGCATGACTCCAGAGTCACTGGACCTCCTGATGCTCCAGTGAGCTTTCAGAAACGGATTCGTTCAACGTCACGGCATACTTGGTCGGCCCGCCCAGTCTTGGGAGCGGGTCATGCCGTCCTTGACTTTTCTTAATCGTTGGGTGAGAAGCCGTTGCCGATACGCACCCTTGCAGTGCCTATCTAATTGCAACACGAGGCGTGATGGGGATAATTGTATCAAGGTAATCTGTTTTCTTGTTGACCTTTTCGCACCTCGACCATGATTGATATGGGTCTTGGAATTGGTGCTCAGCCAATTGAGAGGCATGACGCTGCCTTTGCGATATGATTGCCCGACATGGTCTCTGAGCTAGGCCTTCCTGCCCAGCAGGATGTCGAGATTACGCGCCCAGCCCTTGTCAGCTTTTCCAAAGGGACCACCCGTTCCAAGACGCATCAATGAGCTTGAATTGACTGTCGACCCTTGCCGCGCCACCCGCCCTCAAGAATCATTCCCAAGGCGCTATCGCAGCCTCTCCACGAGGGCAAAGGTCATGGTTGATGTTTTCACTGCCCCATTAAGCCCTCCAACTTGCCGGCCTCCACCCAGCCTGACTGGTCGACTTCAACTTTCCTCAAAGAATCAAGACATACTGGAGACCATTGGGTTCTTTGCAACCTCTATGCGGGCCTGTTGCACAACCCTTGACTCGGCTTGAGGGGAAAATCAGGACCGTCTAATGACACGCTACCCACACGCAGCCTCGGCCTCATTGTCTGTGTGCCTGTTGTGTAATCTCACATCTCCTCCTGCATGAGATACATGGACGAAGAATATGCCTCTTGATGTATTTCCCCGCACCTTGCCAGTTTTGCCCTGCTGCCGCTCCCTTGGCCCTCATTCGCTCCATCTCATTCATCCATGGGCGGATCAGCACCGAAGCACCACCTTATAAGCCAATTGAAAGAAGATTGTCACCCAATAGGGGCTCAACAGCCTTGTCTTGCCCTGTATTTGCTTCTAAACTTCACATTGCATTGCATCCCATCCCGTCGGCTAGGCCGACAATGGACGTGCCCCTTGCTGCGTACAATGTTTCCGATCATTGAACCCCACGCGCTGCATGACTTGGAACACAATGTGCAGTGAATATGTGCTAATCTGCGTTTTTCTTTCACACAGGCTCTTGTCGCATCATATCAATTCTCTCTTCTCTCCTTCAAATCTGCCCCCTCTTCTGCGCACCCTTCGCGGCGTTCTTTTCCCCAATAACGCCCCCGGTAAGGCATCCCTATTCCCACCATCTTCCGAGGCCGAGCTACACGCCCTGCGTCGTAGAGCGGCTAAGTCGCTTTGGGAATTGCTACCGAAGGGCGTGGGAAGACTGTATTTCGGTGGTCGCTTATGGCGGCGAGGCACGAAGGCCGAGGACGACTCATCCGAAGACGAAGACCTTGTGGATCAGATGGAGCGGCTTCTCCTGGTACTTGATGACGAGTACTGCAACAAACATCTCATGTACAGCATTCTCGAACTGGTACTTGCTAGATTGATGCCTGAGCTTACCGAGAAAGGTGTGACAGAGTTATGGGAGGAAAGACTTGGCTGAGTAGATTGATAGAAACAGTAGATCTGTAGACGCTCTTTTAGACTGATGATACCCCTTTGTTAATACACTAATATTTTATCACAAGTAGCCAATGAAAAAGTAAGGGATAAGTTATTCAAGAGCAAGGACATTCCTAAATGCACAAATACCGCCCATTCAACTAAAGGAGGGATGTCCTTGTCCGCCAGACGCTTGACTATCTCAGTAGCCCCCTGAGCAGGCTATGGGCCTGGCTCAACTATATTCCCAACGCAATAAGCCAGGAGGCTTCTCTCGTCTTCCTGTTCTGAAAAACAACAACACTGACGATAAGCTTCGTAAGCCGTAAGCCACGTACTACCTCGTTTTCCGTACTGTATCGTGCCATGCCATGCCGTGCCTTGCAGCAAACACCCTCTCGTCTTTGAACAGGAAAGCAGACAAGAAATGATGAGAATATGAATAAAAGAGTGTGCGCGCAGATAATTATTTCCTCCGCGTCGATGCCGTATATGTAGTGAAAGAAACTCAAAGATGTAGAAATAAAGAATATGCCCAGAAAGATAAACAGACATTGACAAAGCAGGGTGTAGCGCTGTCCCTGGACTGTTGTTGGGAGCCTCGCTCCAATGTACATCGCGTCTTTACCATTTGTACTTCGGCCGTCATATTTTCCGCCTCCTTCTAATCCTTGGCCTCTCCTTCATGCTTCGCTCTTCGTATGAGCTGTTCTGGTTGTAGGTTCGTGTGGACGAGTTTTGTATGTAAGTGTTCGGGTTCGCGTGAGCGGGAGATTCAAATCTTCGAGGGTGGTGTGGGTATGGGTATAAGAAATTGTCCGTTCCTGTAAGATGAGTTTTTTGATGATCCTTTTTTTTTTTGTTTTCTTTTTGTTTCTCTTCCTAATAGACAGCCGAAATCGGTGGGAGTTTCGAAGTTGAACCTAACAGTCCAGATTGCGATCAAAGCCGCGAGGTAGAAATGTTAAAGGGGCAGATTCTTGCGTGGGCAGAACAACGCCCTAGAGGGCTTTGTTTTAAAGCACCCCATCGTTCCAACCTTATCAGCGTCTCAGTTCGAGAGTAAGTTCAGATGGTAAGACAGAAATAAGAATGATAAATTCACTTGATAACAACTCAGGCAGGTTCCATCTTGGCCGATAGAAGAACAGGTGCTTCAACGTCGCCTTCAGGGATACGGGACAGACCGCCAATTGACGGTCGACCTTGGTGGATCTTGAGCTTTTTGGTCAACTGGACGATAGACATATAGTCGTTTGTATCAAAAGTACCAGCTGACTGAATATAGTTCAGCAGTGTCTGTGCTGCTCGGCGAGCATCTTCCTGAGATGGGGAAACTGGAGATGAATCGACTGGGGTTGACGATGCACCAGTTGTCACTAGAGTGGAGCGGTTTATACTCGAATTGCTGCTACTTCGGCGTAGCATTGGAGGTGGCGAGTTGACGCTGGTGTCGATGCTGAATGGCGCCTGTAATTCATGCTGGGGTGACTCCAAAGCGGAAGACGGCGCAGTTGACGATGGGGGGTGTCGAGGAGTCATTGGTTCTGTTGATGAGATTTGGTTCACGTAGTCGATATTAAGGGAGGGGAACGTGTTACTCCTCTTTTCCCTGTGTTGAAAATCCATGGGGAAGCCTCCCACATTCGGGTCAGGGGAGAAAGTAAATGTACCTGTAGGGCTCATCGTGCCAGTTGAAAATGAAGATGCAGCGTTGTCCCTGAAGTCGCTGGAGAGCGATGTCGTTGATTGGGACTCGGGATGCTTGTAACCAAAGTCAAAGTCGATTCCATCGACATGGGCCTCCTCGTCACTTCTGCTTCCAGAGAGCGGCGAGAGCTGTCCTGTAGGTGACGCGGGCGATAAGTCGCTGGACTTCGTGGCAAGTGTCGATAGCCTTGCACTGTCTGGTATATTGGCTTCAGAAGCTCGTCGCATCAATTTTCCTGCCCCAATCCCATGCTTTTGCTTGAACTTTTGCAACCAACTGCTGTTCAGATTGTTCAGGACACTCTCCTGATTTCCGCTCGCGTGGGCAAACAGCCTTGCTTGTTCCATAATCTCTTCGTCGCTGACCTGGAATCCACGTTGTTGCTGTCTCCTGACATAGTTGCTAAGTGTTCGGTCGAAGTCAGGATGCTTGCCCTTCCCACGTTTCACGGCGGCGTTTTCTGGCTCTTGATCTCGTTTCAAGTACTGATCTTTGTGTCTGAGAACCTTTGAAACCGTGCTGTTATGCTTTTGTCAGATCCTACGGCGAAAGTGTGACTTGGTATCCAAAGCGCCTACCTTCTCTCTACGCCGAAGCGGGCTCCAATATCGGCCTGTCGAGTACCGGGGTTATCCTCGTGAAACTGGCACATGGCCCTTTTTTGCTCCGTTGTCAGGGTTTTCCTTGACTTTTCGTGCTGGGTCGGTAACCTGGGAGTTTCTACAGGTGGGGCGCTGGCGGCAGGCGGCATTGACACAGGTGGTGCTGGATAGCTTTGTGCAGGAGCTGGGTTCGTCAACTGGCTCGGCCAGGTCTGATTTGTGTTTAGCAAGGGAAGCTGTTGATGGGCCATTGGAGATGGTGCAGGCTGTATCATTTGATGTGTTGGTGGTGGTGGCATTCGGTTTATCGATTCTGATGGTAATCCATGGACTCCAAAAGCACCAAAGGATGGGTACTCGGTCAAGGGGCTGGCACTGTATGGACTCTGGCTGTAAGGGCTCATACTCGTCCAGACATCACTTCCATATCCATTGTTTGGGCCCATAGTGTTGTCCTGGCCCATGGCAGACGTTCCATTGACGTGGTTCATCGCAGCGTGTGTTGTCCAGCTGACACTGGATCAGAGATGTAACGTGAAAAGTAGCTAGGCGATTGCCAAAGCTAGAAGAGCCTCGTCTCCAAGAATTGCTCAATGGCAAGATGTGAATGGTGATGTGACTAGACCGGGTTCCAGGGAACTGGAACAGAAGATGGAGGTAGCAGAATATTTAGTGTGATGGTCCTCACGTTTGACATCGGTTGATTTGTCGATGCATCGTCTGGTCCGAATTGGTTCCTGAATGTGCAGATAGAAGGTGATCCCGCTTGTCGTTGGTCTCCCAAGTCCCAGCCCAGTGTATTTCGCACTTCAGTTGATGGTGTTGGGTGTCTTGGAGCAAACCTTTACAAGATTCAATACCAGCACACAACCACTGAACACTTTCAGAGCGTCTGCCCTTAATGATGGGTTGGCGTTGTTAGAACCGTTTGGGCCGCAGAAAGGTTGACCTTGGGATCTCAAAGCAGTTCTGTCTTCCACTGAACCTTTTTCGATGGGTGGAAACAGCTTGTCTTTACGCAAGCTCACTAAAGTGAGACACGACGGGAAGTTTCTTCTATTTGCTTTTTCTCGCTGAGCTCGTGGAAATTGCGGAGACAATAACGCCGTCTCAGGATAAACGCGGCAGGGCAATGTACAAAACAAGACAATAACGGACTGAGTCGGTGGAGGGTGGGCGGGCGGATGAGGAAAGCCACAGGGGCGGTAAAACAGTAAACGATGTCCAGAAACGACCGCCAGTAGCTTGATCCGGACGGTAACGTCAAGACAAAGTTTCGATGGCGGACCACAGACTTGAGGCGAACGTTCCAACACGAGGCCAGACCGTTGAGGAGGATATCGTTTTTCAATATGTGCAGTGTAGTGTAGTGCAGTGCAAGCAAGCGAAACCCAAAGCCATACACATCGCTACATATGTAAAGATGAGACCCCAGAGGTTGACCTTTCTCCATATACATATGCAGAGCGCACGAGGAGTATCGGCGAGGGTGTGGGGGGTTCCCTTCACAAGGGGGGAGGGGTGTGTCTTGTAATCGTGAGATCAAGAAATGGTGTGTGTGGGAGAGCAGTGGGTTAAAACCAGAGTCCTCTGTAGACAACTGATGAATCCTTAAAACGTAGTATAAGTGTGTGTACAAGTGCGTTAAGGTGTGGACGAAGCTGATAAAGACGGAGAGTGGTTCAAAAAGGGTATGTCAATGCCTCATGGCTCGAGTAAAGAACTTGAGCATGTAGGCAAGACGGAAGCTCACACACAGGCACACATACAGTACTCACCCGCCAACAGGCGCGGCAATTCGATCAAGCCCATACCATAGAGTGAATGATAGACGACGGGCCCATGAGGTAATGGGATGGACGCCTTCGGGTTCGGGGATAGACCGGTGAGCTAGGGTGCACTGCTATGGAGCTCTCAGCCGAGTCTTCTTCTTCTTCTTGATCCTGGACAGACCAGCGCCAGGTCAGGAAGAGCAAGAGGATTGTCAGCCGTTGGGAGAAGTCGTGGGTAGCTACAAATCCCCTGGCCGATAGCCGTCTAATAGTGAAGGCTGTATAGAGAGGGCATAATCAATCAATCTATTACCCGTAGGCACAAGTTCCCGATCGGCGGTACAAGAAGCGGAAGAAGCAACGAGATATGCCCAGAATCGTTGGGGCAAGACCAAAGTATCATTATCCGTCTTGACGGTGCTACCCTAGCAATAGGGTTTCTTCGTTTTCCTTCTGCCAATGCTGAGGGCCTGTGATTAACTTTTCCGAGACCAACTTCGATAGCGGATTTTGTATTCGGACCTGTCAGTCCCTCATTTCCCTCTGGCAAGTCCGACCCTGTTCCCACGAGAGTTGAGGGTAACGGTATGGCTCAGTTGCAATAAGGATGAGGTCAGAAGAAGGGGCGTGCCATGTCAGTGCTAGCCCACTGGAGCTTTCTGCAAGAGGAGAGGGAAGAAAAAGTCGCGCTCGGGCTAGAGAGATAGTCCATCTGAAAACCATCAGCTTGCAGCTTTCATAGGGTATCTGTCTTTGATCTAGAAAGCGCGGCGCGCCAAAACCCATGCGATTCGATGGGCAATAGCTGACTAGTCCGTGTTTAAACTGGAGATTGTTGATGGAGAGTTGTCATAGGCCGGCCATTTCTTCCGCAGAGAGTCCACTCGGTGGGCTGGTCACCTGTTAAACAAGATCCTCCCCAGACGAAACATGGCCTGGACTGAGAGCCCAAAGCTTCGAATCGTAATATTAACATGCCGGTTGTAGTATAATGCCCAATCTGTGATGGGACAGCGGCAACAGGGACTCAACACGGCCCAAAAGTAAGATCGACTAGACTACAGTACAGACAGAGTACTATGCAGCAATGGCAACGGCAATGCCCGGCCGCTCTTAAAGACAGGGGTCTCTGATGATCCTGGTGCTTGGTGGAAAGAAACCTCCAGCGGCCAAGGATAATTATCGTAGGCCACGAGTAAGTCGACATTGACCTGGGTTTCACCCAGTAGACGAGAATCAAAGAATGAAAGCGGGACATGGGTGGTCGTGATGAAGCCAATTCAGCTTTTAGCCCTTGGTGCAGCAATCATTCAGCTTCAGCCTTGAGCGGACCAGCCCGCGCGGCCTCATATGTCACTCTTGGTTTTCCCTTTTATTTCCTTCTCGAGCATTGAACCCTGATACACGGCGCGCTTCAAGGTCAAAGCCCGACCGGAAGGTGAGATCCGGAGCTCAGACCTGTCTCAAAGGAAAACGGGGCAGAGGCGTGGTGAGTAGGAAGGTAAGGAAGGGAGGGGATTGATGAGCAAGGCGTTGGCGGTTTGATTCGCTCAGCCTTGTCCCTCAAATGGATGCCATACCCCGATGCCCTATCGATATTCCATAGTCTCTCCCTTGCCTGTCGTGTCTTCTCGCCTCGTCCTGCTTGCCTCGTGGTTCCAGGATTGCATAACCAAGTCAAGTGTAAATCGTGTGCCTCAGGCTGTTAAGGGTCCTCTTCGCTTACGAGCCATGGACATATCCTTGTCTTTCAAGCCTGGCCGCTCTTACTCTTGCTAGTCTTTCAGCCAAGGCCATTGAGCGGCATGGCTTACTGGCCAAAGTTTAGTGCAGACAAACATCGTGGCCCGTGGAGATATGGTACCAAGGTAACTTGCGGCCCCAGTCCAAACCGTGACGAGGAGAGGATTTGGAGTGGCTATCTCACTCTGTAACAGACCGGTGCACGTGGTCCACCTGAGTTGATTTTTTGAGTTATTTCATGTATGACAGATCCAGAGAAGGTTGCGAGATGCATGTTTCGGTTCTTCATCTGAAGCAATGGTTATTTTGAAGTCCGTTCGCGACGCGTTTTATCATATCGATTATAGCTCGATTCATGCTGATGGTAACTCCATGTTGCACTTATTGATGTGAGCCAGCAGTCATATCAAAGACTATCAACACCTATATCAAACCCGGTTCTTCCTCCCTCCTTCTTAGCACCATGATGACATGGTGCTCTCGGGATGCCGCAACTGGAATGACGGTGGGTCGGAATCCGAGGCCAGACCATCCTATCCCGTACTGTGAAGGACATCAATGTGCATACGACAAGACGCCCAATGCTGTATAATTTTGGAGCTTTGTGGTGATTGCCTTGGTATGACGGGTCTTTGGATAAGAAACGGAGATCTACCGCTACTCTGAGCAAGGTAGAACTGGGGCTTGCCAGGGCAAATCGACAGAGGCAGGCTAGTGGGACGGCCCTTTCTGGAGCCAGTTTGACAGCCGCCGCCTGCCGCCTATTGCAGCATGGCCAGTTACCATTCCGTCCCTAGTCCATCCCATCAGCATCCATGTCTGGCCTCCATGTCTTTGCCATGTGTGTAGGGCTCTAGGCTTGGCCTTGTTTTTGTCATGGATAGCCTTGTCTTCTGAGCAACAAATGGTAAGTCGTAAAATGGACAGTGGTTGCTTGAGTAGTATTTTCATTTCTTCATCTTTCGTATTGGAAGCAACTAAGTCACGCTGGGATCAGCGTCGTGGCTAGACGGACGGTTAGCGCAATCTCCGAAGGGTTCGATCAATTAATCAATCTGTCAATCATTGGGCATGCAGCCACTACTGTACCATGAGTGAATGACCTTGCTCGGCCCAGACACATATTTTGCCATTGGGCAGCAAGTATCCATAATCTGCCAATGTTTGCCCGTCCGTCCCTGTTGAGTTTGAGCAGGAACGCGACCGGGACAAATGCATATTGCATATTACACATATCATACAGAACAGTACTGTGCTGCGACTTGACTTACATGGATGATGAGCAGACAGAGGGAGAATGAAGGAGGGGAACAAGTTGTGGCGCGCCATGGACGGTCCAATCTGTCGTCCGGGTGTTGATCCAGTTGGCCAGTTTGATCAAGATCCCTGACGCCGCCTTGATCGTAGGTCGAAAGCAATTTTGATGGTGTCTATCTGTTTGCTTTTCTCTGCTCTGCTGAGGTTGTTGCGGCCCGTCTGAGGCTGGTACATAATACAGCACAGTAATGTACAATACAGTGGAGAGGAGGAGTACGGTATTAAGTTGACATCCATTGCGAAGAAGGAAGGAAAGACGGGAGCCCCATTATTTTTTAGGGGGAAGGGTTTATTGATGTTGACGATCCCCAGGCCCTGCCTGACTCAAATGTGGTATCGAGAAGGAGCTCTTCACCTACGGCAGTTGCTGATACGTAATTATGGAAGGAGCTCATCAGGTTCCATGACAAAGCAATTACTTACCTAGGTAGGTAGGCTGTAATAGATTATTCACAACTTTATCAGTCGCAATTGCAATTGCAATTACAATTGCTTACCTGTACGAGGTACAAGTCCATTCTTCTATTCCTTGTCAGGTTGTATCCGTACCTAGATCTGGACTCTGGATTCCGGACTCACTAAGAAATCTAGACCTCAGTGGGCGTGTCTCTGTAAAAGGCTTGACCATTTACAGACAGGGACGAGAAAGAAAGAGAAAA